CCCGTGTATTTGGACGAAAATGGTCTGCTGATGAGGCAAAACGCCTTTACCTCTTGCTTTCTGGTTTGGTTATTGAGCAGGAACTCAAAGTAAGTTTTGCATCATATTAATCTTTGTTATCAGCGGCTTTCGAAATTTATAAAACATGTTCTTCCTTTTTTGATTGTCTCAGAGCTTAGACAGTAAATTCTGTCTCATCCAAGATGTTTGGACGGTGAAGGGAAACCTCCACGTGTTCATTGGAGCATCAGTCTCGTATATCACAAGTGACTGGAAATATGTGGTTCGCCACTTAAGCATGAAACTTGTTGCTTGGCATCACCAGGGTCAATTACTTGCTGAACCTATGGTAACAATTCTGAAAAAAAATGACCTTTACAAGAAGATAAGTCCCTTTTCCAATCTTTCTATCTATCTATTGACAAGTCCTGACATGTCCTCAAATCCCACATGCTTGCCAGTGTGTCAGATTCAGGTAGCAACAATTTTACTATGGGCCGTGAAATTCATTGACAGCTCCAGGAAGAGGGCCTCATCTCCGGCCATCATCTATCTTGGAATCCAAAACGAATGTTGATTAGATGCTTTTGTCATAAGATGGGTCTTATTGTCAAGGCCGGCCTTGATGCCCTTGGAATGAAACCTAGACGAATCCGCCACAATACTTTAGGTAGGTTCACGCAAGTAGAAGTACTAGCTGTTATTGACAAGGACAAAGATGAAGTCAACGAGATCACACCTGAATTAAGCCAATCTGAATTACATGAAAATAACTTGGATAGTGATGATCAGGATGACTTAGATAGCAATCATAGCAGTGATTCCAACTCAGATGGTTCTAACAACGATCCAGAAGAGGAGGATTGTGAACAAGATGATGAACCTGAGATTTATCATCGACGTAAGGATGCTTATCTTCTCGGCGATACCTATATGAAGTCTTTGACCAAGGATGTAAGTCCCTTGTTTTATTTATCTATTCCATTTGACTTCACATGACTGATGACGACTTCATCACATTCTAGATGGACACTGTGAATAAAAAGCTCACAAGGTCTAGCGGTCACCGTGCGGACTTCAATCGAAGACGAGAAAGAGCAAATGTCCAACGTAAGAATGATGAATTACCGGCACTCAAGGCCCTTTTATCAGGTCACGGTATTCGATGGGGAATCCAGGCGGAGCGGTGGGAGCGAATGTGGCACGCACGAGATGTGAGTTGTTTATTTTGGATTTGACGGGTTTTATGTGATGGCTAATTATGCCAAATATATTGGCTTGATCTCCTCTTTCAGCTGATTGATCGAGTGATGAAAGACAATCTAGCTGAGGTACATTCAAAGAAACAACGTCCACGGAAGGACGGCAAGAAGCAAGGCTATTTTGAAGAGGTTGTATTCTCTGTAGCCGATTGGCAAGCTCTGCGAGATCTTTTGGACATTCTCACAGTGAGTAGTTCCACTTCATACTTTCATACCTTTAAGTCTTTCTCAATACTGACCACATTCAACTCAACCCTATCTGATAGCCATACAAGGTACTAACCCGTGAGATGGAGGGTGACAAGCCCACAGGATGTATGGTACTGGTCAAGTACATGCATCTCAAGTCGTCCATGCAGGATAGATTGGACAGAATGCATGTCAACGACCCGCTTTATCCAATGGTAGATATCATGATCAATAAAATTGATCTATATCTCAAGGAAGCTCTCGAGTGTGACACACTTGTCTTAGCAAGTGTCTTTCACCCTAGTCTCCGAGTTCGATTTTTCTCTTGTGCTTTTGGAGAGGGGTCTCCCAATCATAAGCGCGCCGTAGGACTATTAGAAGACGTGTTTACAGAGGAACGGGATGCAAGTGAACTTCGAACTCAACCAGCCAGCCCTTCAACTTCTTCACCAATCAGATCAGCTACCAAATCTTTTGGAGATGCCTTTCTAAATCTCTACGATGAGGTTGAGACACCAAATGGTCTCAGTGAGCTCGACCGTTACATCCAAGGCATCAATCCGATGCTTTCCCCTGACGCACACAACCCCCAACATGCGTTGGACTGGTGGAATGTGAGTACATTCTCCTTTCGTTTTCCAGACTCCTATACTGACCTCTGATCTTATTCAGACTCATGGATCAAAGTACCCAGTCTTGTCGGTTTTGGCTTGGAACTACCTTGCAACACCGGCTTCTTCAGCGGCCCCTGAACGATCCTTCTCTATTGCCGGAAAAGTGTGCACAGCAGAACGAGGTGGGCTGGTTCCTCGTATGATCAAGATATTGGTAAGCAGTCAGATATGGTCACTGGAAGGAGTCCCGTTAACCGGTGACTTCGCTGATGTTGGCAAAGTCATTGAGTATGGCAAGAAAGTGGTTCAAAAGAAAACCAGAAGGTCTCACTTCTAGTTTGTTTATTCGTTTTGTCTTTTAATGTAGTGTTTTCATTTCTTTACACTCCTTAAACTTGTTTTTTTTTGATTTTTTTAAAAAAACTTTCTTTACACTCCTTTAATTTGTTTTGTTAACTTTTCTTTACGGTCGTTACTCTTGATCTATATTTGGAATTGATGTTTAAATTTGTGGCTCCCTTTACAAAAAAAACGCTTTTTTTTGTCATGCAACGCTGCAAAGCGCTGCGATAAAAAATAACGCTTTCAGCTTATTTTTCATGTGAGGGTCTTTTTCCCGCTGCGGCTAAAGCTACTGGGCTTGGCCGATTATATTTATTGCTGCGCTTCAGGAATTGCGGCTTGCAGCGCTGCGCAGCGCTGCGAGCCAGGCTTGTGCCACGTAGGCGTGAGAACAGACTACAACAGTTTCTAGATGTGACAATTCTGACAACAAAGTCAGAACGGTCTCAGTCACGGAACATACGTTAATCATGGGACAATCAATTTTGTTTGCCTCTTCTTCTGGGTTTGAAAAGGTTGAAAAACCTGGTCAAAGAGGGTATGAAGGGTGAGGAAGACCTGTCTGAGATCATATCTTGAGCCAAGTGCAAGCATCCTATCAGGATGCAATCATTTTATCCTCCTCAATCTTTGCCTGGCTGAGCTTCAATTGATAGGTTGGATACAGTCTGATACAGCCTGATTTCCGGTGACTGTTATCATTCTGGGAGCAATTTTTGTCTGGTCCCATCTAGAAACGTCTCAGTCACTGTTCTTTTGAATTGAAAACAAGACATGTTGAAAACTGTTCTCAACCTGGCTTTTGGCATGTCCCACTTACCCCTTGGTGCAAGTTTTGTTCATCCCAGTCTAAGCATGTACAGTTGTTTTCAAAAAGAATGAAATCGAGGTGTTTCAAAAATTAAGAGATGGACCATGCACCACCTGTGAAAGGTATCCAGCTTACCTGACAGATTGACCATTGTACGGTGATCAATAAGTTGCCCACTTACAATAGCACAATCTTTGGTAGCACAGTGGTCAGTTGCTCTGGTAGGTTACTGGTAGTCCTGTGTTTGACTCGGTCTGCCTCGTTTAATCGCAAATATTTTTGTCTCGACTTACGGATAGAGCAAAAACAATTATATGTGAGCAAACAAGTATAGTGGAGCGATTTCATTGTTTTGTTTTATGATATCAAGCAGATTGAATAAGAAAAACTTGTCAAAATGTGTGATGACAAAAAGGCAAGCCAGTCCGGCTCGAACCCAAAAAGGGAGCAGACTTGAGAGGTGTTTGACACATCGTGATGAGGGCGCTCAACTGACTGTGCCACAGTCACTTTTGGATAAAATGTGGTTATGCTTTTACGACAGCATTTATGTATGCATTTTTGACACCTTTCACAGGTGGTGCACAGTCCACCTCTCCGTTTTGAAGTGCCTCAATTTCATCCTTTTTGAAAACGACTGTAACACCCATTCTGAGACTTAGGCTGACAGTTGCCATACACAAAATTGAAACTTGCAACATATCTCTTGCTAAATTATTTTGCTCCATGTCAAAGGCAAACTCTATTGCTGACTAGCATCTTGTTTTGACGGACTGCTTCTTCTCTGGATCTGTGGCTGTTCCAAACACATCCCATAATCAGCATACACTCTTCTTCTACTTCCTCTCTGCCCTAATTTCTCCTCACTCTCCACTCCTCTTCTCCCCTCCATGGGTCTCTTGGATGGTACCATCCCTATACAACCTCCACTGGTCTACTTTGCCCCTTCTGACTCAGTTGTAGTCACATAGTACATCTCTTCTGTACCACCCTCTCTGCGGCTCCCTGTACCTCCACATCACTCCTCATGTGATCCAAGAAAGAGAGGTAAATTGAACCACCCCTGAATCCCCTCAGCCAAGTAGTGAAGGATTATAATGGTGAAGGGACCTCTTGGTGTTACAACTTACCTGGGTCATTTCCTTTGTTCTCTTCTTCATCCTGTACCTCTCCTCTTATGTATTGCCTTGATTGGCGTTAACTGACTTTGTGATCCAGTCACCACACTGCTTATAACCTGTCCTCCTTCATTACCTGCCTCATTTCCTGGGCCTTGTACTACTTTGTTCTTTGATTGGCTCCTCATAGTTGTATTTCCGGTAACTTCTCTTTTGCTAGTACCTTCCCCTAGATTGGTCTTTTTGGCCTTTATCCCCAATGCCTTAAGTTTGTCCTGTGTAGCTTTCAGATCATTGGTGACTGAGATCATGACTCTTAATTCTTGGACTGAACTCAATTTTGAAAGAAATTCTTATTTCCACCTTTGAGAATGGATAATGAGATGTAAAAGTTTTGATTAGGTGCTGAGTGATGAGAATTGATGATTTGTGTATTCAAATCTCAAATTCCCATGATGTAAAAACTCTGACTATGAGTTATGGCTTTATACCTCGCACCCTGAAACTGCATCGAAGGAACTATGCCTGAAGTTGTACCTTGATTAGACTGGCAATGAAACCTGATTGCTCATCTGCAGCTCGGATGGAGAAAATTCCAATCATCATATTCACAAAGATCATACAAATGGGGACCATAACTTGAACAGTTCAATGCGATAGCGCGTTAATCCGTTGGGCACGACGACTCGTAAGATTCTTTATCTTTGCTAGAGCCTAGGCATGCTTCTGTGACCGCCCTGTGCGTTTCTAATAATCTCTTTGCTTGTTGATTAAGCAGGAATCCGATGCTAGAGATCATATTCGAGGTCAATTTACAATCAATTATCGCACGATTACGAGAAAAGGAAGACTCAACATGTTCCCGCCAATGGCGAAAGGACCGTGCATTCCCTGGAAGGAGTGAATTGTCAGTATGTATCCCGACTGCAGATAGAAGGCCAGTCCCTGATAAACTAACGATTTGTGTGAGAATAAGCCACTTTTTGTTTTGCATAAAAGTAGTGCCCTTATATGATAACTGCATATCCATAGAGAAAACATCATGAGATAACAATATGACAAAGTAGAAGTGTTCTCCTTTGGACGGCGGTCTCATGTGCTTACTTGCCAGGCAATAACAGGGATAAAGATCAAGGTCGAGCCATATGCAGCGAGGGCGTGCTGTAGGAGCGTCTGATGCTCTTTTGCTAACCTACGCTCGATTCTTTTGAATTGTATGGACCGCTCTGCCGTACAAGTGGCGATGGCAAAAGTACATTCGCTGGTTTTTTTGCGAATGGTCCCGATGGAGATTGCTAAGAGTGGCCCGTAGATCTGACGTATCGTGAGGATGATTGGATCAGATCATGCGCGAGATAGATTTTTACGTAGAACCGGGCCTAGTCATTAATCACCCACCAAAGATAAAACACTCAAATCAGTAATCCCAATCATCATCGACAGTCTGAACAAGCGAGCCATGCGGTCCTAAATTGATGAATGAGCGTGTCATAATCAGCTCAATCATCACAGACATTCTTGGTGATAATCACTCACTCGATGTACTACCAACTGTCTGGCAGGTATCAATCTTACCAAAAGATCCATCCGTCTGTAGTTCTCCATGTTAGCCATCGCACCTTGATGACGCAAGTCTGAAGTGATGGCCTTGAGTACGGCTCTCAACTCCTCAAGTTCCGACTCGGCACTAATGAAGATCACGATCAAAGCCGCTGATTCGCCGGAGAATTGAGAGCTCGTTAACGGTGAACACACAAAGAAGCGGAAGAAGCGGTACGTACGTATAAACCAAAGTGCCAAGCACATGAAGGTCATGTTCAGAAACCAACGAAGAGGCCTGGGAAGTGCTGATGTTCTCTCCTGGGGGGGAACCGTACACCACGACTTATCCCAGATGGAGGTCACAATCTGGCAAAAACACACCCATATGAAAGCTGAAACAGTCCATAAATATTCTACTCGTCGTATCATATGCAAAGATATCAACGATTGGAATTAAATTGACCCACACCTATGAGTTGACGCATCACAAGATATACATCAGCCAGTGTCAAAGCTATCTACGTACTCGTCTCTGGGAGCTCACCAAGAACCACTGAGAAGGACCACAAATTTTATACCAAACAGAGGAAGTTTCTTGTGATCGGAAACAAGACCCGCGTTTATAAGTTGTTGAAAGATCAAATCCGCTAGTACCACTAGGTCTCGAAGTAAAAATATCTACATTAATATTTGAGTTGAACAATGAGAAAGAGCTCCCCTTGTATATATGTTCCACGTACACAAGGTATAAATGAAGTGACCCAAACAAGTCAGATTAGGTACATCGATCTTCACGAGGTTTACTGCGTCACATAAGCCAAAGATCATGATTAGTCTCGAAATCGTGCTATATTTAAGTCACGGAAACTTATTCACGTCTTGTGGTGGAATAGAACCTAAAAGTCCTCGTGATGATTCTGATGTAAAACAAATACAAGCATTGGAGAAGCATTCTGAATGAAGGAAGAGATCAAAAATATATAAGTCTTCTGGGTATGTGCCATATTTTGCAGCGCTGAATGGTACGTGCATAAAGTAGCCTCCTATAATCACTCCCATGACAATCTGGACCCAGGGTGGCAACACGACAGGCTATGTCCAAATTGTGTGCGGGGATCACAAAATCAAGATACCACAAGTAAGCATATTGAAATCTCACACAGAGGGTAATTGAGAACCGTAAGATTGTACTGACCTTAGCTTCACGTTCAAGGTAAGTGGCGACAGCGAAATAAGGATTCACGTTATGAGGTATTGTTGCCACGAAGTCCAGCATCTTTTGCTCCTCTGGCTGAATCATCGTCCCCAATTCTTTCCGCTCAAAGGATGATCTTGATGCACACGATTAGCTGAAGGTGTGACTTATTGATGTAGCGTAGGTTATTGATTGCGTTTGAAGAGGTTTGAAGTCGAAATCAGTCAAATTCGCACTTTGTTGATCCATATGATGAAGTGGTGGCGCAAATGTGAAAGAAACTTGTGAGAACAGAAATCAAACCCAGCTTTGAGCTTGCCGCGTGAGAAATTTTGAACTTTTGTTTGAACAAAGATATTGAACTACAGGATAGTCAAGCTTGCCAAACCTTCAAAAAAATCAAATACCACCAAATTCCGGAAGCTTTTTCGAAATACATACTCTAACTCTTATCTTAAAAGTGACAAGGCTATCAGAAAAAAGAAAGAAAACCCAGTTAAGATGGTGATCAACCACCCGACCGTTATCGGCTGCCGATATAATCACAAAAGCCACTGCAATTGATCAATCATCATGCTAAACTTCTTTAAAAAGTGGAGAATTCATTGACAATAAAACTCATACTTTAATTTCACACATCAAATAAGAAGAATAAACTCATGGGTCAACAAGATGAAAAAACGAATGGGCACCCCGCCTTTCCTTTGCCCAATTGCAAGCCTGCCTGAAGATTTTTCCCGTCGCGCGCCGGTCGGGTGCTACCCAGCCCGTGATGTAACTCGGTAAAAGCGAGCCCTTCGAGCGCGGCCAGGCGCGGCCGTGTCACGCGTTCCGCGCAGTGGATTCGTTATCAAATTTCAATGCCCTCAAGAGTCAAAGTGATTGAGTTGCTTTGCTGATGCTGCCGTGAGAGCTTGTCTTCTCGAAGGAGTTCCGGTACTTTCTCTCACTTGTCTATGATATGTTTCATTTATGCCGCATTAATTTGAACGAAGAGAAGGCCGAAACAAAGGTATGGAGCCAATTCATCTATAAGAAGCTCCACTTCAGATATCCTCTCTCCTGCTTGATTTCTTCATTTTTATAATAAACGCATCCAGTGGGCGTTCAACCACCAGTCAATCTTTATCCACTAATCCAATATGCTCACAAGAGTATTAATCGTTGCATCGACGTTTGCTGTCTTGCTATCGTTAATCGTAGTTGAAGCACACAACCATGAGGACAAAAATCATCTTCGACGCGAAGCCGATGCAACTCAGTCTTTCGAAAAAAGAACACGTTCGTCTTCCTCGCCGCAAAGGCGAGCTGCGCAGTCTCATTCCAGCAATCGTCACTCGTTTTCTCCCGTCAAAAGAGACGTTTTCGGCAATCTGCTACCGACAGGCTCTGGTAATCATGGTCAGGAAAGCTTTTTGCATGGACTCCTGTTAGGTGTTCCCGAGTGAGTGATCAGTTTTCATCTCAATGGTATTTATACGGATTTTCAATCGCGATACAAGTCTGTTGACCCAAACAAATCAGTTACAACGCCTGTGGTCGACCTGACGGCCCAATTCCCCCTACACGTCCAGGCGATGCACCTTTTGTAAGCTGATCACTACCTACAACACATTGACATTTTGAGTGAAGATTCTGATGCTCTCTGATTTACGTGGTATTCTCGGCGACTGTATCATGAGGATTAGACTCAAGGTCGTTTTGCTTACGAAAAAGCCATCACGTGCCCGAACGGAATCAGAAACAGCCCAAATGGTGAAGTCTCCACCATCATCAACGTTCTCCGTGGTATCCTACACTCACTAACAATTCTTATGACATCTTTTAGGAATTGTCTTACTTGTTCCTTGCACAAGTGAGTCTCTATGTCGGATTAAGATGAATGATCGGCTGAGATTTTCCATATCCAGGTTGTGCTGCTGCTGAAGCATATGCAAAGGTGCGTCCAAGCGATTTGATTTCTTGATTTGCTCCTCGCATTGATATGGAACACATTGTACAGGGTCCATTTGGTATTGGTCTACCTCGTGCTGGGTTTGACGTCTGTTGGGTGGATCTTCCAAGTAGAGTCTTGAGCCGCTACCATAACCGCACACATATCTACCCTCACTGATTGCCTTCTTTCTCACCGAAAAAACAAGGGCGCTCGCTTGATGACATTCAGCTCTCTGCCGAGTTTATTGCCTATGCCATAATGTTTCTCGCCCCTCGGTCGCCTGCAACCGGAGGGAGAATTAGTATGCTCGGCTATAGTCAAGGTGGCCTTACTGTACGTCTCGTATCTTTTCTCTGATGATCACTTGTTCTCGGGCTAACTTACATGCTTTTTGCAATGGTGGGGGTTCTCTATATATAAACCATGGACTTGGTAGTCACATTGGACTTTGAGTCAGTACCTCGCATTCTTTCAGAGACAAACAAAAAACAACGAGCATGAATTTCTGATGTCTGACTGCGGTACTACAGACTTTTGGCTTTCTGCTCGGCAGCTGGTCATGAACTTTGTGTCGATCGCCGGGTCTCTCAAAGGCACGACTCTCTCCCCGCTCGGATGCGGTCCCTCAGCTGCCATTGGTGGCTGTTCTGTGGCCAGTTTGCAGATGTCTCAAGTAGGTGGATGCTATATTTTTGATGAACAATGATCGCACTGATGTATGCTTGAACTATGTGTAGAGAAGTAGATTGCTTCGCGCACTCAACACTCATAATGTAGCCCAAGTGCAAACAACCTCCATATTCACCCTACAAGATGAAATAGTATTCCCTCAGAGCGATAGCATGAGGGTGAGTGCGGTTGGTTTGCTTTCGTGTTGCGTAGTTGATTGATCCACATCTATCCTTCCAGGGAGTTTCTTTCCTTCCGGGCGCTTCGAATATACCCGTACAAAAAGCGTGCCCTGGAACAGTCGTTGACCATTTGTATGTACACCTTTACTAGTCATCATGTCAGTATAACATTGACGGTAAGGTTCTATCAGTGGTATAGGAGTGAACTTGGTAGCGTATGGATTAGCATTGGATGCGCTTACGAATCGTAGGCCTGCCAGTCTCTACACGTTCAATCGTGAGTAATCCAACAGAAAAATAACAATCAATGAAAGTGATCTTAATTCAAGACTTTTGACGGTCTTAGGTGGTTATTGTGGACAATTAGGTGGGTTCATGATCTCAGCCATCTGACTAATCAAGGAAAAACTCATTGATTCAACACTTTGGAGCAGGTCATGACCTTTTGGCTTTTGCTGAGAATATCCCATTTTACGTGCAAACTGTTTTCCGAACATTCATTGGAAACGTCCCTGATCGAGTTAATAAGATCTTAAAGACAGTGACCACTTTGGTGAGCTACAAAGTTTAAGTGATTGTATTCCTCTTGAAAATATTCACTTACATTTATTGTGTTTTTAGAGTTCTCTCGCAGAACCAAAATTGCAAGTAAGTTGTGATCACTCTACAAATCTTGTTTAGAAATAAGCTGCTAAAGTCATCCGATTTTTCCTAGCAATACGTCTGTAATCGTGGTTTGGCACCTGCACAAGAATGTACCGTTGGATTCTGCGGTCCTGAAGAGCGACAAAATGTTGTAAAGGGAATCCTAGGAAAAGAAGGCCTAGGAGGCGCTCTTAACCCCAATGGGAATCCTTTAGGACAGATTACTGATTCTATTGGTGGTCAATTAGAGGGGATTGCTAGTCTTCTCGGTTGAATCAGCTCTCCCACAAAAGAGCCAGCCGAGTTTTGGGGTGGCTCACCTGGGATCAGTTTCAAGTGAAGTTCAGAGCTTCAGGCAAGGATACTCGATGAGGTTATTGAGCAATTACACTATACACATAGCTCCCGGTACATGGTTGGTTCCATCGACAATCGCTTTGAAAGATTGTTCCTGACCCACCTTCATATACATTTTTACTGCTACTCTTTCAAGTCCTTGTTTGGAGTTGACCTTTACATTTTGTTTCAAATACTCCTTTGCATCACTTTATTGGACATTACTTTTTAAAATCTCCCATAATCACCTCAACATGACGGTACCTAATTTCTGTAGATATAAAGCAAGGTTCATGTTTAAAAAAAACATTGAAATCTGTTTTAAACTTGATGTTATTTGTTGCTCAACATTAATGCTTCATTTTGCGTTCTCGTTTAAGCAATCTTCAATTTCAGATTTGCTCCAGATCCAACCCTATCTGGGGTTATTTGGATTGTTTGTCTTGAAAATGAAAAAAATGTAAAAAGTTGCAAGTTACCAATTATAATAAAACCAAAGATAGGATTTCAGCATCGGTGGATTCCAGTGCCAACTGTGATCCTGAATATGGCTTGAGAACAGATCAGGGTAAATAGACAAAGTGGCCAGCAGAGCACCTTATGTGACAAGTTTGGCCTTTGCTTTTCTTTGCAAAAGTGTGGTCTTGTACCTGAGGTGTTATGATCATTTTACATGGCAAATGTTGAGGGGTTATGAGACTCCTGAGAGGAGGGGCATCACAATGCGAGCATAGATTGAATGGAGATCTGGTTCTATTTTCCAGTTGGATTGCTGTTGAGGAACCAATTGTGATGGAATGAGATCAAGTTGTGGCTCATGATGATAGGTTGAACTTGAATGTCAGATGACTTTATGTATCAGCGCAAATGCTGTTTGCAGGGCAAAGGTATCAACTTTTTTTTACACAACACCAATGTCAATTCGACTCACCCGACTCAGACTCAACTCAGCTCATCCTTTCAAAAGCTTCACTAGACCATATACTCTCGGGATACCATCGATCAAAACTAACGATATCATTCGAATCCTAGCCATCGAATCGTCTTGTGATGACTCTTGCGCAGCGATCATCGACTCAAATCGAACCATTCATTCTAACATTATCATCTCTCAAGCAAAAGTACACGCTGTCTACCAAGGAATCCATCCATACCATGCCATAAACGCTCATCAACTCAACATCGTAAGTTGATATCATTCAAAAAAGATACAAAAAAAGTACTTTACTGATCTTGATTTCACTTTTGATGAATAATTCAGCCTATCGCAATTCGCGAAGCGATTAAAGAAGCTAAAATTCCTTTAGAAGAGATAGACGCAATAGCTTATACACGTGGTCCTGGTATAGCCGGATGCCTTGCAGTTGGAGCCACAGCTGCCAAGACTTTATCTGTTGCTTTCTCTAAACCTCTCATTTCAGTTCATCATATGGTACGTAATTCGTTTCTGAATCTTTTCCGATCATCTATCTAAAACTCAATTTTTTTAAAAGTTTTCTTACACATTTAGCAAGCACATACTCTTACACCTTTCCTTACCGAATCTGAACCAATTCGATTTCCATTCTTAAGTTTATTAGTTTCAGGTGGTCATACTCTTTTAATTCTTGTTAAATCGACTTTCGAATTTAAAATCTTGGCACAAACAGTTGATGAATCAATCGGGTTTGTTTTCATTTTCGTGCTCTTTTTTAGACTTTGAACTTTTTACTGATTTCTTGATAAATTTACCAAAAAACAACACAAACAGTTCAACAATTGATAAAGTTACACGTGATTTACTGGGTCATTCAGGTGGAGGACCAGCTCTCGAAGCGTTCATCAACGAACCCAACCTTGATCCATCACCGAGCAAACCCGAACCACCTCTCCCAGTAGCCCAACGTACGGGACCTGATACGTTTTCTTTCTGTGGTCTACGTACAGCTACAGTGAGAAGAATCTCTGATCCGATCTCAATTGATGTTAAAAGAGAAATCGGTAAAGCGTTTCTAGAAGCTGCTATAGCTCAATTAGAGCGTAAGGTTCGATATTGGATTCAAGAATTAAAGTCTCAAGACATACAAATCTCAGGACTGGTGTTAAGTGGTGGAGTAGCTAGTAATACAATGCTTAGAAATCGGTAAGTTCTTCACTGATGCTAAAATTCAACTTAAAGTCAATTAAATCAAAACTTACATCATGAACAGAATGAAAGATATGTTGAAAGAAGTGGATCCTGGTTTAAACTTTATGGTTCCACCAAAAGAGTTGTGTCGAGATAATGCAGCAATGATAGGTTGGACTGGATTAGATAAACTTTCGAGAGGTAAGATTAGTGAATTGGATCAGGAGGAAGTAAGAGCAAAGTGGTGTATTGAGAAAGCAGAAGATGATTGAAATGTTTGTCAAATCCCTGAAGCTAGAGATAAAGGTGACTTTCCACAGTTGTGGGTTTTCAAAGAGGTGAAATTATAGAATGAGGTCATTATAGCTGACAAGACGCTGATTGGTGTATTCTTGTCTCCCTGTGATATTGCTCAGGACACAGTGTCTACTTCCTTGGAATGAGGTGTGATGAGACATCCTTCTATACTCTGACAGATGTATACAAAAAAATCCACCCTAATCAACCTCTAGCCATTTTGGAAACAAACACTACCAAAAATATGATTTCTGGACAGAAAAGCAAAAGAATGATAAAGTACTGAATCAATGCCAGGAAGAGACCAAATAAATCTCAAAAGAAAAATGGATCTTGTTCCCAGATTTGAGACCTTCAATATGAGTTTCTTTTTCCTTGGATTTTCAGACACTACCAGCATAAAATGATTTTCCCATGGAAAAAAAGCTTACATTTAAAGCAACAAATGATTGAAAATGGGTTGAATCTGCATTAAATCTGCATTTTTGGATCTATAACAAAAGCCAAAATATTGACCCATGACCATCATCCTTGCTGATCAACGTCAAAACACATTTGCATAATGTTACCATTTAGCTTGAGTTAGCAGAATGACTTATTCAATTCTGATAGTATATAATGGTCAAAAATCCCTTAGCTTAGTTTGACAGTTTCATAATCAGAAGTGAAGGTTACCCAACTTCATTGTCCTATATCTCAGCAAAAGATCAGTAAGATTTGATGATTTTCTGATTGTATAATCTTGAAGAAAGATGCAGTGGACAGAAAATCCTTGGTGTGCTTAGACTTACAGAAAGAAAAACAAGAATCTTTCAGAAAAGATGATCCCCATGAGCCCTTAAGCCAAATATGTACCTTTTTGAGCACTTTAAAACTAGATTGATGAATTATTTCTGATTCATTTTGAAAGGTTATGAATAAAATCTTAAATCATATGACCTATTTCTTACTGTATATATATGTGTGTAAAACAACCCAAACTTTTGTATAACACTTTAACTTCCTTCAAAAACTTCAACTATCTTTCAAATTCAAGCTGCTTGATACCTTAATTTTTCTCAATTTTCTTTTAAAAAAACACATCAAGTAAGTATCACAAAATTTCCAAACTCATCTTACATAATGTGATGGTACAGGCTAGTTTTAACATTTTCAATTTTCTTCCAACTTTTTTCTTACATCTATTTCATTATATGTTAGACATTGAGAAACAAATATATAATTGCTGGTCTTAACCAAGGCACGACTTAAGGGGAAAGTTCCATGAGCAAAGGTCTGAGGTAGTGAGTAAACTGTACAGCCTGTACGAGAGTACAGCTCCCACATCGCAAGATTCCAAATCTAGGAAAAAAATTCCGCTGTACACAACCATTCACACCTCCGCTTGAAAGCTTGCAAATAGCATCAAGACATTCATAGTTTCTATACCCCGTTCCCCTATAAACTTCTTTTTTGTAAAAGCTCATACAACACTCAAGAGTAGTCTTTCACAGTCATGTCATCATTCAACGAAGAAATAGAAGCAGCAAAGAAGAAAATCACGGCAGCGGGTACAAAGATAAGAATCACAAGGAAAGGTCAGAAGGGACACGAGACCTCAAATATGGAAACTAGAAGCCAGTCCAAGTCAGGTGAGACCGGAACAAGCAAGGAACAACAACAAACCCAAGAAACAAATTCAGGTCAACAAGAAGGGGAACACGAGAATGTCGAGAATCAAAAACCGCAAGCAAACAAAGAACCAGTCGCTAGTACAAGCAAGAAGGAGGAAGAAAAAGTACTAAGAGAACCAGAGAACGAAGTCCAAGGAGACGGTAAGCGGAAATTTTTTTTTTCTTTAGTAAACAAGTCAAAGAGAAGTCCAAAGAACGGCACACTAGCAACCTCCAAAATAGTCGAAAACCTGTCACCCACAAGATCTGCATTTCTCTTCACCCAACAAACACCGTCTCTACTTTTCAACCCTGTCATACCAAGGGAAAACAAATTCATTAGCCCAAAAAATGAAGAGGCGCCAGAATGTCCGCAGGAAAGCTAAAGGCAACTTACCTAAGCAAAGACAAGTGCTCCAGTCACAAAATACTGAGGCTCGTAACGGGCTATACCGTGACCAAAAAAAGGACCAAGTGGAAAAGCACACAGATGCAAACCATATCCAAAAATCACCCGGATAAAAAGAGACCGTCGGCAATATGCTAAAAAGGCCGTGAAACTAAAGACAACTGGTTTTCCTTCCTTCTGTCTGACAGAGAACCTAGACCACGAAAGCCGGAAGGCGAAGTGGATGGAAAGAACCGAACACGAGTACTATTGGGGTGACTCAGATCGAGCTGACGAGATGCTCAGAGCTTTCAATGCGGTGTACGGAGGAGAACATCCTACGCAACAAGACCGAGACAACGTAACAAACAACGTCAGAAACGTCGCTGGCAACAAGCGCGCGAGATCGCCAACGGGCCCACCTGATACGCAACGCGTAAACCAACGCCCACGCACAGAGTCCCTGGTACCAGGTGGCGAGAGCGAGAGCGAAGAAGAGCAGACTTTGGCGGTCACGAAGAAGACTCCTATAGACTCTAAAAGGACGGCAGCCAAAGCGAAAAAACCGGCAGAGCCAGATGACCTCCAAACAGATGAGGAACCCAACAGCGAGGAAGGGGATGATGGTGAGCATTAACCAACCTGCATAGCAGGAGTAGTCAGCCAACAAATAACCGCAACTAACCAAGCTACCCGAACAAACAGAAACAGAGGAGGGGATCACCTACATGATAGGCAAACCTATTGAAGGAACCATTTTGCTACCGTTAACACCTTACTTCGAAAACAGAATGAAAACCCTAAAGGCCTACGTCCAGCTTACAGTGTTTGACCCTGTGTGGATAGAAAAAGACCACCACCAAGTCGGAAAGAAGAAGACTAAGTCCCTGAAAGAACTGCAAGAAGACGATTCCACAGCCACGTACTCAGGATTGACACCGCCGGAAGAACTTCGAATGACGTACGGCGCATGGACAGACGCGATAGATTTGTTCATCAAGTACCTAGAAACAGAGTATAACAGACCAACAGCCGCAAAGATGTTCATGCGCCACAAAGAAAACGTAGTGAAAATACGAAGATCGACTAAGTGCTGGATGGTTGCTTTAAGGTACTGCATGAAAGTGCGCCTCGTAGTGATGGTCGTGAAGAAGAAGAACGGTAAACGGGTCATGATAGACGCGGGCCACTTCCACAAAGATATATTGAGGGAAGCAAAGGAAGAAGCCGATAACAACGGTGAAAGGAAGTACGCCGAAAACCCCTACGTAGCAGGCGGCGGGAAAGAACAAATCGACCCTACTACCGGGCTGACGAAGTCGGTGGCGAAAAGAGGCTTCGCGTTCAATAACAGCAACGGATCAAACCAAAGTAAGCATATCGGCTGCAGACGGAAAGACTAATGTGCTGAAGAGACGGTTGCACCCACAGGAAGTTCCTTCCCCCCCAGACCAGCCAATACGCAAGCAACGGTCAAACGGCGCCAAACAGGAGCTGGGGTAAACCGGCGAGCGTAGGTTATCAAGGCAGAAATTTTGTGGAAAACTACAACGCCATCAAAAGAGCAAACGGATCCTGGAACGCGAACCAGAAGATAGACGCAAACCATGCATTCGGAACTGAAGGAGCTGGGAAAGGGAAGAGTTACCCTAAGGGAAGAGGAGGCGGAAACGTCATCTCGGGGAGCGGTAACGCAAGCGCCCCAACAGAGGCCGAGAAACAGTAAGTCGCCAAGCAACCTAATTGGAGTGGGAGAGGGAATTGTTGCCGGTGTTCTTTGTTCTGGTTGCGTGAAGTAATGAATCCAAAAACCTTTTTTGCACAACGGAAACCTTTTCTGCCAATAGACCCGTGACCGCAGACGACCCTGAGAAAGTAGAGATACAAACCCCGTGCATAAAGAGCCCAAGAGCTGAGCCTCCAGAAGAGAAAGTCAGTGTTGAAGTAAAACGAAACCTAGAGGTGGAGTCATCCCACCCCGTAACGGACCAAGTCCCGAACCACCTGCAGACGGGCCTAGTGAACGAATACAGGTGTCCTATACCAAATTTGGAAGCGACACTCCCGGAGGGAGGTTACCACATGAACAGGGTGTGGCCGGAAAAGGTCGAATGCGAGATGGACCTTGGAGCGTGGGAAAGGACACTGAAAGCGCTGAACTTGATGGAGAAGCACGGCTACGTACTACAAGGCTTCAGATATGGCTTCACGCAAGGAATCCCTCAACATACGGTCGGTGACAAGAAATTCTACGCACCCGACAATCACGCAACAAGCGCTAAGGAGAAAGACGAGATAAGAGGAAAATTATCAAAAGAGTTGAAGTCTGGACGGATGCAAGGCCCTTTCACAGAGGATGAAGTGCTGTCGGCTTTAGGTTTCTTCCGAACCAGCCCGATGGGCATGGTAACAAACAACAACGGATCTACTCGAGTAATAAATGACCTGTCCCACCCGAAACACGTAAGAGGAATATCGTCAGTCAACTCATACGTCAACAAGGAGGACTTCAAAACCAGTTGGGACAATTTTAGGACCGTCGCGACTTTCTTCAGCAAGGAAAACGGCGTACTAGAGTTGGGGATTTTCGACTGGGAAAAATCCTACCGGCAAATTCCAACCAGCCCCGACCAGTGGCGATACTTAATGCTAAAGACGTCAGAAGGTCGTTTCATCCTAGACACAAGGGTGTCATTTGGCGGCGTGGCAGGGTGCGGGAGCTTCAGTGGACCGGCTGACGCGTGGAGGGCGATTATGAAGAAGAAATTTAGTTTTGTAGAAGTGTTTGGGTCGACGACAATCTGTTCGTCAGGCAGGCAGGTGAAGCCAACCCAATGTCGATGAAAAACGTGGTTGACGCGAGCGCGGTACTGGGAGTGAAAACCAACAAAGGAAAGTATTCCGAATTCCAAACCGAGCAGAAGTACATCGGTTTCATCTGGAACGGTAGAGACAAGTCAGTTCGTCTACCGGAAAAGAAGAGGCAAGAAAGACTTGAACAGATCAGAGAGGCGATAGCGAACGAAGGCCCGCATACACACAAGGCAATACAGAAACTGACCGGTAGACTAGACCATGTAACCTACATGATGCCACAAATGAAATGCTACAACGTAGGACTCTACGGAATGCTAGCAGGATGGAAAAATGAGTTAGCCATACGGGGAATACCGAACCACGTTAGAGAAGACTTAAGAGAGTGGGAAGAAGTTCTAACTAACTTCAAGAACCACAGATTACTTCCCAAGAAAGGAGTCGAAAATATCGGGTGGATTGGAGACGCATCCACAAGTTTTGGTATAGGGGTGATTGTGGGGAAGCGGTGGACACAGCTGAAACTCAAAGACGGTTGGAACGAAATCGACGAGAGAGGTGTGAAACACGGAATAGCGTGGCTAGAGACTGTCGCCGTAAGAATCAGCCTCGAGATGATACGAAACACAATTGAAACAAGGGGAAGAAGATTTTTGGTCCTAACGGACAACACCGGAACCGAAGCGGCTATACGTAATCAGAAGTCTAGGGATTGGTCAGTGAACGACGAATGGAAATTACTTCAAAAAGAATTAGCGTACCTAGATTGTGAAATAGAAGAGCGATACGTAAGAACGGGCAACAACAACGCCGACATCCTGTCAAGAGGCAACAGAGGAACGAAAAAACGGAAACACCACGAAAAACCAGAGATCCCGAAACATCTCACTAAATATGTCAAGTACGAATCAGAAGAAGCCTATGAGGAAAGGACGCGCAACCTTCGAAAGAGTTGCAAGGAATGAAGACGGCGAGGGCGAAGAGAGTTGGAGAAAACCGGTATCGGAGCACCTGGTGCAAGGCGCATGGACCGACAACAAAATGAAAAGCTACGGAAGCGCGGTACAAAAGTTCAAAGCCTACGTGGAAAGCACGGGACGAGTGTTCAACGCAGAAGAACCAATAGAGGGAAAGGACGTGTACGGATTTGTGGTTTGGGCGGGACCATCTGAAGTGCAGAAGATGTCAGGCCCGAGTAGGGAGATCAAGGCGAAAACTGTGGAGAAGTATCTAGCGGGTTTGAAAGCATGGCAGGTGGCAAAACATTTGAAACAGCTAGAACTGGATAAACAAACGGTAGATTGGCTGCTGAAGTCGACGGCGAGAAGCGAGGAGAAAAGGAAGTTGTTGGGTGAGAAAGGAGAGCAAAAGGAGAAGAAGCCGATCCGAGTCCAAAAATTATTCGAAATGATAGCGGAGCTGAATAACAAATCTAAAGCACACGACCTTGCTATAACGATAGCTCTCTGCGCCTTTTGGGGAATGGCACGGCTCGGCGAGCTAGTAAGAGAAACAACCTTAGAAGGAGCTATCCGACTGGAAGACCTGTCCTTCAGAGAATCGAAAAAGGGCAGCATCGCGATCCTAAGAGTATGGAAGGCCAAGACAGCGAAGCCAGGCGAACCACAATTTATAAGGTACGTAAAAGAGCGAACTACGGAAAGATCGTGAGACACAGGCTAACTGGAAATCGGATAAAGAATGACTGAACAGAACTCGGTACTAGACCCAGTGGGGGCCCTGAGGAGATGGGTAAACAAGGAACATAAGGAGAACGATGGGAAAGCCCTGCTTTTCTCATACGACGTAGAAGGCGAACGACAGACGATATCGAGGATGAAGTTCACCAAGATGATGGAGAACGTGTGGGGTAAACACAACGTACAAACGGGAGAGTGGTCGGGTCACTCTTTCCGCGTAGGAGGCGCATCCCTGAGGTTCAATCTAGGATGGGAAAAAGAGAAAATAATGGAAATCGGTAGGTGGAAATCGAAAGCAGTGGATGTCTACCTTAAAAGCTTTGGTGAGAAAGAAAAGGAAGATACAAAGAATTTCCTATGGGTAATAGACCGGAGGAACAAATGAGGGTACAGCCGAGATAGGCAGTAATTCCGATTTAATTCCAGAAATGTAAGGAGTACACCCAGGGTTTTGAACTGATAAGATGAAATACAGAGTTTTAGGCCTCTAGGAGTGAGCACAAGCAAGTCAGACTTGCATAGAGTTTGACGGGACGCTCAACGAGTTGAGACTCGACGCGAGCCTCACTGTATGGGGTATTGATCGCCTGATCCACCAAACTCTAATTGCCTCGCCCGCATAAATCGGCAAGCCACAAACTGAGCCGCTCAGTCACCCGGTAAGGTTTAACCGTGAAGAAACTGAGCGCGCACCCGGGACCGGGCTCCCCCGAACATCTCCTCCCTCAGCCTATGAATACATAGGCCTAGGAAGGAGAATATCACGTGAGGTATATAAACTAAAAAAATCTCACTCTAACGAGATTTGTAGAATGGATGAAGTTTTTACTACCTTGAAAGAAAATTAAACTTCAAACTTCACCAATGAAAAACAGACAAATACAGTGGTTGCTGTGTTGAAATCCAGTTAAAAACTGAAATTTCAACTTTTTTTTTTGATATCCAAGATATAATGAAACAGTAGTATTTGATATTTTATATGAATTAAGTTCATGTGATGTATCTATATTAGAGAAAAAAAATTATAAAGTAGAAAACAAAAAAAGTTTGTTGATACAAGACAAAATTCAGAAAAAAAGTCAAAAAGTCAAAACAAATCCAACAAACTAGATTTCCACTGCATAACCCATCAAAAACGAAGAAAAAACCAAAAACTATATACACATCAACCTGATTCAAACCTTGGTTTCTCTTCTATTTTTTGTGATTTGTTTAAATACAATTGAATTCTAAAAACTTCCAAAGTTTTTCTTCTAATTTAAAATCATGATCAATAATTGTACATAACCATTTTTCATTTCCAATCGAATTGATTAAGGTTTTGGTTTGATGATCAGTTTGATGATGAAATAAAGATTCCCAAGAACTCCAAATTTCAAAAGCTTCATCCTATCAAAACCAAAGCAAAGCAAAAAAAAGCAAAAAACACCCCATCAAATTCTCAACTTTGACAGTTTTTGAATATGTATATAGAGAAAACACAAACCTTCCAAGTTTTAAAACTGTTTAATTCAATAATCGTAGTAGTGACCACCTCAGCACTTCTAAACACACCCCAAGTAACCACATTAGTCTCTCCAACGTTCACATTACTTTTAATTTCGTCCGAATTCCTTTTCCCAGCAAAATACTTCAACATTCCCACCTCAGCTTTCGAGTTTTCCATTTCGATAGCCATCAATAAGATCTCTAATTGAGTTTGATTTAAAAAAAACTCTACAAATGATTTTTGATAAATATAACCACCTTTCGGTCCAAACCCAACAAATTGATTATCAGATGGAAACCCATCACATGCAGGTTGTGATGAGATTGTCCAGTATCCTTTCATGTTCATCTTTAAAATCGTATCTGAGATCAAATCACTTTCTTCTAATAATGGTGTATCAGACCAAGGAGTCGAATCGATCTCTCGTTTAGTATATCTTACAAACAAATCGGTGATCTCTGCTTCACTCTTGGGTGATCCCCATTGCTTTAAACCTGTCAAAGAATCACATGATAATTTTCCTATCCCTCCGTAATATTGGTCTATCTTTCCATAGGCTGGTGATCTTGAATCTCCAAACCTTCCATTCGGAAACTCGTCCCATGTGTTGGGTTCTAATCCAGGTTGAACAATTGGTAAGATTCTAGAGTCGTTAGGTGGAAGTAATAGAGTAGTAGTAGTCGTGCTGCTCATCGAAGGAGTTGTCCAATTCAAACTGGAAAGTAATCGAGTGATGGTGACTTCTAGATTTAAGGTACATAGATGAAATGAATTGATGTGATGTGATCGAAGGGTTCGGATGGTTTCTAATGAAAGCTTTAGTCCGAAATCTTTGACTGCTTGGTCGTTGGTTTGGATAGGTGATAATGAATCTAAGATCGTTTGAGGTACTTTTATTTTGGTCAATGCGGTTAATCTACGAAACGATTCATACGATTGGATTGGCATGATACTTGGAATGATGGGAACACTAATACCTACATAAAGATATCACCAAATCCATCAGTGTGTTTGGTTCATGAGGTGATCCGAAATTCATACTTACCAACTCGACGACAATCATGGTACCAATCCAAAAAAGTTTGAGTATCATAAAACAATTGACTAACAATAAACTCAGCACCTGCATTGACTTTTTCTTTTAAAAAGTTTAGTTCTTGATTCGAATCATATTCACTCGATCCTTCTGGATAACCAGCTACTCCTAAACAAAACGTCTTGGGATAATTCAAATTGATATATTTAACTAAATCTATTGCATGATTAAATTCAGTAGTTGTGGTGGTGGTGGTTGTGGGATCGGTGGTGTATTCGTTGGGTCGTGGTGGATCTCCTCTCAATGCCAAAATATTCACAATTCCTAATTTTTTAGCTTCCTAAACCAAAAAAACCAAAACGTTTTCCAACCAAACATTTATGTGTGTATGTTGTAGGAAAAAAAAGTAATACGTAAGAAAACTTGAAAATTGAAAAATAAGAGGAATATTCCATTTACATTTAAAGCTTGATTCAATAAATCGATCGAAAGGTTCGTACAAGTTAAATGTAAACAAGTAGGAAATCCTAATTCGATTTGAACAAAACTAACTAAACCTAAAGAAGTTTTAAAGGTCGATCCATTGGGTCCCCATGTGAAATGAATCATTGATGGATTTAGTTTAATCATTCTTTGGATTCTGGTTTGTAAGTTTTGTAATCCATCAATAGTTTTAGGAGGAAAAAACTAAAAAACAAAACAATAGGTAAAAAATGAATTAGATGGTTTGATGAAGTGTGGGTTTCTTTGGGGGGAAGTTGGGGGACTTTACTTCGAATGTGAAATAAACTTGGTTTGATTCGTTTAATGATTTAATCAATTCGTCTATCCTTTTCATCTTAAACAAAGTATTCTTCAAGGTTTTCCAAGGTTTTTGAATCGTAAGGTCTTGTTGAGATTTTCCAAAATTGTTTTTACTTGTTAAGATCCAATCAATGAATCAATCCTTCTTCTTTTCTTGAATGGATTTCTTTTCGTTTTGATTAAGCTTTTCTTCGATTGCTGAGGGTCTTTGATAAGTTGGATGAGAGTTGGGTTGATGGTGATACTGATAAGGTTTTGATACTCAATTCGATTCCATATGCGGAGTACTAAAGTGTTGTTTCAAAAACACAGTTTCGATTGATAATGTAGTTTGTCAAGCACAATGATCCTGCAATGTGCATACATCCAAGCATCAAATCACCCTCATACTGCAACTCAGCACTGACCACTTGATGCTTGATTCTCAGATATCTTTTCATCATTGGTTCAAATGAAAGACAAATTAAAAGCTCAAAGTGAGTCCACGTACGATAGATATGACCGATTTCCTCTACTACGAACATATCAGGTTGTCTTGTACAATGCTTTCAAGACAAAACGCACCCAAAAGATTGCACGGATCTCTGCAAAGTCTCATAATTTTCTTGACCAACTCAACTCGATGACCAAGTGAAGCTCAAATCGCTTCTAAACTCTACGATAAATACATATTCTCCATCCACCTCTGATTTTTCCAATGCAAAAATATCGCGTTTGTTTACAACATCGAGAGCATACGTAATTATATGTTAGATATACTTTGAATGAAGAATCAAGATGATGAAAGTGAATCATCTCAAATTCATATCAATCTTTATTCTTTAATTTTTGTGCACCATTTGGCTCTTTATAAAAAACAGAGGTTCTTGACATATGAAAGATTAGAGTGTCTTTTGATCCTACATAATATGATTTCCAATTAAAGTGATCTATCCTAAACTCATTTCTTTTCCCTGAAATCTCACAACTTGAGCTTTCTTGAAGCCAATGTACCATATCCATAAGTGATAATTGTTGAAATGTTCTCTCCAAAGAAAGCTATGTTTGTCCAAGACCCGCATGACAGACAGAAGCAGATGAACAATATGTAAAAGACTGGAAGAAATGGATAAGGAAAGATGTTCTCACAGTACATCAATCAGCACCAATGGCTTAGTAAAAACAGCCAACGGTGTATGGTACATTGTAGCGCCCTTTTAGCTAGAAGAGCTGGAAAAAGGAAAGCAAAAACTTCTTGGTAAGAACTCTCTTCTGATTGGTTTCATAGTTGCTCTTGATCCCATACCTATACCTTTAATTAATCCTGATTGACTCAGCTCAAAACATTTCTTATCATTCTGTCTACATAAATGCTTCTTATTCAACATTACTCATTATCAGAAGCATCCATATCACTCAAGTCAGAGCCCATCAATTTTCATATCCGGCTCCGTTGCGACTCTTTTGATTATATTCTTTTCAAGGACTTTCAGTTCAACATGCTGTGTACATAGCATCTTTGAACTGAAGGTGTTTTGTGTGTGTGTTTTTTCCTCAGCCCAAAACAAACTGTGGGGCAAGTACAGCTCGGGACAGCTCCATTCCCATTCCCGCGTTTCCTACCCTCTGACAGTAACAGTAACCGGAAGCCATCCAGTGTTGTAGGTGTGAGGACGCGGATGCCCCGAAAGAGCTTATCAAGTTTTGTATCAAGTACTGTGTATTCAGAGGAAGGAGTGGGCGGATGCTCGACAAGCCTTGAGATGGGTTGGACTCGGAGATGGTCTAAAGTACTTTGAAAGTCCCTCGTCTCGAGGAAAGTCAAGAGATGCTCGTCTCGTGTTTCTTGGTGCGAGATAGGGTACCGAACGGGCAAGTTTGGCCATGTTATTACCGTCTCTGATCCTCACTTGAATCCGGAGTCATCCATTGGAACGTCACCGAAACCTTAACGAGGGTACGGCCGAGAGGTATACTTGAATGATTATCAATACCACAAGAAAACGATCGACAGTTGACTTCAAAAAGTTGCATTGTATGGAGTTTAAACACTCCTCAGGTCGGGACGTTCCCGCTCCAGAGTTTCCGACGACACACTGAGCGAATAGTTTTTCACGTGAGAGAAGCTGAGCACTGAACTTCGGCTGATCCATTGACAGTCTTACTGGCGCTTCTCTGCGTGCAAGTTGAAGGCAAGTCCCTCGCATCTTGTATGAGATCTCACACGTAGGGTCGACAGTCATAGCCAGCCTCAGCCAGCTCTGGATGGATGGTGTTCACACATTAAAATCTCATGTCCTATGAGCATTTGCTTCTTCTGATTTGTTGTGAACTTTGAGTCGAAGACTTTCCTGAGATCTGATTCTTCCGATACACAAAATACATAATTTGTCATCATCTTTTGACCTGCGAAATGATTTTTGTAAACACTTTGATTGTTGCGATCCTGATCAGTACCACTACTCAATCTATCGCAAAGCCATTGGAACTAGAGATACCCACTCTGAGCGCACATAGGGCTCCATACGAGGTTCCTGCTTTGAGATGGGAAGACAAAGAAGTTGAAAAAGCTATCAATTCGAAAAGACTACTTTTACTTCTTGACTATCATGTGATTACTCTCCTTATTCATCAAAGCTTCATTGTCAAACACATGCTTTACTAACGATATACTCCTTGTGTATTGGAAAATTTCAGGGTACTCTCATGGGATACGAAAATCAAGACCATCCAAAGCTTATGAAAATCCTCAAGAAGATCTCTCAAACATCAGATCTAGTGATCACCTCTGGAGGTCCAGCTAAAGAGCTCCTTGAAAGATTTGATGGGATTCCTCATCTTACTATTGCTGCTGAGATGGGAGCCGCAGTGTTTTTTGAAGGAAAAGAAATCAAAAGTGCTCCAGTGGGAACTCGAGAAGAAGTCAAGAGGATCGAACAGATCTGTAATCGAGTTATCAAAGGTAAGTCAATTTCTGGTTGACCTTTTCTCTTTTTGATAGAAAGAAATTATTACTTTTTCTGATCTGTGGAAATATATTATTGATACTTTCAGATCTAGATAAAGGTAAGTTTCAATTCCAGTGAAATTGATCATGAAGATACTAGACTTGTTGAAGTTCTTACCAATGCTTTTTTTGTTCTTTGGCTAATGACATTAAATCAAGATGAATACGTAAAGAATGATCAATTGAAGCCATACCCTGACAGGGAATATTCATATCGGTTTGCTATTGGAGAAAAAGTTGACCCAAACTTTAGTCAGTACTACTACTACCCATTACCCCAATCCATCTGATTATAATTCTGAAATACTTTTCATTTCACTTTGCCCAAGTGAAGAAAAGAATTACTGATGTTAATCATTCCTTTATGTTTTTGTCCAACTCCTGGTACACTGGTACCTTTGAATTAACTGATCATGAAAACAGTATCCTTACTCTTTGAGACTATCAAGCAAGAACTCAAGGATGAAGGATTAACAGCCTGGAACGCAGTGTTACCACGAAGTAAGAGGTTTTTAAATATCTGGCTAGCCAATCAAAGTAAGATAGAACTTGCAGACGCTCTTCTTCAAAAAGCTATTAATGAAGGCCAAGAGTATGATTACGTGATTGGTATGGGAGACGCTGAACTAGATGAACCTTTACTTGAGTATCTCAATCAACACACATTTCTTTCTATCATGGTCGAGAATGAGTTTCATAAGAGAGTATGGACAGCTGCTCAGTTTCGTCTTCCGCTTGTTGAGGAAGCTCAGGATCTACTGGAACATATTGCTAATCAAAGGATCAAGAGAATAGAGTTACAAAAATCAGAGTAATGATCTTTGGTATGGTTATCAGTAACAAACTAATAAAATGGATACCAACTTTTTTAAAAGTTCCAGAAGAGGTGCAAAATCTAGAAACTTTGACTTTGTCCTCTGAAAAATGAGAAAGAAACAATTGTTAAAGCCCTTGCCAGGGTCTCTGAATGTACCTTTTCAGCTTCCTTACCATCTATACATCACCAGTCTTGTTTTTATGCCATTCCACTTCTAGCTCAAATCTCACTCTATATATACCCGACTTTCTCTCATAAATGTCTAGAAAAACCCATGCACTTCTAAGTCCCATAGCTCAAAATACAACCTGTGTATTTCTAAGGGGTTTTCCTTAACAGTGTGGTCTTTGTTCTCATCCCTCTTTTCTGATTTTATGGATCTTATCATGTCTGCACTGTTTGTGAGCCTGGATTGGTTTCAGCTGTGATTCTTATCTGTTCTTCAAAATTGAGTGGAAAATCATAGGATTTGTTGAGAATTTACACTTGCTTACATTGTCCCCATTGAATAAGCTGCAACTTGTTGGATGATGCTTCTCACTCCATTTTCATTGGTCCTTTTCTGCTTTGTTGATTTTATTGATATCTCTTGCAATCTACCTTACAATCAATCACTAGAATTCTCTTATTGACCACTATACATCTTCTGGGACTGTAATAGTGGCCTTTGCTGGTGTAGAACATTTCTTACTTTTTTTCTACTTTTTTGGGGGGAAAAGGCGTGCCTGACGCGCCCCAGTGGCGCCTGTGCCAGTCCAATCAAGTTTTTTTGCGCATTGGCATGCCTGTTTGAAAAAGGACGCACCCACAACATGAGCCAGGGCCCTTTTGTTTTGGGTTTTCACAGTCACACCCTTGGTGAGGGCGTGAGAGCGCTCCCTTGAAGTTGCAGCATGATTTTTTTCTTCAAAAAAACACAATTTCATGGACACCAACACCTTCCATTTCAATCTTGTATGTCAAAGTAGTGGATTTCATACATATTACACAGGCACAACTTTGACTTCTGAGCAAATATCCCTGAAAACAGGCTTTTGATCCCAGCGGCTTGGCTACAATCCCAAAAATCTTCACAACACACAGATCATGGCTGTTTATGGTATATGGTTCACTTGGTTTTTTGTAGGGAGCCACACTGATTTTGTGGCCATGTTAGGCATATATATACGTAGGGCACCCCCTCCCCAAATCTACTTTTCATGCCACACCCACCACACAAGCACAGAATAAAATATAAAGAAAGGGCAACCAATCTATGAGCTCTAAATACACAAGCCCTCAATTTTGTACTTGTTGAGGATCCACCCTCACTTTTGAGATGCCCACATCAAGAGCATCTCAAAAATTCTTTGTCAGGACAATTGAACACATATTTTTTTTTGTTCTGTATGTCTGAATAAAATCATGCATCACATGTAATTTAGAGCTTTACAACCAAAGGTACTGCTCAGGGCTTTCCTTATCATTAGTATGCCACCAACGTGCAAGCGCAACGAAATACAACGCAAAATGTCCTTTTTTTTGTTGTATTGCGCCTCAAAGTAGTGCAGTGGTTGTTGCGTTGTATAGCCTACGCAACAACCTAAGTTAATCGAGGCATTTCGTTGCTCTTGAGCGCAACAAAACGCAACGAAACAGACACTATGAGGAGCCGATTGCGGCCATTGTACTACTAAAACAACTAACATTATATAAACGGAATGAAAGATATTCCATAAAAGAAATAAACAGTAAAATAAGTGTAGAATAAAAAGAAGAATACAAAGATTGGGCATACAAAGATAGATGAAATGAAAAAGACAATCAAGTTTTGCCCTTCCCCTTGCCCTTCAGCTTGGCTGTACACATCGCTCAATAGTCCAAGATGAAAGCCCACCCCGATCTGCCGAACAAACATCAGCCGCTGATTAAAACGTTCGTTCAATGGCGCAAGAGGTCCCCACACAGGCTAGGTAGTCCTTGGCAAGGACTGACAAGCGAGGAAAGTCGGTTTCGTGGAGCTGTGTTACCAAGTGCCATTAGTTTAAATGAATGAATAAACATAAGACAAGATAGAGGAAAAACTGACCCGCCACCACATCAAATGATCCATACCCTGACTACAAGGGAACTTGCCTTTTGCATAAACTTCAATCTCCATATCCAAAGTGGTGGGAGGTGCGGATTTTGAGGCAAATGCATTGTACTTCTTGAAAGGATTTAAATCACGAGTTTCAGTATCAGCGATAGAAGTACGATTTACTTCTGTTGTTGGGCTGCTAGACTCGGGTTGCGAGTTCAATTTCTCACTTAATAAAGTTGAAGCACGTTCAAATCGATCTGGGTACTTGTCCTCAAAGAATTTGAGGCGATATTCCGGGTTGAGAACTGTTGCTAAAACTATCGTGTCGCACTCCAAAGCCTCCGACTCGTAGCTCATGAGCTTTGGAAGCATCACATCAATCATAGTCTTCAGGCTGAGGAATGGTGTTTTCTTTTTATGATCTCTAAGTGCTGATATGATGGAGTCGTAGTGGAAGAGAACGTGGCATGCATTTGATTCGTCACCCTCCATCATCTTCGTTGAAAGGGTAAAGATCTGGATCAAGATAAAACAATCAATACAATCAATCTATGCTGATCGATCACTTTCAGAACAAGGATTGAGTTGGCTGACCTCCAAGAGCTGGTTGAGGGCCTCGACCTCTTTCCATTTGTTGGGACTGATAGTGATACCTTCAAAATAGCCTTCCTCATCATCATTCAAAATGTGATTGATGACCTTTTACATCGAAATAATCAGTGTTTTCAAAAAGATGATCTTCATAGAAAGCAACATACCTTCTTTGCCTCACAAGCTCGACTCTGAGAATCCAACACAATACCCCATCTGTGACCGTGACCAGATATTGGGCTTCGGCCTGTGTAGTTGAGCTCTTTCTTCACTGTTTCAAACTGTTGAATTCGAGCATGTGACGTAGCAATTGCATTGCTAACCACTCGGACCTAACATACATTATGTTAGTTGATCTTGTACATTGTATAGATAGATAGACAGAAGGTAATATGTCCTACCTTGCTGACCGCTCTTGGAAGAGGATCCTTACGAAGAGTAGCCGGGGGTTCAATAAGGTTGGGAGGTGTATTTTGATCGTTTTCTTCATCTTCTTCAGTTTCAGTGTTACTGACTGGAGTCGAGTCTTCCAAATGAGTGGCTAAGTCCGGATCATCTTCTTCTGGCCCATCTTCGTCATCGGATGGAACTTCAACGGTGATTGAAGGCCCATCATCGGCCTGTAGCAGGACTCTCGGTACTCTACCTGGCTTGGTTGTTGGTTTTGTGTGACCAGCAGTCAAGTTGATGGATTTCAATCCTTCCTTGACCGTCACTGCTAACTTATGTGCGTAGCATCGGATCTGGTTCACGGATGAGTCCCATTCCACCGACTCATCAGCTCCAAGGAACATCCGTTCCATTTCTGCTGCCATTGTGTTATTGTTAGAACCAGAATCCGTTGTCTGGGCTAACATGTGGAGAACCAGAATCAACGTGTTAGAAACGATAAAAAAACTAAGACACTTATCTTTGAATGCAATCCATGACGTATTAAAAAGTTTGCGATTGGTTGAGCCAGAAGACTTCCGTTCTTGTTCCAGGCCACTAGCTTCAGAGTCAAATGCATGACCTTAAGTTTCCAGTCTTTATCAATGTAAGAAACTGAGCATCCAATGAAAGCTTTCTTCCCTCCGCGAGTTGTCCATACATTGTGGATGAGATTAAACTTGGAAGGTAATTTCTAACAATTTAATAAAATCAGATTTGTCTTGTTACTCTGGATTTGTTTGACTACATTAAATACCTTCAGAATATCAATCATGTGATCATGGTAATCCTGATACAGCTTGCAACCGGTTTGCCTAGCCCACCAACTGGATTGAAGGACCGCCGCTGGGTTAGCCAAGAGGAAAGCAGCTCGCAGGAGGGGGTCTTCAATGTGACGCCAGGGCAACACTTGTCGGGTTTGCCATAAAACAATGATCTGATTGAGTCTTTCAACATCAAACTTTGGGGCGCCTAGAAAGGCGTCCAACGTCCCTTTTGATTGACTGGCTTTATTTGCCGTCAATTCATCCTGTTCGTCTTGGTAAGTATTAGGCAATACCAGTCCAGCCGCCTTTGCCAGATGTCGTTTGGGACATGGCTTTCGTTTTTTCCGGCCATCTCGATGGCCCCAAAGGTTGAAGTGATTCGTTTCTCCATCAAGATACAGGCCTTTACACCACCGGCATTTGTATCCGCGTGGGATCTCCTCACCCGGGTCCTGATGTAAATAAAATAGAATGTGTGAGATGATCATAAACATGATATGTAGATAAGTCAATGGACACATGATTGATTGAACTCAACTTGGTCTGGATGCGGCTCGGGATCCCCATAAAACTTATATAAGTCCTGTAGCTCAGCATTGGTAGCTCGGGTCCTGACTTTTTTGGCTGTGTGCGTGATTTCTGTGTCGGAGTCTCGATTGATGTCTAAATTATTGGGGATACGAAAGGTCTGCTAGGCCAAAAGAGGTCAGGTACGTCCATCAATTCGTATAGAACACTTGAATTATTCCTCACCTTGGCTTTCTTTGCCTTAGACTTTGTTGTTTTCTTTTTGACTTCGTTCTTCGAAGTTAGACGGGAGCGTTTTTTACCCACAGTTGAGCTGCCAGATACTAAGATAACTGAGGCATCAGATTTAGACCCATCATCTATATCTTGTTCATCATCCTTTTCTTCAGTTTGTGAAGGTTGATATTGTGAACTTTCGTCGTCTTCAAGTGGATTTGACGGACTTGTTGGCGCTTGAGGCGCGCGGCGACTGTCAGATGGGGTCGATACAAAGCCAGGGTCACGGCGCGCTGGGCTTGGAGGCCGAAGTGACCGGCGTGAACTACTACCACGAGGATCCACTGAGAATGTAAAAGATGAAGATGGGACACTAAGGTTCTGAGACAAATGATTGGAAGACGGTACAGACAAAGATTTGTTTTTAGAGATATTTTTTTGTGAGTGTTCAGGTGCCATGTTGATGTTGTAGTAGCAAAACTATTATAACTTGATACTCAAAAGTAGAGTTGACTCAGGAGCTGTTGATATGAAAATAAGAAAGAGATTGGGGGAATTTTTTTTGGTCAAGGTACGAGAAGGGTTTGGAAGTTTCATACATTAGTGGATGTCTGCTTTGTCCATCTCAAATGAAAAAATCCCATTCTGATCATCCTATTCCTATTTGGGCATAGGTGCTGGATCAAATGCAGGGATTACGAGATTGGAAACGAGGGAATGCGGGAAACTCAAGGGCAAGGGGCTCCTCACAAAACTGTACGCAATCTGTACCGTTTCGTTGCGGAAAACTGGTTTGTCATTGCATTGTGCTGCAAATTTAATGCAATGCACCCAAGACCCTTGTGGTTTCGTTGCGTAGTATAACACAACGACAGCATAGAATTGCGACTTCGTTGGGCCGCAACGAAGTCGCAACGCAATGCAATTTATTGCATTGCTCCTCGCGCGTTGATGCCACACCATATCAAATCAATAATCACTGTGTCTGTGTGGCGGTCTCTTGATGACAAGCTCACACGGACTGCCTTTGAGGCACAAAGGTGACTCATGTGCACTTACCAATGAGCAAACACCACACCAACATGGTAAATTCTTGTTTCAGTACTAACTAAGTAAGCCCCAACTGCTTCTCCAGCAAGCTTTAGCAAGCAGGGAGATTCATATATGATGTTGGACTTAGTGATGGCATAAAATGTCTCTTCTTCAATTATGTTTCCAACAAGCTTATTACTAAACATAATCCCATGTTTTTCTTTCTTTGATAACCAAGTTCAACATCTTCTCTTCATCTCCAGCTAGGCAATTGGTGCCCAGAAACCACACAGGTTTGAGACATAAATATCTTTAGTTGCAATGTCCACCAAGGACCACAATTTATCACTGCTGATTAATCCTTTCCCTCATGGTTTTCCCTATTTCAAATCATAATCTCCTGGGAAACTGAGATCATTGTTACATTTTTATGGTCAGAGATCCATTACTCATCTGATAAGTGATTGTGGTTTTAAAAAGAACTATATGTACTAGTATTACACATCAGATCACCATACATCTATCACCTTATTGATTAAATTGGTCAAGACTCAAAAACTGATGAAGACAGGTAACATATTGATTTCTTTGGATGTTGTCTCTAGCAATCATTCATAGTGTTTTGTTTTACAAACCAAACCTATTGTGTTTTAGTTTAGGGTATTGGGGATCTGGGTGTGTATGTAGTAGATAAATAAGTGTTTTTTATTTTGTATTTCTTTAAAGATTTTTGATACCAATACAATTTGAACCAAGAAGTCCTATTTGCTTGAGCTATAGAACATGGTCCTATTAATTCTCTTTCTCTTGGTTTGAAGTGTCATACATGTATGATCATGTAGGATAGACAATCACACAGAAATTAAAAGATTTTGGATTATGAGCCAATGAAAAACTTGTCCACTGATTTTTTCTGATTCTTCTACAGTAAACATTCATATATGAGTATTTCTTATGACATACTTGCTTGGTTTGGTGTAGGTTTGTCAAGTTTATAGTTCATGAAATCTTTGGTTTTGGATCATACTTTCTTTACACAGAGTATTATAGAAAGCATCCTTCTAAACTTTTGATGGTGACAAACTTTTGATTTTTTCTTGATTGCTAGAACCCAGCTATTGATTGATAATCTCAGGGGATGTGCACTTGCGCAATGTCTGGTCAGCAATTACATTCTGCAAAATTTAAAGTGCTGATGTGGTGGAGTATGGTTAATTTTTGCATTGTAAAATTTACAGACTTAGGACATGTTCACTTAGGGTCCATTTGGTAGCCGTCAACCTTGAAAGTTGACCAAGCCAAATGTTCAGGCATACACTTCAAGGCAGTTTGAAGTGCACACTTGGGTGTTGAGATGTTTTGTACACCCTTTTTCAAAAAGAGTGAAGCGTACACTCTGCAGCTCCACCAGCCAAAAGTCAACCTGGCAGTTTGACTGTTTTGCTGCATTCTGCCAGGTTGACCTGCCTACTGTCATGAACTTGGCTTCAAAAAGGATACCTCTATCAAATCAAATCAATTGATTTTTCTTTCTTTTTATACCTTATTTTATTATTATAAATACAATATATACATTCACTCAAGATAGAAAACAAAGAACAAACACATGATTGTTATGTTTTCAAAAAACCAGCTTGAAAATCCAATACTACTAACATGAGTTGTAACTTGGTAGGTCATTAACCAACTGAGAGCTTTAAATACAACTCATCAAAAAAAATTCAACTTCCAACACAGACAGAGAAAGGTATAAGATGATCTATAAATGCTTTGAATGAGTGAGATGAAATACCAATCAATGGGATATGAATGAAATCTTGATCAGACTTACTATGTACCAAAAAAGGACTCTTCAGTTTAAATTTATGTTTTTATGAAGCTTGAGTTTGGGATACTGCAACCCAGGCTCTTGAGCCATATTGTCAACTTGGGCATACACAAGGAAATGATTGTGAAGTGTACACCTGCAAGGTTGACTGCAACCAAATGGGGTCTTGAGGATATTTATGAACAGAAATTGTGTTCTGTAAATTTTAAAATGCAAAAATAAACCATACTACACCAAAGCAGCACTTCAAATTTCACAGAATGCAATTTCTGACCAGAAATTATGTAAGTGAACACGCCCTTAGGGTGTGTTTACTTGAGGAATTTCTGAACAGAAATTATGTAAGTGAACACGCCCTTAGGGTGCGTTTACTTGAGGAATTTCTGAACAGAAATTAAATTTTTTAATGCAAAAATGAAACATGCCCCACCAAATAAACACTTTAAATTTTGCAGAATGTGATTTCTCAGCAGATATTGCCATTACATTATCCTCTACAAAAAGTGTTAGTCTGATTTATATTTTGGTCAAAAGAAGTAGAACCCAAAGTTGACTTTAGTTTCCAAAAACCTTCATGTTTTTTAAAAACCTTCATGTTTTTTTTATTAACTTTTCTTGTAAAGGTTTCATACATTTAGGGTACACGAATATCAGGAAATTTCTAGATGACTTTTTCCAGTACACCTAAAGGTTTTTTTCGTTTGGTGTGTTCTGCTGTTCTGCTGTTCTGGTGTTCTGAAAGTTCAAATGTCCTATCTACACTTTGTGTGTGTTTCCAGAATCTTAAAAGCTTTTAGGTGATCTGGAAAAAGTCTAGAAATTTCTAGAACGATATGTGTGTACTTTGATTACGAAGTGATAGATACTTCCACAGTTTCCAAAAGATCTAACCCGTTTCTTTACACCACCCTACAAGAAACAGTTCACTGATTAAGACTTAAGAACTGATCAGAAATACCCAAGGTTCTAAACACTTACTTTTGAGTGTTATTTTGAGTGTTTTCTTGATCGATTCGGGATCTAGAAGTCCGCTGTGCTGATTAACCCATCAGAATGAGAAATATAATGTCTTACGAGTATAGATCTTTTTCTGATGAAAGTTCTATCGATGATCTAAAAAGATTGGTTTTTCTGAAGAGATGAAGTGGGTGTCTATCGAAAAAGGAAAGCTGCTTTGATTTATTTGCTTGAGTATTAAAAGTTGAGATCGAATTGGTTGGTATTAGTTTTGATGTTGATAGTTTTCGATTAGTTGATGAAGTTGAGTTGAGTTGAAAAGTGAAAGTGATTTAAATTCAAAAACTGTAGTTCTCTTTGATAATTTCTTTCTTTCTTCCTCAAACACAATCCAATCCAATCCAACCCATCAACTCTAGTTTTATCAGAAACAACCACCAGATTTATCATTTACATCTGAACAAAGTGGTCACCACTAATACTATCTACTACTATCTCACTCCCCATTCCTAACCTCATCATCCATCAAAAATAAACATACTACTCATTCCACCAAACTCCCATTCTTCAGGTAAGTCTTTCTTTCTTATCTTTCCTTAAATCGGTATCCGAACTAGAACCATATGCTATGAAATATATCTCAATATATATTCATAAATCATGCCTCAGTCTCTGATCAATAACTTGTACTCAAGAAACCGAAACTCCTTTTTTTTATCTATCTTTGCATTGGTTCTAATAACTTTCATGGGTTTCTTTTTGATTTATTAAAAACACAGGGTATTTCGAAACATCAAGTCTTGAAATCAAACAGAAATACCCCATCAAACTTCAATTATCCATTTCTTTAAAAAATCTTAACATATATATATATATATTCAAAGTAATTAAATAGGTTTTCATCCCTCTCATGTAAGCTTTTACCCTTTTTCCAAAGTTTCTAAAAAAACACCTCATCAGAATTAAAAAAATATCTATACTTTGCCACGTTTTTTTCAACAAGTATAACTGATATAAATGTGTACCATTCTATAGCTTCGATTTCTCGAAACCTCACCCAAACCCTTACCCAAGAACCGTTTACGATTTTTTCCAAACCTACCCAAACCAAAATGACCACAAGTACGCACCCATCAACGACTTCAAATCCCACTCCAATACCTACCCAATCAACCAGCAAGATCACCAACCCCAACCCACTCGAGTTTCCAAAACCCACCACAACTTCACAAGACCGACGACGAAAACCATCCCGAACGTCTATGAACACCACTACACTAGACCCCACTCTAATGGAACGCAACAAACGAACACGAGCGCACAAGCCTCATCGAGGGAGCACTAAGCCTTCCCAACCTTGCTCCAAACCTAGCGCTCCATCCAAACCTATCCCAGCCACCCCATCACGGAACCCACTAAGAACATACTTATCAACTCTTCCTGAAAACCCCCCAACAACAACAACCACAACCACAACGTTTGATCGAACGTCAATCCGAACAGAAGCGCCTAGAATCACACCCAAGATTGAGCCAGATGATAGATTATTCGGATTAGAACATTGTCCAGTGTTTTATCCTAGTGAAGAAGAATTTAAAGACCCAATGAAGTATTTCGAAAGCATTGGAGCACGATTAAAACGATTTGGAATAGGCAAGATTGTTCCACCTTCAGGATGGAGATCACCCTGTGTCCTAGACATCGAGGTACGTTTTTCCCTCCCCAAACCAACCCCCATCCCTCTCCATTCAAAACCAAACTAATCTTGACTTTTTTTTTGGAAAAGTCTTTTAAATTTAAAACTAGATTACAAAAATTAAATTCAATGGAAGCATCTACTCGAGCTAATTCGAATTTCTTGGAACAGTTATTTTTGTTTCATAGACAACAAGGAACGATTAGTAGTTTTTTAACTCCTACTAAGATTCAGGTTCCTAATATTAATCATAGACCGGTTGATCTTTGGAGAGTAAGAAAAGGTGTGAGGTCTATGGGAGGTTATGAAACTGTAAGATCATTTTCTCTAATCTGAAGAGAGTTGATGGAATTCTAAGACTGAGTTCTTTATTAAATTCTAAAACTGATTTTTATTATGAAATTCTAAAACTGATTTCTTTTATTGAATTCTAAAATTGACTTTTTGGTGGGGGTTTTGGGTGAATAGGTAACATCTCAAAGAAAATGGTCATACTTAGCCAAAACATTAGGATACGATGTAGTCAGATCACCAGCCATAGCGTTCCAATTAAAGTCAACTTATTTGAAGATCTTAGTCCCCTTTGATGAATATATGACTCGAGCCACTTCTAATCTTTCAGCATCTAAAGCTTCGACAAGCCAATTATCTCCCGCTGATTCTTTGTCTCCGCTTACTTCTCCTGTGGATGAGAATCGGAATGAAAGAGTAACACATGCGACGGATTTGAAGAGATCTAATGGTCTTAAAACGCTTGGTAAGTGGTCTTCTTTTGCGCGGTTCTTGTACATTGGCTCTTGGAGTGTCTTTTGATCTGATTTGCGGTTCTTTTTTCTTGTAGATCATGAACAAGTTGTACCAGGTAAGAAGATCCATTAGATTCTCTTGATTTGTACTCTTGACTCAATTTGTTACCTTTTTCTTTTCTTTTTAAGCTAATACCAATCAAAATACACCAGTGGTCAATAATGGTGTGTCTAGAGAAACTTCTACTTGGGATGATACGGTTGATCGAGGTGGTGAGGTGAGTTGAATTAGAATCGGATCTATTTTGATTTCATGATGATCTGATTGTTGATTTTGATTTTGTGGATGAATAGATTTGTGAGATTTGTGGATCTGATGAAGATGATCCAAACATATTACTTTGTGATTGTTGTGATAAAGGTAAGCTTACCCCTCTCCCTCCCCACCACCACTCATCAAAAAAAGGGGGAAGAAAACTGAAAGAAACAAAGGGATTTGTAGGATTCCATTTACAATGTTTAAGACCAGCATTAGAAAGAGTACCCGAAGGAAATTGGTTTTGTGATAAGTGTATACTTTCGACTGGAAACGAGTTTGGATTTGAAGAAGGAGAAGAGTATGATTTAAGTAAGTTTCAAGTTAGGGCAGACCGGTTTAAACAACAATGGATTGAAACACATCCGATACCTGAGAAATCATTTAAATTAAGATCACCTTTGAAAAAAGAATCCGGGGAAGAGAATGGGGTTAAAGAAGAGGATGGGGATGATGAAGAGTTGGGCGAATGGGCTTTGAAGGAGTTTCAGGATGAGTTGGCTTTGGAAGATCATATCGAACGTGAGTTTTGGAGATTGGTAGAGTCTCAAGCTGAACCTGTTGAAGTGGAATATGGAGCGGATATCCATTCATCAACTTATGGAAGGTATTACATTTCCTTTTCCTGATTGGATTTTTTTTTCACAAAGAATGATTGACACGTTTTCTTTGGATATCCCTAGTGCTTTTCCACATGTTGAAAAACATCCACTCGAACCTTATGCTAAAGACGGATGGAATTTAAATAACTTACCAATCGCTCCTGGATCTTTACTTCGGTATATTAAATCAGATATAGCTGGGATGACTCAGCCTTGGATATATGTAGGGATGGTGTTTTCGACTTTTGCTTGGCATAAGGAAGATCATTATACGTATAGGTAAGTTGGTTTGATTTTCGATTGGAAAGTTGATCAGAGATTGAATTTTTTTTGGGGGATGGGCTTTTAGTGTGAATTATCATCATTGGGGTGATACGAAAACGTGGTATGGAGTTCCAGCAGAAGATGATGAGAAATTAGAAAAAGCCATGAAAGAAGCAGCACCTGATTTATTTGAACAACAACCTGATGTGATGTATCAACTAGTAACGTTAATGTCACCAGGTAGATTAAAGAAATCAGGTGTACGAACTTATGTGTGTGATCAAAGACCTAATGAGTTTGTAGTTACTTGTCCAAGATCATATCATTCGGGATTTAATCATGGATTTAATTTGAATGAAGCTGTGAACTTTGGATTACCGGATTGGTTGGCGGATGGATCGATTTGTGTGGATCGCTATAAGACTTTACATAAGTTGCCGGTCTTTTCTCATGATGAATTGTTGATGACGATTTTCACTTATGAAAAAAGTCCAAGGGTTTCAAGATGGTCAGTTTGAATTCTAAAATCATTTTTCTGATTGAATTGAATTGAATTGATTTTTTTCTTTTGGGGGTTTAGGCTTTTACCACATTTTCGTGAAATGGTAACAAGAGAATTACGTGAAAGAGAAAATGCAAGAAAGTGTATCACGAATTTATCTAGTGAAGAAATGATCGTATTAGAAGATTTACCTGAAGATCAAATCCAATGTCATTATTGTAAAAGTTTAGGATTCCTTTCACATTTGATGATTTCGAATTCTAATCAATCTTCCAAAGTTTCGTGTTTAGAACATTTTCATACTTTAGGTGATGGGATCAAGGTTTTAAGATTAAAGTATTCGGATGTCGATTTGGAGGCTATGTTGGCTAGAGTTAGTAATCGGTCTACTAAAGCTGGTAGGGTGGTCGATCTTACTGGGGTTGAACAAAGAACGTCGGGTCGGAAAGTGAGTTTTTCAGTCTTATGCTTTTGTCAAGCTTGTGCAGATGGTCTGATGTGATGCAAATTTTGTAGAGGAAACCTTCAGCTGCATTACTTGAAGCGGCTCGAGCGGCTTTACCTTTGGCTCAGAAAATGAAGCTTGGTCATTCAACTGAACCCGATGGGAATCCTGTCAACTTGCATGACTCTAGTCTAGATTATGACGTAGATGAAAGAATGGAAGAGATGAGTATGGATAGTGAGATGCATCATCATATGATCTTAGGATCCGAAGCAAAAGAAGCTAAAGTTGAAAAGGTAGAAGATGAAGTGGGTACATGGCTTTCATCGATTAAGAAAGGCACTCCATCTACGATTGCTACGCCTACTTCATTACCGAACCAAACCTTTGGAAGCCCGATTTCACAAACTCGTTCAAAAGGAAAAGCTCAAACTGTTAAACTTACTCAAAACGCTTCACCATCTGATCTTCCATCAACACTAGGACCGCAAAACACACCGATTAGAGAATCACCTAAACCTGATTTAAATCAAACACCCATCACACCTGGTTCGGTGACGACAAGTACATCTAAAACTAGAAGACCATCTACACATGCACGACATGCGATTCCAGGGAAGAAGAGAGGAAGACCACCTAAGAGTGCTGAACTTCGAGCCAGTGAAGCTGCTGCTAAACTTGAAACTAAAAGACTTGCAGATTTGAAAAAACAAGAAGCTTCATTATCACAACAAATCCAAAGTTCTAATACTACTACTACTACACCATCATCACAACCTTCAACTAATCGAATGCCAGTAGTAGCACAGATTGATGTAGCTGGTTCTGCTTCGATTGTGACACTGGAGAATTCGTTGGATGCTCATTCACCTATTCCACCACGTTTGATTGAACCTGTACCTAATTCACGTAAAAGGAGAAGACTTGTAGATGTACCTGATGCAGGTGAACCAGCAGATGGTGGTCATGGTGGGATGAATATGAGATTGAATTCGAATCCTCAATCACAAACTAAACCATCAAGTAATGTGATTAAAATCAAACCGATCTCTAGATCAGTTTCACAACCTTCAAAAGCCTTAAGTTTAGGAACCCCAAACCATTCAGAATTATTAGAAAAATTTAAACAAGAAGCTAATCAACAACAACAACAACATGCTTCTTCTTCTTCTTCTTCTTCACCATCAGGAAACCAAGTGAAAGTGAAAAGAAATCAAGAATATTATCAAGTTAGAATGACAGGAAATCCATCGAGTATGAATATAAATGAATCGATTATGAATTCTAATCATCATACTCATCATCATCATCATCCAATAATAGGAGGAGGAGGATCAACAACTTCAAAGTTTTCAAAGATCGCTCATCATCGATCTTCAACTCCTTCTAGTTTATCTAATATCTTGAATCCTGTGATGTGTCAATCTGAAAAAGAAAGTTTTGAAAATGGGGGATCTCATTGTTTTGATCCGGTTCAACGGTCTGCTTCTTCGGCTTCGTCTAGAGCTATTCATCATTATCAAGCATCTCAACAAAATCAACCTCAAACTCAAGCTCAAGGTCAAACTCAAAATCAAACTCAAGCTCAAACTCAAGCTTCTTATTATTCGAATCCACCGATTTCTCCTACTTCTAGACCTAGATCATCACAACAAAGCTCATTACCTCTTACCCAATTCTCATCCCATTCAACTCCTTCTCAAGCTTCTCAACCTTCTAATCCTTCTACACAAGTGTTAAATCGATCACCAAATTTGGTTACACCTCATCATCATCATCACCATCATCATCATCATCATCATCATTCACCACATCCACATCATTCTCATCATCCACATCATCATCATCATCATCATTTTGAAAAAGGAGGACAGGTATCAAGCGTATCAGAACCTATACCAAGATCTACAACTCCGAGTGGAAGTCCTCCTCCATTGTACTTACCTGTTCCTTCTAATAATCCTTCATCAAAAGAATCTAGAACAGCAGGCAAATCAACAACTCCGGTTGGAACGCCTCCTCCGCTTATTAGGTATCGATGATGGGATTGGTTTGGATTAAGGAGTTTGGATTGGGGTTTATGAACAGGTATAAAAAGAAAAGTGAAAGGTGAAGTTTGCAAAAAAAAAGATGAAAAGAATGGGTCAAGGTTTAGAATTGTTTTTGAGGTTTTGCGGTTTTTTTGTTATTTTTTTCAGTTTGGTTTTTTGTAAGAAAAAATAAAAAGTGAAATATTTTAAAACTCAATGGATTTTTTTTGAAGAGATGGCCCACCATGTAGCAATGATTTCTGAACTCATCTCTTGGTGTGATCTAGGCTTGTTCTCCTTTGAGATTGTGTGTTTGAGGAGCTTCCAAAGATTTGCAATTGGGTTGAGATCAGGACTGTTTGTAGGTTAGTCAAGATTGATGAGAGACTGTTGTTTGTACCAGGTGTTTGTTTGTTTAATTTGATGGACAGGAGCTCCATCCCCCGGAAGTATAAGATTGTGTGGAGATTCAGGAATTTCAGGTAATTTAGAAAGACAGCCTTCGTAGATCGATTCCATTTAATCCACATGATAGAATACTACCAGGAAGGATTACAATGATCAGAGTTCAAAAAATTGTGGTAAACACACTCCATACTTATTGTCACTGAGGTCCACCCCACTCAAAAGGTAGAGACTAGACAATCAACGAGGTATTTTTCATAAGGCCTTCTCCAGACTAAAACCTGTCTAGAGTTTTTTGCCGTTTTCAAAGTAACCTTCATTGGTCCAGATGTGTTCCAATGATGAAAAGTGAATTGATTATACTTTTTGTCACACTCTAGCTGTCTCTTTTTGTGTATATCATTTGGTGCTGGATTCTTTAATTACTGTTACACATGCATGTATACCAAGTTTGTGGATTTCTTTTTGGAAATTTCTAGAGCTGACTTCAGTTGGATTTTGGATGCAGTTGGCTCTTTAGTTCTTCTTTAGGATTTGCTTCTGGGATTGTTGGTTGTGTTCAGTGAATTTTTGGGGTTGCCCAGTGTGGTTCTTGCTACTCATAGTACCAGTTTTCTTAAACTTTGAAATTATTTTACTGCTGATGGTGAGTGTTTTAGTTTGGTAAAAACTTGTATGCCACACAGACATCCTTCATGCTTACCAATGATCATTGCCTTCTCCTTGGATGTCATGGATCAAGTCTTCATTAAATTTATATTCAGGACAGATGAGGTGTGTTGATTCAGAAGCAAGATGGTTCAAGAACAACAGTTCTCTGAGCTGAGGTCAAAATGTATTAAATTTTACGTAAAATTTTGCCAGGGAACTGAAGTAGCTTCACCTCAAAACCGACATCTTTCAACTTCCCAGAGACCGCCGATGTCCACCGTCCACCCCTATACCTCAACCCAGCAAGGCATCAGAGAGAAGCAATACGCCATGTGAAAATCGCGGCCAGCAAGGAAGTACGGATCCTTCTGATTGAATAGCAACACTCACGCGCGGAAGCCTTGCAACGCCACGCTCAGCTGAATGTCCAGATTGAAGCCGATTTGTCCTACAGCAACGCAGCTCGCAAGTCATTTTAAATGGGTCGCACATGAAGGCGAAACGGTCTGATTGCAAACTATCTTCCCGTTAGCTTTTCTTCCCTATCATTTCGTGAATAGCTGATTGTATAAATTTCTTTTAACTTTTTCTTCTTTCAACACACCTCTCTGTGCCACGTCGCTTTTTTATCCTTGTGTGCATAATCATGTTTATATTACGTCTCATCATCCTTTTAACCCAGTTGTTATTGCGATCCACAAGCGCAGAAGCTGCAGCTGCAGCACCGGCATCCCCTGCAGATAAAAGCGGCAATCAAACCACGATTCCCCAAGTACCTGTAGGCGGTGCGGCTAGTGGTAATCGAACAACGCGCGACCCTGCACCTGCAGGTGGTGCGGCCGGAGGAAAAGGAGCAACCCGTGTCACTCTCGACTATGGCGACTTCAATGGAAAAGCGCAAGGAGGAGTGGACATTTGGAGCTCAATTCCTTATGTGAGTAAAGTACTCAATATAAGTGAAAGCTTCTCAATGATATTCATTCACTTATTCTTTCTTCATCTAGGCTGAACCACCCCTTGGCGCCAGACGTTTTGCGTCTCCTGTTGCTCCCACCAAAAAATACCCAAACTTTGATGCTACCGTTAGTCTGAAAATGATCCACTATTTCAAAGAATGTTTGGTAATCTTATAACTTCTGCATAATGCTCCCAATGACAGAAAATTTCACCTGGATGTGCTTCGTCTGACCCTCTAGCCGGCGCAGACCCCTCTTCCTTCAACCAAACCATCTTAGCTGTCTTACAATCCCTTCCAAAAGGTACACAATCAGCCACAGATACAAGACCTGGTCAAGAAGACTGTTTGACCCTAGACGTAAGCATTCACCTCTTTTACCATTCTTCACGCTTTTACTTAACACACTCGGGGGTTTACAGGTAACTAGGCCTTCTGGGTTAGGCGGTAATGAAAAGCTGCCCGTCATCTTTTGGATTTGTGAGTTTCTATCTTATTTATAGATCCATCCTACCACTTTTCTTGTACTCATCATGTTCTTTCTTGCTCAGCGGAAAGCGCTTCAGGAGCGGTCAACCCAGCAGGTTTGATGGCACGCGGAAAGATGATCCAGAAACCATTTATCTGGGTTTCAGCAAATTGGAGATCAAGCGTAAGCAATAAAACCCTGTTTTGATTTGCATTACAAAGGTTCTGAGTCTCGGCTTCCTCATTCAGGTGTTTGGGTTTTTGGGTGGCAAAGAAATCGCTGCTGCTGACGCCGGCAATCTCGGGTTGAAAGACCAAAGATTGGCCTTGGAATGGGTTCAGGTATATAAGCTCATTAAATTCTCATTATTCATGCATCACGTTGATAAAAAATTCTCGACCCTCCCAAAAGAAACACATTTCCAAGTTTGGAGGAGATCCTAAGCGAGTTACTCTGTATGGATCGAATTGTGCGTTGCTGACCTCTTTTCCCCGAGATGCATCGATCGCATTTACTCACTTTGACATCATTCTCCCTATTAACTTTCATTCATTATCTCTTCACAGTGGGCGGTATGGCTGTATCTCACCAACTTGTGGCCTTTAACGGTGACAGTAAGGGCTTGTTCCAGAATGCGATCCTTGGAGGAGCTGTTGCGCTTCCCAGTCCTAGTAAGCCAGCAATAGTCCTCTCAAGTCGCAGTCGCTTGAAATGAACTCAAAAACCGTTTTTATCAACCGACAATCAGAAATAGCATCGGGTCAAGCAACGTATGACAAATTCGCTAAAGCAGCTGGTTGCCCAGTTGGCGCAGGCTCACTCGCTTGTTTACGTGAAGCCAAATTGGAAAAATTAGTGTAAGTTTCCAAAAACAAACAAACCCTTTATGTGGCAGTTCACTTATTTCCCTATAAAAACACTGAATGGCTTGTCTTTCAAAAAACAGGGCTGCTGCCAATACTTTCCCTGGAATCTTCTCTCGCCAGAGATACCCTTTGCCATTCCACGCCTACGTCGATGGGAAGTTTCTCACAGGATCTATTCAAGATTTAGCCAAAGCAGGAAAAGGTATAACTATCTCAAACTTTTTCCTATCGTATGTTTCCTAACCTTTATTCCATCTACACTCAGTGGCCAAGGTTCCCATCATCCTAGGATCCACCGACGACTCTGGAACGGTGGACACCTTGGTCGAAGCTGCACACATCTTCAATGAAACCGGTGTTACACCATGTTAGTCATCATCAGACTTTGAATTGCCTTTGAAAGTTTAGGACAGAAAGTTGAAATTTGTGTTGGTTTTAGGGTTACAGCAACTTCTTCCTGGTGCCACACCCAAAGATCTCGCCACCCTCTTGAAACTTTATCCCTCTGACCCGGCCCAAGGTTCACCTTTCAATACCGGTACACAAAACCAATTGAACGCTGTCTCAAAGCAGATTGCAGCTCTGTTTGGAGATATTGCCTACCAAGTGAGAATCAGCTCAGTCTATCTGGTCCAACTTCATTGTAATACTGATACCTTTCTTCCATTATCTAGGGGATTCGAAGATTCTTCTCACAATCAGTCCAGGCTTCTGCGCCGGTCTATGGTTTCATTGACCGTGGTTCCAAAAATACCAAATACCTTGGTAGGTTTAAAATTATGCTAGCCTTATGATATCCCATAACTTAATGGGTTTCCCTTTCCACCTGTTTTCTAGGTTCATACGCTGGTGTGAACACCTTGAGCGTCTTGAAGGCTCCAGCTGCTGGAAGAAGTACCGATATTCAAACTCGTTACTTGAATTTCGTCTACACCAATGATCCTAACCCAAAGGGAGTAAAAGTTCAATGGCCTAAATATGGACCTACCGCTCAGCTCATGGAGTTTTCTGATACTGAAACCGGAAAGATTGTACCTGATGACTTTAGAAAGGAAGGAATTCAGTATTACATCACAGATATCATGGGTGATAGTGCGAAGGGTAAACCTTCTGCTCAATTTGCTAAAACTTGAACTTTTGTTATTGAATGGCCTTCTCTGCAAATTTTTGTCTTTGTTTGTGTTTGTATTTCTTCTTGTACAAGACAACTAAGATTTATAATATTTCCAGTCAAACAAATTGTTTATCAATCATCACCTGTATCATCTTTTTATCCTTCTCATGAATTCTTTTGTAAATAAATATCTACGTACTCGCATTTTATGGCATTCATCCTGTTTGTGTTCTCTATAATTGTTTGATCATAATTCACATGAGTGACAATCACTTAAAAATGGGATCGTGTATTTTTCCGAACGATGTTTTGCAGACGTTAATGCTCGCAGCCTCTCAGACTCGCACTAAATCAAGCAGCCAACCGAAAGAAGAATCTCAGACAAGCACTAATTCTAGTAGTCAACCTAAGAAGGCTGGGACAAAAGGTAAAAAGACTTTTGGCCTACCCTTGGATCGCCCGGCATTTCATACCTACATTGACCACGGCACGAGGCTGGATTCCGAAGGTTACCCTCTTCTTCCAAAAGGCTCAACCGTTTTCGTCAAGCAGGAGGGCGAAAAGTTCACCAACTGGTGCTCTTTTGGGTTCTCTAGTACAACTTCTGGCGGGGGTATCAAGGAAGGTAGTGACTGGCAAACTGTGCGATTCACATGCCTAGGCATCATAATGTGCAACAACCGCCATTGTGACTATCTTGGCACACCGCCAACTTCGAACTCTAAGAGAGCAGAGTGGGAAATGAAGTAAGTGTTTTCAATTTCAAAATTGTTTGTTGCAAACACGCCATTCATCAATTGACTTTTTTTCATTCAATGTTTTTTTCATTCAGAGCTCATAAATGCCCCGCGGCCCTATGCCCAGAGTATCTCAGAATGGTTCCATGCATTGGTACAATCTGTTGAGTGGATGAGCACATCCCTTCTGGATGGGGCATTGTCCGTCACTCAGGACTCCACGACCATCCATGGCCTCGACGGGCAAAGCCTGACAAGCTTGCATTGGCTACCTTTGCAAAAAAAGTTGTTGAAAATCCTGATTTGGGACCTTTACAACACAAGGTAACCATCATTTCCTTCCTGTGTATCACGCTATCTTGCGACTAACATTCACTGTTTTCATTTAAGGTCGGCCGAGCGCCTGCAGGGAAGGCCGCCATTGCAACATCGACCGACATTCATCCTGCTTTGAACAATCTCCATCGTTTAGGATATTATCGACGTGTCATACTAGTCAACACGGGAATAATTCCTGCAAAGAAGATTCCAGGTGGAGGTGATAGTTTCGTGTTGGACATAATTGACTGGGTTGAGTATGTCAATGGTTTTCTATTCTCTCATAATAATCTTGAAAAAATATCTTAATTGCACTTTGATTATGTGATTCAGGCAAGGACTCCGTGTAATATCGGCTTCATTTATGCCGAAAACTACCCACATGACCTTTCAAACGGAATGGATGGCTGAACAACTGCTGGCTCGAGTTAACGGCGGCGTGTACCAAGGCGGCTTGCTCTCAGATGTCACGTAAAAGTTCTTTGCGAACGGGTACTTGCTCACGACGTCAATGTACAATGACGTGCTCCATCGGTGGATTCCGATCCAACTCACATGGATGAATGGTCTCACCGATGACCATTACAAGGCACATTTCACCACGCTCATGCAACAAATTAAAGCAGCTCAAATTTCCACTTCCGAACAGGACACCCTGGTTCGGCAAGTTGTTGACTTCTCTATGGCACAGAAGAATGGTTTCATCACGGCCTACATGGATGTATTCAGTGAAACAGACAGGAATGTGGCACTTTCCAAGTTGACCGGCTGCAAGGAACATTTTCGTGCTCAGGTCACACGTGTGAAGAGAAATAATGCGATCATTGCAAGGGGATTTGAGGTCAGTTTGGCCTTCTTTGAAATGTTTTTTGCTTCTGATTTCTTTAGAGTCTAATCTTCTTTCTGGTTAAACAGAAAGAATTCGAGACTCTGGCCATGAGTCTATGTGACCCAAACACGCCTGGACAAGACACATTCAAAGTCAAGGTTGATCTTTTGCAACGCAAGTTTCCCAAAGCAAAAAGGTGGATTGATTGGTGGCAAGCATCCGACGTACAGGCCATGTTATTCAAATCCAGAATCAAGGCCATTGACGATGACGACCTTGACGATGACATGCCTGCGACTACCAACGCACAAGAATCGATGCACCGGGTTTATTACATGATTTTGTAAGTTCCATTCCTTTCGTTATCATTCATTATTACATTTATTTGATGTCCTTTCTGATGATTTAACAATTTAGGGAAGGTAATTGTACCATTCAAGTTGGTCTTGTACAGCTTTATGCTTTGGTAATGAGCCTCAAAAGAGACTATCATGACCTTCGACAAGGAGTGGCAATTGAATACGGTTCTACGAAAAACTATGAAAAAGTCGCCCAAGTTCTCGGATGGGCAAAGAAGGCTCGCAACCGCCGCGAGACCAAGAACGACGGACAACCGCCGGACACCACGGAGGCTTTATTAGGAAGCAAGAATACAAAACTAGGCAGACCCAAAGGGTCTGTCAACGTGGACCGTAACCCTGTGACAACATATCAAGGATTTCAAATCTCTGTGCTTCCAACTCGCCAGTTTTGGTGTTGGATGAATTCGATGTCAGAGTGTTTGTATGCCCTCTACAATCCTTATTGGTTCACCGGTTCCAAGGGTGGCTCAACTCATATCTTCAACAAATTAATGAATATTTTCTTGTCACGAGCTACCTGGGAGATACATCAGTCCGGCAGCATTCGACAAATCCTTTCCTTGGGTCAAAACAAACTTCACGCGGCCATTCAGAAGATCTATCCAGGTTCATTCAAATACGACGATTATGCTTCTGCTACATTGTATTTTGAAGGCTTATTTGATTGCCAAGGGGTACAAACCAAGCCTAAAGCGCCTCCAATTACTGAGGAACTTTTTCGTGTCTTGCGTGAACGCAAGTTGGTCTGCTCGAATGACTTTTCGCATGTCAGTAATCAAACTCTCGAAACAAATCAAATTACTCTGCTTCCAGAGTATTTTGGTGTTGGTCGGCCATCTACTACACAGTCAATTCAGTATTCCGATACACCGGATCTTCTACAGCGTTGGGCTTCAGACGAGGGGATTCGCCGGGTCTCCGCGCGTCACTGTACGGAATGCGCAGTCAACAAGGACCCAAAGAACCTCACTTCAACTCTGCCACGACAAGCGCCACCTTTATTTGAGAGGACGCGGTTCAAATTTGACCCAGCACCGCCTCATTTATACATTCAAATTGACATTGGTATCTTACAAGGACAGCCTGAAGAAGCCAAGAAAATGACCAATGAATGCGACTTGCCTTACAAATTAACCCTTCACGGTGTCACCTACTGGATGTGGGCTCGTGGGTTCTTTGCCAAAGGACACTACTGGTGCAAGGTGGTACGTACAGTTGGCGGTCTGTTGGGGGTATGGTATCACAATGATTTGGTCAATCAAGGCATTGCAACTTTGGAAAGTAGGGACTTGATCACCATTGGAGGTGCTGTGGATAATACAAATTGGGTTATGTATTCTCGAGCGCCTACATCTGAAGAAGCTTTGATTATTGATAAAGCCAACATCAAAATTCACAAGCGTTTTGGGGACAACAATGAAGGCGAGTTGCCTTTTTCACAAGTGGAATTGGAGTCTACTGCACCTGAATGTTCAGGCAGACATGTCAGATATGAGGATGATGAGCAACAGCGCAACGGTGGAAGTGTCGGCGAAGGCCTCGAGAAGATTGTGGAGTTGGAAGATTTGTTTATGTCGGACGGAAAAGATGATCAAGAACCAAGCCAATCAGGTGCGCTAGTCCACCCACCTTTTATTTATTCTGAAATCACTTCGCTCATGTTATGTTTATTAGTAGGGACTGTCAAGCCTAAAGCCAAGGTGAAAGATCCAAAACGCAAGGCTTCAGTATCAGATGGAAACTTAGAAGAAGTTCCAAACCAAACAGGTCAGTTTCTAATTACGTTTTACTTTCTTTGTCTTGGTTTTCAATTCACTCATGTTACATATTTTTTGTTTTTGTAGTACGGAAGGTCAAGTCTAAAAAACAAGAGGCACAGCGTAAGGATGGAACTCAAGAAGATGTGGTTGTGTTGGATGGGCACATAGATGAAGCACAGAGCCAAACCGGTTACACTGTGAACATCATTCAACTTCCCCACATTGGAAGAGGAAAATGATTAGTAGTACAGTTTGTCATAAAAATATCCAATACCGCTCACCTGAGCCTCAACACCCACACTACATATGTGCAGTACGCTAAGTAAATAGCTTTCTATCATGTACATACAGGTCTGCTCAGTTTTTTGCCCATCAAAATATATAAATCACATGTTATACCACATGTAACTTTTTTGACTTGAAAAAAATTGTCCCAAGAATTCACTACATATAATTTTGTAGCTGCTCAGGCAATATTTTTGAAGCTATTTCTTAGTAACAGAAAGGGTATTACATGCAGTTGAGTGGATGATATTACACCAAAACGTTGAGTCAGTGTATGTAGTCTATCTTTTGAATGCTTTTGTCAATCTGAAAAAAGTTTCAGCATGTATTACATATGAATAACTCATCCTGCCGAGCAGATAACTGAGCATAACTGTATGTACATGATAACCACCAATTCACTGAGCCTGCTACACATATGTAGTGTGGGTGTTATGGATCAGGTGTGGAGTGATAGATCATTTTATGACAAATGATACTCCCAATCATTTTTCCTGCCCACTTGGGGAAGTTGATTAATGTTTGCAGTGTTAGTTGGTATTTTCATTTGCCTGCTCTCTTTTGGTTGGTAATTATACAATTCACTGAAGTTATGGTTACTTTATTTTTGTAGGAACAACGATGAAGGTTAATAATCGCAAATGTAAGGTTTTGATTGCTACGGATGCCAATGACGCAACTGTCAAAAAACCACGTTGGAAAGGATATGTCCTTCTTGATGAGAAAGAGGCAAACACTTTGAAAGAGGACACCACTTTGGATGTGCCTGTCAAAGGCAGTAGCCAAGAGTCAAAGGCAAGTGGCAAGGTGCGGAAGTCGAAGCGTAAGAGGGAGAGGAAGTAGTCCGTTTATTTTTTAACTTTTACATGTTTGCATTTGTTCTCTCTTCTTCCTTTGGACATATGTACAAATTTTTTACTTCAATTTTTCCGTATCTATCCCTTCTTGCTACCACATTCTTTCATTTCTTCCTTCTTGCTATTGTTTTTCTCTCACTTTCCTTGACCTTCGTTATAATTGTTGTTTTTAAGCTTTTTTCTCGACATTCTTGTAACTGATAATTCCATCACCCTTTTTTGTTCAAAACTAAAGTGCGGCCTTATCATCAGCAGTTTAAGTAAAAAAAATGTTCGTATTTTTGATGAAAGTATGTCTGTAAATTTCAACAGATCGGCCTCTCATGTTCAATTTTCCAAACCCTTCTTTTCACGGAAAATAACGTTCGTGAACTAAGGACCGTAAAATTATATTTGCACGGTGAATCATGCAATTTTGCATGCTTTATTATTCACGAAACATATCGGTTGGGTGTCAACGTTTGGAAAAATCAATGTTTTGGACCATCAAAATCCAATTTTACAGACAATATTTTGCGTCACTTTTTTTTGCAGACATCCAAAAAAAGGGAATGTCCGGAAAAATTCACTTTGTCCGGGGAAAAGTGCATTTTTCCGAACATCCCTTTTTGCAAACATTAACGTCTGCAAAAGATCGTTCGGAAAATTCTCGGGCCCCCTTAAAAATGTACACCCTTCTCACCCTGTAGCACCATCAGTTTCCGAGATACATATCCTGATGTAACAGCAAAAACGTGAAGGCTGACTTATTGACTGACATGCAAGCCGGCCAGTAAAAATGGCCGAGAAGCCAGTGCTTTGCGCCAGATGACTCTTGTGTGTAGAAAAAGGTTGAAAAAAGACTTCCTTTGCATACCTGATCTCATGACATTATCCATCACACCGCGGCGTAAACTAACAATCCCATATATAGGGACCAAGATTGAATTATAGATTTAAACAGCCAACCACATTCTTTCCCCCAGCACTAAGGGAGCGGATCTGAGCGCGTCAGTTCCTGATAGCCATGCAGGTCTATAAGGGATTGCAAGTAACAGAACATAAATATTGCAACGCCCCGCCTGTATGCTTATCGATGGACACAGCCAAACGATGAAGTGAGCCACATGAAGATGATGTTTTCCATTGAAAGAAAATAGAACCCTTGTTTGATCGACTCAGCACGGCGCAGGACACTAGCAATAGGCCGTGTGAAAATCGTTGGCCCCAGGAAACGATGAGGATATCTCCAATTGAACGGCAGCGTACCCTGTTCAAATCCATGAGAGCCCTGCAACGCCTCGTTCAACAAATACGTTCGGATCAAAGTGATTACCTACAACGCAGCTCGAAAGGAGGATATTAGAAATTGCTCAAATACCCCGGGGAAAAGCTGCCTAATGGTGTACACCTTCTCTTCATCTGTTCATCTACTATCATTCCTTGCTTAATTACTTGTTCATATTTCCTTTAGCATCTTACTTTTTCAATACAACTGTCTTCGCCAAACCGCACTTTTTATCCTTCTTTTCAATCATGTTCATATCACCCGTCATCATCGCTGTATGTCAGTTGTTGTTACGATCTTCTGGAGCGGAAGCTGCTGCAGTGGCAAAGGAACCGGCAGCATCAGCTGCTGCAGGCGCTGTGGCCGGCGGTAAAGGAGCAACACACGTCGTTCTGGATTATGGTGACTTTAATGGAAAAACACAAGGTGGATTAGACACTTGGAATTCCATTCCCTATGTACGTAAAATACTCAAAATCACCAAAAGCTCTCCAATGATGATACTCATCTATTTATTTATTTCATTTAGGCCGAACCACCCCTTGGCGCCAGGCGTTTCGCGTCTCCTGTTGCTCCTACTAAGAAATATCCAAATTTTGATGCCACTGTTAGTTTGAAAACCATGCATTTTTTTAGAAAGTCCAATAATCTGACTTCCACTCATAACCCTCAATCACAGAAAATATCACCCGGATGTCTCACAACTGATCCTTTAGCCGGTTCAGATCCCTCTGCCTTCAACGCAACCATCATTGGCGTCTTAGAGTCCCTTCCTGCAGGCGTACAATCAGCCACGGATTCCAGACCTGGTCAAGAAGACTGTTTGACCTTAGACGTAAGCATCAACTTTTCCATCGTATCAAGCTCCTCATTTCATTGACGCATTCGGGTGTTTTACAGGTGACCAGGCCTTCTGGTGTAGCCAAGGATCAGAAACTACCTGTTATCTTTTGGATTTGTGAGTCTTTGATCTTATAAATCTGGATTTCTTGAAGGAATTTTCAAGTGCTCATCATCTTCTCAATTCCTCAGCACAATCCTCTTCGGGATCAGTCAACCCAGCAGGTTTGATGGCCCGTGGAAAGATGACTGGAAAACCATTCATCTGGGTATCAGCCAATTGGAGATCAAGTGTAAGAACCTTTTTCTTTGATCTGTATATGAAAACAAATTAAGTATTTTCTTCCCGTATCAAGGCATTCGGGTTCTTGGGCGGGAAAGAGATCGCCGCTGCTGATGCTGGTAATCTTGGATTGAAAGATCAAAGATTGGCCATGGAATGGGTTCAGGTACATACTCTCATTAAATATTGATTTGACATCAAAGATATGGCGTTGATAGAGAAAACTAACTTGTTTCTAACAGAAACATATCGCCAACTTTGGAGGGGATCCCAAACGGGTTACTCTATATGGATCCAACTGTACGTTTCTGATCTCTTACTAGAGGAGTATTACTCGCGATCACTGACGTTGGAGATATTCCTTACGACCTCTGAACTTCTGGCATCAGTGGGATCGATGGCTGTATCTCACCAATTGGTAGCCTACGATGGTGCCAGTAAGGGATTGTTCCAGAATGCGATCCTTGGAGGAGCCGTTGCTCTCCCTAGTCCTAGTGAGTCATCAACACTGCTCTCGATCTAAAAGTCGCTTGAAACGAATTAACAACATTCCTATTGACCATCAATCAGAAATAGGAACGGGTCAAGCAATCTACGACAAATTTGTCAAAGCAGCCGGGTGCCCAGTCGGAGCAGGATCACTCGCTTGCTTACGTGAAGTTAAAGCTGAGAAATTAGTGTAAGTTTTTCAAACGAATCAAGCCATTCTCACTCATTTCAGCGCATTGACTCTTTCTTTTGAAAATAACTCGATCTCATGACATGAAAATAGAGAGGCAGCCAATACTTTCCCTGGAATCTTTTCCCGACTTCGATATCCTTTACCATTTCACGTTTATGTAGATGGAAAGTTCCTTACAGGATCAGTTCAAGATTTAGCAAAAGCAGGCAAAGGTATAATGATCTAAACTATTGTTGTTATTATTATATTACTCCTTTCTAACTTTGCATCTCTTTTCGTTCTAGTGGCCAAGGTTCCTATCATCTTAGGATCATCTGATGATTCTGGAACTTTAGATACCTTGGTTGAAGCTGCTCATATCTTCAATGACACTGGTGTTGCACCTTGTGAGTCTTTTACCATGATCAATTTCCAGTTTGCGATATGATGGACTAAGAATTTCGCGTGATGTTTTTTTCTAGGGTTAAAACAACTTCTTCCTGGTGCTGCACCACATGAGATCACCGACCTTTTGAAACTTTATCCTTCTGATCCAGCTCAAGGTTCACCTTTCAACACCGGTTTACAAAACCAACTGAACCCCGTCTCAAAGCAAATGGCAGCTCTATTCGGTGATATCGCTTACCAAGTGAGAATTCGTTTATCATACATAGTAAAGCTTTATTACAACACTGACATGTATTTTTTTACCATCTAGGGTCTCCGACGCTTTTTCTCGCAATCCGTTCAGGCATCTATTCCAGTCTATGGGTTCATTGACCGTGGATTGAAACAAACTAAATACCTCGGTACGTTGACAACTCATTGACTTGAGATACTGGAACGTGTACTAAGATTCACTTGTGACTGCTTTTTCAGGTTCATACTCCGGTGTGAACACCGTCAGCGCCTTGAAAGCCCCAGCTGCTGGAAGAAGTGCGGATATCCAAACCCGTTACTTGAACTTTGTTTACACCAGTAACCCCAATCCCACAGGAGTCAAAGTTCAATGGCCAAAATACGGGCCTACTGCTCAATTAATGGAATTCTCTGATACTGAATCTGGAAAGATCGTCCCTGATAACTTTAGAAAAGAAGGAATTCAATATTACATTGAAAACATTATGGGTGATAGTACTAAAGGAAAACCATCAGCTCAACTTTTACAATAAACCTTTTGATTTCAGATTTTGTTTCAATATGATTTTCGTCTTTTCTTTTGTCACTCATTTCTTGCGATTTGCAAAACCACATTCAATTTTTTCCCATTCATCAAAAATTGTCTATTACACATCTGTTGTTCCATTTTTTTGTAAACTTGTGTAATTTTCTTACTGACACTGCACAGATGTAGTATTTTTCGGCTATGCAAAATGATTAGAATTAATGTCAAAAATAATTAAAAATGCTATGTTAATGCATAAAAATGCACCATTAATGCACCATTAATGAAAAAAAATGCAGCATCAATGCAGAAAAATGCAGTGTTAATGCACATGCAGAATGAATGCAGAATTCCACCTTTTTCAATTTTTTTTGTCCTTCAGGTCAATCATTTTTCACTTGGGAAAAATACTACATTTTCCCAGTGTGAGCACTTGCAACTATTGGCTTTATGTCTTCCACCCGACTGTTATACAACAGACCCTTCATGAGTGACAGTCGCACACCGTGGCAATCATTGAGTGGGAAGCCTGATTGAAGAGAGTCGCATCCGGGTCTTGTTTGCTATGTGTAGGCTTCCCAGCTTGTCTCAAGGTGACCTCTTGTTTCCCACAGTCCCCTGGGGCAGCAGCCCTCCACTTTTTGTGCGACTTGACACTACTAACTAGCCTAACTAAGTCCCTCGTGTTCACTTTTCCACAGATTTTGGTGTGTGAGCCTGTGGGGGTTTGACTAAGGTGTTTTTCATTTCAAAATATCAATATCTCTTTGTAATACCAAATGCATCCCTCCTTGGTTCATCCTAAATACACTCAGTTTTTCCAGATAGACATTCAGCCTCAGGAATAAGATCAAAACATCACTTGAAAAGATTGTGTCTTCTGTAAACTTCCAGTGTGGCTGCTGCAAGTTCTTGACAGGTCTAAAAGTTTAGGCAATAATCATGAATGTTTATACTCAAGCAACAAGATCAAAAGAGCATTTGGGAGTATTGCCCACACAACTAGTTACAAATGATGAATATTCTCAACAACATGAGCTTTGTGACCTTGGTAGCCATCTGGTGTTAGAGTAAGAGGGAGATACCAGCGGGAGGGAATCTAGGATGAGCCAAGGGATATGGCATTTCTTGGTTCCAAGGGAAGGTTGTAAGTGGGATTGAAAAATGCCTCAGCCAGACCTTTGGAGGCTCACACACCAAAATCTGTGGATGAGCTATAACCCTCTCTTGACAATCTATTTTGCCAAAAGGCACTTAGTTTGGTTAGTGGTAATACTGCTTGTCCTCTATTCTGCAAATTAGGTTACTCAAAAAAACTAGGTTTGAGGCACCTTTTTGGTAACCTAGTTTCACCATGTCATTTTTTTAGGGAAAATGAACTGTAGCAAAATCTGTTTTTCCTCCGCACCAAGAAAAACTCAAATATATGTCTTTGACATTTTTCTAAAAAAAATTCCTCAAACCTATTTGTTTTGATAAACCAATAAGAAGCCATTGTGGACTTGCTTATTGCAACTCTTCAAAAAGAAGTTAGTGAGCTTGAAACCTACTTCAAGTTTCACAAGGACTACGAGTTTATAACACTGTCCATTAATGATCAAAGCTCCAAGCAACATCAACTCCCAATAACCTTGACGTCTTACAGCTGAATTCCATGTTTTATCTGGTGAAAGACTTAGGTTTTGAGATTGTCTGAAGTTATTTTTTCAAAAGGTCACAGAGAGCAAATCCCAAATAGTGATGATGTAAATCACTTTGAGGGGACTGCACAGGAATCTAGCTAAATAAAATAAAGGAAGGTAATTCAAGAAAAAAAAATGACCACTTGCCATGTGTTCTGGTCTAGCCCCACTGAAATTCCTTGCTGCCATTTTGAGTGTACACACAGTATGCCATTACACATCAAACTTCTTAACAAGAAATACCCATTGACTTGTGCAATTTCACTGCTCTTTATTTCCCATTTACACCATCCTTCATCATGATCCTTGTAGTGATGTATGCCTTCAATAATAGCTTCAGACAACCTTGAATTCATCCTCATCTGAGGAAAGTGTGGTATGTAAGTGGACATTGTGTGGTATGCTCATGGAACGTGGCACAAAATTGTGTGAATGTGTTGTCATGATTGTATGAGTTGCTGTGGATGAGCATACTATGATGATGTGATTGTAAAGGATTGTAAGGTAAGCTACATACATGTACCTCACACCTGTGTGGCCCCTTGGAGTCGATGGCCTATTATACATAGAATACCTTTGTAATTTTGATATGAAACAAACATATAATTTTAAAGACAGAGATTATTTGGACACTTGCCCAGGTTTTTAAAAAAACAAAAAATTGACCAGGCCTTGAACCCCTCACAGTATGCATATAATTTGCCTTTGAAACAACCACATACATACAGCTAGCTCTAGCAGCTTCTCTTGCCCTAACACTTCTGAAAGAAACTTGCCATCTTGAAAAATTTTCACAAAGGATCAAAAGTGGCCTCCTCATTTACTGATGAAACCATGACTGTTCAAGCTTATGACTTCAGAATGGAATCTGCCAAATTGTAAGGTGATTCAAATGTTTATGTTTATGTAAACACTGTGATCACAATTGCTTTAAAATCATTCAATATCTGATCTTTACTTTTTGAACTCAATCTGATTGCCTTTGTAAAACATTGTGATAGTATTTTGGGCAAATCTTGGGTTGTGTGCTTGTGTTCTAGGTGAGATCAAGGCAACTGTTTTGCAAGAGGGGTTAGTGACAAGTTGGTGACAGGAGTGTTATGTAATATGATAGGTTGGATGGAGTGGCCAGTTTAGATATGTTCTCCTTCAGTTTTTCTGTTTCTTCTTTGGGCATCTTTTCTAGTCTTCTGTTTTTCTCTGGTGTTCTTTGCCTTCCACAGGCTTTCTGACTGTTGAGTGTTGAAGTAGGTATGGTTGGATGTTGAAATTTCTAGTCTTCTGTTTCTCTCTGGTGTTCTTTTCATTCTGTTGGCTTTCTGACTTTTGTGGGCAATTTTTGAAGTGTTGTGACACCGGCTTAAGAACAGACATGAATCTTGAGATAAACTAGCTAACCTATGGCCAATGAGACAGCTTACAAGGCCTTTTGATATGTAACTCAATCATGTCTCTGATACATTTGATATGAAGAGGGGGGTAGGTTGTGGGTCTCCTGACTGGGTGGGTAGATAGTGAAATGTTCAACTGCTATATTTGAAAAGGTGAAGGCAAGATGAAGTTTTTAAAGATAAGGAGTAGATCTCTTACTCATCTAAACTATTGGGGAGAATTATATGTTCATCCTGGTATCAAATTTGTCTGTGTATTGACTTTACTGTCTTGTTCAGTAAACATTTTTATGGACACAAATTAGGCACCTATAAAATTCAAGCAAAAGGCTGGAATGTAAGCTAATGTGCTCATGGCTAGACAAAATCAACAAAATGAATGCCACTGCCACTGCCAATGTAGATTTTTGAAAAATAATTGAGGTAAATATGTTGGTGGGGTGTGAATCTGTGAGGGAAGTAAGACAGCCTACCTTTCAAAAGATAACATCTTTCCACAAATGACAAGTAATTTGTTTTATGGGGAGAAAGAACTCCTCATGTAGGACAATAAACTCTCCAGCATTATAGTAAGTCCTTACAACTAAATCTGATTGATGTTGCCTTTGAAGACAATGCTCATCTTTGGCATACATCTCTTGCAGTACTCTTTTGTCTTTGATTCAGTATGTGTACATGATTTCCCTCAATGGGATATTCACATATGTCACATCTGTTCTCAGTAGCAATTAATTAAAAGTCATATTTAACCTGGTCAGTCTTGGAGGCATCTACATGAACTTTTGTTCCATCTCTACTCAAAGTTAGCATTTCATGATCAACACATCTTACCTTTTTTTGTTTTTATCATATCCTCTTGCTTTTTTATCTGCCTGTTGTAAATAATTGTTTCTTCATTACCCAATCAATATTTCCATTATTGCAATAGTGCATATGGAGTTTGATTCTCATTTGTATATAGTGCCATGCTATTATTAAGATTCCTGTTTCTTTTTGAAATTTATCAATTCAAGTATTCCATGATCAAACTAAAAAATTGTGACCAAAACTGTTATGTTAAGAATACATTAGCCATGCCAATTCTTGCGCACTTGCTTGAAGGTTATTTGGATTCACCAGATTCTGCTCTAATCAAATACATAATCCACCTATCTGAACTTCTTCTGTTTCAATTTGCCCAACATACAATTGAAATTAACCCCTGAGCATTAGAACCAATATCAAACTATTGCATGTGCACTTCTTTTGTCCCTATATAGGCAAAATTGTTGTTTTCATATTGTATTTGCTTGAGGCACTGCCAATTTCTTGTGAGATATTTTTATCAGTATCTCAATCAATTGACTGAAGTATGTTGCCAAGTGGACAGAATGCTACCACATGGTTGGTCTAGGAGTCAAGGTGTGGTTGAAGGCAACTTGTTCCTCAAAGGCTTCAAGTCTGTCACTCTTCTCATAGTGTCTTGTCTTCCGTGCACTGTAAAATTACGGAATTCCTACTTATGTTTTGCCATAAATGTGCTCTCAGGTAGGGCTTTCTCAGAGTTTTTCAAACTTTGAAGAACCATAAGCAGCATCTTACCATAGGCACAGTTAATGGCGAGATACCTATAAGTCTGAGAGGAACTCTAGTAAGTTACTAGAAGAGATTACTATCTCTGTGACCAATGACAAGCAAGAACAAACCTGAGAGGAACTCTAGTAGAGACCAGGCGCAGATTCCCGGTTGTTGTCGTCACTAACGTACCGTTAGGGGGCTTGTTTTGATCGGGTTTTTGAGCCATCTTCTCAGAAGTGGCTGATAATCCACTTTCAGACATCGTTTGGGAAAGATAAATGAGTTTTGATTGTCGAGCCTCACATAGGTTCAGTGAGGCTTGTGATAAAGCAGACATATACTATGGGTCTTTGATGTAACTCACTGCCTTAATCCAGTTGCAATTGGATGGTTTTCTACGCTAACCTTTACGTTTCGGCACTTTTGAGACTGATTTAATCTGTGCATCTTTCCCTTGAGGATGATTTGCACAGGTTTGGTAAGGTGAGATCAAAGATATAATTTATGGGTTTTCAAGTACATCCATTACTGGAGGCAAGAGGATTTCTGTGAAAGGTGTGCTTATGGAATATAAGGATACCTACAAGGATCGTTCATCCTTTCTTCCTTCCTCAGTCATAATTATGTGGGTATCAAGCTATAGCGATCCATAATCTGAAGTATTTGCTTAGGGTACGTTTGGTTGCGATTACAAATTGTAAACTCCGTTTGACCCCAGGTACATCGCCCCGGGGCAAATGAGTTTATTGTTCAAATTGATTTTTCATCAAATAAACTCCGTTTAGGGTACATTGAAGAAAATCACGTTTGGTTGAAAATCCCAACCAGACGTATCTATATGTAGTCAACTCTCTTTGAAGGTTTCTCAGCTCAGCTCAGCTCACTTCACATTCTACCACTTCGCATCTACCCATATGGATATCCTCTGGGGATTTCCGATACAAGCAATGATCATATGATACGACCTTTGTCCCCATCCAACAATCTTTTGCCCAAACACACTCGCGATAACAGAAACATGTCCCACCCAATTCAACACTCTCCACCACTTCCTATTTATCTCATCTTTCAAGAGTGATTTGTTTTGAGATTTTTTGAAGTTCAACAATTGATGGAGATTGATAGAATGAAGTTGAATGATTGGTTGGTTTTGAAAAATTGATTTAAACTTGACCGATTTATAGAAATTGCAAAATTGACTGGAAATTGAACGATCGATAACTCGTTCCTTCAATCAAAATTGGTTTTCAAGATTTCATTTGTACAATCACAATAGATATAACTTTTTACACAGAAAGCAAAGAGTAGAAGCAAAGATTGGCTTGTGAGTCTTGAGTATGATGGTGTAGTGTTGAAGATGTTGATTGAGTCAAAGAACCAGCATCTTATGAAGTGAATACATATTGGATCGATTGAGGAGGGTTGAAGTCTTTCGAGATGAGATTGTGTCAAGTACAAAAGGGAGTTTATTGCACGGATAAACTCCCTTTTGGCGTTTATCCAAAGTCCCGTTTTAAACTCCTTTTGGGACGGGGAAGGAGTTTATTTCTGGGTACCATAAGTGGTCCCAAACGTCTTTTTTTAACAGCGATTATTTTGCAAAATAATCGCTATTAAGGGGGCTCAAGTCAAAGTTTTTACGGCCCTTTCGTAAAAAATTGGGGAAAGTTTTTTACGTTACGGTACCGTAAAAACTTTTCCCAATTCGTAAAAAAGGGCCGTAAAAATCTCTTTACCGCTTCTCAAATCTCAGTCATAAAACCAATTTTCTTCCGATCTTTTTGTTTTGTTCACATTGGACACTTCACCATGGTTCGGGTTTCACAGCATCAACAAACAATCGAAGAAATTACCCACCTCTACCAAACTACAAAATTCCTAGCCGATGAAGCCCTTATGCAAGAACTCTTCCTGGGAGCTCCAATCATACCATCGATGGGTATGATCTTATACAAAGATGATCAAGAATCAGCCGAGCTATTCAATATCTTATTCAATGAACGAGACGAGCTGAAGACTCTACTTCAAGTACTTCATGACTTACGCTATCATGAAGCACGCCATCGCATTCCTTATGATACTCCCTTCAACATCAACGATCTGCTTCGCTCACGTCGGACTGAGTTTCGGCAAGCTATGAGAACTACCCGAGGTGGCTTTGATACGCTGCTTGAAAAGATATCAACCCATCCTATCTTCATATCACCCACCAATAATCCTCAACCACCAATCAATAAACAACTAGCCATCACCTTGGAACGCTTAGGAAGTTGTGGGAATGGAGCTTCCATTGGACGCTTTGCTCGAAATTTCAAGTCATCGATTGGCGGTATCATCAATTGTACTCGTAGATGCCTGTTGGCCATCAAAGAAAAATGTGCTCATTACCTCCAATGGCCCGGTCCCGAACGACGCCAGGAAATCTCCCAAGTCATGGCACTTGAAGGTTTCCCTGGATGTGTTGGATTCATTGATGGAACAACCTTCCCTATGTATCGAAGACCTGGTTACAACGGTGAAACATTTTTTGATCGAAAGAAACGATACTCGATCAACTGTCAGGTTGTTTGTGATTGTGACCGTCAAATCACAGCTTTTTACACGGGGTGGCCTGGCTCATGTCATGACAATTGCATGTACTCACTTATGAGCCTTTACAAGAATCCCAATCAATGGTTGAGCACAGGTAAGAACTTGATTTACACATCTTCACTTTGTCTTTTATTTCCTTTCACAGTACTGACAATTGATTCATTTTAGATCAATACATTTTAGCTGACTCCGCGTACCAAATCAGCAATACACTTGTTTCAACTTACAAAGGCAATGCAGCAGATGTCCCACGAAACTCTGAATTCAACCTCTACGCAGCACAGGCTCGGGTGAGAAACGAGCACTCCATTGGAATCTTGAAAGGTCGGTTTGCATCATTGCAAGACATGCGATTGCAATTGAATGTAAAAGAAGATATGGAGTTCTTTCTCGACTGGATTCATGTCTGTATCTTACTTCATAACATGTTAGCTCAATTAGGGGATGCTTGGGAAGAAGAGTATCAAGATGACACCAAAGAACAAATTGATGAGATGGCAGTGATGCGTTTAGATGTTGATATAGGGGCAGAAAATAGTGATGCTGGTAATCTAAGAAGAGAACTTGTGCGTGATTATGCTGTAGCTTTTAATGATAGTGAATGAATTATAGTGTTTTATTTTCAAATACTGGTGTATCTGATCAACACAGAAAAATTATAGTGTACATCTTATTGTTTCTGTTTGACTCAACAAACTCCACTTAAGCTTTGTATACTTTTTTGTTATGTTTGGACTCGCATCTTTTAATAATCATTGTGTCATTTATTGATTACTTTTTGTCAATATCAAAAACTAACAAAAAGAAATACATAGTATGATTACCTCCAAACCAACTAAGAAATGTTCATTTGCATAGAAAAAATTACAAATCGTTTTTGAATCAAATCTACAAGTCTCTAGCTTTGAAGACATACAAAAGAAATCAGACTGTCATACAATACATTTTGCTTGGTTGAGTAACAAATACTGCTGAATTAAAATTTGCTTGCTCATTTTTGAACGAGGCTTTTTCTTTGTGGTGAAATCTCGAATTTCTAATTTACATAATAATTTTGTTCTGCTATAATTGAGGGACCGGATTTTAGGATAAGAGTAAAGCCTGATGATGATCACAAAAGAGATGTGATTGTCAGACAAATGTGCATCAAAGTCAAATCTGTAGAATAAGAACTTACTTTGGCTGATCTATCAAGTGGTAGGAAACATCAATTCAATGTATGCCTTAGTATCTTCAATTGACATCCCATCTTTACAACACTCCTTTACTGCCTCTCGTCATTCTCTTCTTTCGTCTTCAGCTGATTTAGCTGAAGCAAGCTTCAAATCACGATCACATTGAGCTTCAGCAACCCGAGCTTCGCGTTCCAAGTCATCTTGCTTCATCTGAGCCATCCGGGCGGTTTCCAAGTCAAATTTCTCTCTTTCCCAAACGATTTTCTGTTTTTCTTTAAGTTCTTCTTTTTCTTCTTTTTCTTTCATCTTTTCATTATAAAATTGCATTGTCAATGTTTGAGCCTGCATCATTGCATTCGCCACTGGCTTCTTACGTCGAACATCATCTTCATTCATGGGTGGCAAGGGTTTTAATGGTTGATCTGCAACAGCCTTTGAAGCCTTTGAAGCCTTTGAAGCCTTTTCAGTTTTTCGGGTTTTCGGTTTTGGAGTGGATCGAGACTGTAGGTCAGGTTCTTCTTCGATTTCTTCCTCTGAAAGATCAATCGGGGATTGTAATTTGGCCTTACGCTTGATGCTTTGGCGAGGAGGTAGAGCTTGTTGATCAGGCTGTATGTAAATTGGCTCCTTGATCTCATTTGAAAAGTCAGGTGAATTGGCGTGTAAGAAGTCTTGAAGGTTATCGGGGTGTTGTTGAGTTTCATCGTCTTCAACATCAAATTCCTTCAAAGAGGGTACAGGCGATTTGATCTCATCTTCAACATCTTCGAGCTCTTCAATACGTGCTGCCTTTCTCAAGATTTCAGTTGATGACAATATGTTTTCATCTTCATGTTCAGATGATTCCTCAGAGTCCTCATCATCCAAGCCCGCGTCTAAATCCATGCTATTGCGGATTGCACCCGGAGCCACGTTCACCTTTTCACCAAATATTTCGTTCAATCTAAAGAACATTGGACACTGACTTTCTTGTTTTATTTCAATTGTAACATAACCATCAAGTAAGTCCTTCTTAGTTAAACCCTCACCAGTGTTCCTGTCCCAGTAATTTCGAGTTTCAATGTATTTAGTTTTGATTGTACCCCACCGTTTGCCAAGTGCACTACCATCAAGTGATAGCTTGTTTGAAGAATGTCTACCGTTTGCTCGAATTCGATCATTATGTGAGCTATTGACTAGAGTAGCAAAGATATTCCAGTGTGCCTTGCGACTTAAACCTCCCACTTTTGTTTTTGACCCAGCACCCATGAGATTTCTTTGATTAGACTCGTTTGAGATACGGTCAAGTACAAACTCGAGATCTTCTCGATCAAATCTTGCGCTATAGTTTGACGGGGTTGGCTGTGATAGACTTAGGTCAACCGCATTGGTTTGTTTCTTCGGAATCGTGCTAGGTTTTGGAGTAGGTCGACTAGTACTGGCCAAGACAACAGTAGTTTGTTTCTTCGGAATCGTGCTAGGTTTTGGAGTAGGTCGACTAGTACTGGCCAAGACAGTAGTTTGTCTCTTCGGAATCGTGCTAGGTTTCGGAGTAGGTTGACTGGTACTACTTGGATCTGCAGTTGCTTGTTCATTCTCATTTGCGACAATTTCTTTCATGATCTGTTTAGTTTTTCGAATATGATATTGGGTTATAGGTGTTCCAGGGGCGAGGTGAAGTAGCTCAGTACATTGCTGGTTGATCTCGGCTAGGCTGTGTCGAACCATCTTTGGTTGATTTTCTGAGACAAGTATAAAACAGATGGCTCGTGAAGTGGTCAAGAGGGAAGGTGGTCAAGGAAGATGATGGTCAAGAGACCCATCTTATCTCATTTCAACTCTGGGTACCCGAAGGACCAGCTCGGATCTCCTTCTGAGCGTAAATTTACGCAAATTTACGGCTTAAAATAATTTGGGACGTCGTATAACGTTTCCCAAATTCATAAAATTTTGCGTAAATTTTATGAATTTGGGAAATGTTTTTTACGACAGAAGTTGTAAAAAAATTTGACTTGAGCCCCCCTATTATTCAAAATAATCGCCGAAAATAATCGCTACCAAACATACCCTTAATTAAATCTTGTGCGTTGACTATCAGAGATGTCGATGAATAGGGATTGGGATGAGTTTGAGCAAAGATATTAGGGGGGCTCAAGTCAAAAATTTTCACAACTTTTATGGTAAAAAACTTTTCCCAATTTCATAAAATTTACGCAAAATTTTATGAAATTGGGAAATGTTATACAACATCCCAAATTTTTTTCCGGAGCAAATTTGCGTCAATTTACTGCTCAGAAGCAGATCCGAAAGAATTTTTTGGTCCTTTTTTATGAATTGGGAAAAGTTTTTACAGCACGGTACCGTAAAAAACTTTCCCCGATTTTTTAAGAAAAGGCGGCAAATATTTTGACTTGAGCCCCCTTATTACCACTTAACATGCCACAAGCTCTACAAGCTCAGCATTCACGGTTATATCCATTGTAACATTGCAAACATCGAGCATGGTTTTAGATAGGGAACCCAGTGACATCCTGTCGCATTTCACTCGCGCTCTGCAGGGAGGTTTTGCTGATCCTCGCCGATCACAACGTCAAAATCTACTTTTGAAGTGGAAAAGTTAGTGACAACGCACGAGTTTTGGCCCAAAGTGCGCCTGGTCTCTAGTAAGTCACTAGAAGAGATTACTATCTCTGTGACCGATGACGAGCAAGAACAAACCTGCTCGAAGTGATGAGTAGAAATCGGTAAGGAAAAAGGGAAAGTACAATGAGTAAGAATAGGACCTCTTTATATACCAAACACATCACGTACAAGGACACAGCATTCACAGCATATGATGTCAGTATGATATCATCATATATGAGACGAGATAACAATCATAAGAGACGAATAGATAACTATGAAAAAGGATTTAAATATAAGATAAGATAACCCAAAGTCACAGCCCCCAACTACTGGTCACTGGCAGGCCAGTACATCCGATGTCTCCAAAATGTTTTCAACAAAACTTCAATTGGTTTTCAGCATAACATCCATCTGCTATCAAGATGTTTTGGGTCAGTTACCAGCAAAATATCTCATACCACCAAAATTGAGATGATGTCATACAACATCATAAACCTGTACAAACCTGCTCCTGTATTTCCCCACCAAGAATATATAGTTTATTAACCTTTGTGACATAAATTGACTGAGTTATTGAGGTTTGAAAAAAAATCACGGACAAAAAATACTATTTTTGTACTATACCTAAGAATTGATTCTGGAATATCTTCCAGCTTCATCAATATACATACACAAAAAAATTGATATTCCTTTTGAAAACATGTTTGTCCACATTTTTGTCCCCTAGAACCTTCCTGTATGGGCAGTATTTCTATATGTAATTGTGGTGTGTACATGAGCAGTCAACAATTTGATTGATTCTTTGTTTCTAGGCAGAATATGGCAAAGTTTATGGCAGAAATTTTTGTCAAATACCATCTACATGCACATCAATCAAATTCAGAATGATTTTGGCAATATGTTCCCTCAAATTTTTTCTTGGGGCAAAGAACTTCAGAAAATCAAACTTGCAGACACATTCAGGAATTACATGTAGAAATACTGCCCATACAGGAAGGCTTTAGGGGACAAAAATGTGGAGAAACATGTTTTGAAAAGGAATATCAATTTTTTTGTGTATGTATATTGATGAAGCTGGAATATATTCCAGAATCAATTCTTAGGTATAGTACAAAAATAGTATTTTTTGTCCGTGATTTTTTTTTCAAACCTCAATAACTCAGTCAATTTATGTCACAAAGGTTACAGCCCTTTGCAGAATTGATGACTTTGGAAAAAAAGAAAACGCTTGAGTTTTCAAAAAAAACCTGTGAGTTTTTTTTCAAAAACTCATCAAGTTTTTCAAAAATTCATCGAGTTTTTCAAAAATTCATTCAGTTTTTCAAAAACTGAGCGAGCTCTTTCTCTTTTGGAATTACTGAGCCAGGTTTCCAAAAAAAAACTCACTGACTTTTTGAAAAACTCAGCAGCTTTTTCACACAACTCGGTTACTTTTTGAAAAAACTCAAGGTTTTTTATTTGAAAACTCGAGGTTTTTTTTTCTTCAAAGTCATCAATTATGCAAAGGGCTGTAATAAACTATATATTCTTGGTGGGGAGATACAGGAGCAGGTTTGTACAGGTTTATGATGCTGTATGACATCATCTCAATTTTGGTGGTCTCCCAACCACTTCTCAACAAATTCTCAATCAATGGATGTTATCCATTTGATATCCATTTCATAACTTTCTCATAACTTTCTCATAACTTGCTAGGGTCGGTGGGAGGCACTGGCCTGCCAGTGACTTGTGATTGGGGGCTGTGAGTACTATCATCGTCTAAGACTTCAATTCAGTTATGTTTTAGTGCTTTTTCACAGGTGAACTGCCCTATAGAATACAAGATTGACTTTTTAGGGCCTCAACCCCGAGAAAAATTCCAAAGCCCGTCTCAAAAACCTGGGCTCTGAATTATGAAGTTCAAGATCAAGCCATACAAAACTGCAAAAAATATCTTACTCGCTTTGGACAAATAATCCACGCGTCATATGATTTGGTAAAGGGATATGAGTCGTGCTTTCTGAGTCTACCGAGTTTTCCTTCGTTATCCTTGTTACAGATACGAAAAGCAACATGACTCCGAAAGGTTCAGGGAGCGCTACAACCAAATCATTCCAGCGCGATAAGATTCAACGGTTTAAAAGCCACTGGGTGTCGACAAGAATGACCTGATCGGTCATCCCTTGAAGGGAAAAGGATGAAAAAGACTTTCCTTGCATACCCAATCTTATGACATCACCCATAACCTCGCACTGCGCCGTGAACCAGCAACCACATATGTATGCACCACAATTGAATTGCGCATTGAAACAGCCAAACACATCCTTTTTTTCAACAGTGAGAGTGTTTACTGGGAGCGGGTCTGAGCGGGTACAAACCAATAATTGCAGGTATAGATGTGCAGTTCTATAAGGGACCTCAAGTAAAGAAATACAAAAAAAACGCAACATTCAGTCTTCATGGGATGGACATGAGCAAAGAATGTAGTAAGCCACATAGGGATGAATGTTTCCCTTTGAAAGCCACTAGATTCTGGTACCCTTTTGTGATCAATCCAGCATGGCGCAGGACAACAGCAATAGGTCCTGTGAAAATCGATGGACCCAAGACATGAGGATATCTCCAATCGACTAGCAACAGTACCCTGTTGGTGAACGAATCCCTGCAACTCCCCATTCCACAGGAATGTTCGAATGGGACCGATTCCATCGTACAACGCAGCTCGAAGGAAGGTATCAAAAATTGCTTAAATACTCTGAGGCAAAGCTATCTAAATTTTCATATCAACAGCTTTTCATCCACTATCATTTCGTTCGTCATCACTTGTTCATATACTAGCATCTCACTTTTTCAACACACGTCTCTTCGGCACACCCTACCTTTTATCTGCTTGTTTTCATCGCCATGTTCATCTCACCCGTTTTCATCGCTGTATGTCAGTTGTTGTTACGATCCTCAGGAGCGGAAGCTGCAGTAGCGGCACCAGTACCAGCCGCTGGAGCCGCTGCGGGCGACGGTAAAGGAGCAACACACGTCATTTTAGATTATGGTGACTTCAATGGAAAAACACAAGGTGGATTAGACACTTGGTATTCGATTCCCTATGTAAGTCAGAAAACGAAACTCAGCAAAAACTTTTGAATGATGATCCTCATATATTTTTTCTTCATTTAGGCCGAACCACCTCTTGGTGCCAGACGTTTCGCGTCACCTGTTGCTCCCACCAAGAAATATCCAAGCTTTGATGCCACCGTTAGTCTAGAAACATCCCACTTTCTTCATAAGAAGTTCGATTGACCAACTTCTAACCATGAACCTCAATGACAGAAAATCTCACCTGGATGTCTCGCCACTGACCCTCTAGCCGGCTCAGACCCTTCTGCCTTCAATGCAACCATCATAGGTGTCTTAGAGTCCCTTCCACCAGGTGTAGCGACAGCCACAGAAAGCAGAGCAGGACAAGAAGACTGTTTGACCTTAGACGTAAGCATCAACTTTTCCATCAAATCAAGCTCATCAATTCATTGACGCATTCGGGTGTTTTACAGGTAACCAGACCTTCTGGAATACCCAAGGATCAGAAATTGCCCGTGATCTTTTGGATTTGTGAGTTTTTGTGCTGTCCTCTTACCTCACAAGATGTTCCAAGTGCTCATTACTGTTTCAATTCTACAGCTCAATCCGCTTCATCAACTGTTAACCCAGCAGGTTTGATGGCTCGTGGAAAAATGACTGGAAAGCCATTTATCTGGGTTTCAGCTAATTGGAGATCAAGTGTAAGAAAAAGTTTGTTTGATTTAAATTTGAAGTCCGTTTTAATTTTTTTCTCTTTAACCATTCAGGCATTTGGGTTCTTGGGTGGCAAAGAGATGGCCGCTGCTGATGCTGGTAATCTTGGATTGAAAGATCAAAGATTAGCCATGGAATGGGTTCAGGTACATATTCTCATTTTCATTGAAATGATCAGATTTATTCAAGACGTTGATAAATGCTCACTTTGGTCTAACAGAAACATATCGCCAACTTTGGAGGTGATCCAAAACGAGTCACTCTGTATGGATCTAATTGTACGTTACTGATCTTTTCCTCAAGGGGAATCACTCACATTCGCTCCGTTGAAGATGTTAAATTACTTACCTTGGGATCTTTGACAACTTCATATTAGTGGGATCCATGGCTGTATCTCACCAATTGGTGGCTTACGACGGTGACAGCAAGGGATTATTCCAAAATGCCATCCTTGGAGGAGCCGTTGCTCTCCCCAGTCCTAGTAAGTCATCAACCGTCATCCTAACTTACCAGTCAATTGAACCTAACCAAGCATCTCATTCTTATCCACCGTTTATCAGAAATGCCAGCCGGTCAAGCAATCTATGACAGATTTGTTAAAGCAGCTGGGTGCCCAGTCGGAGCTGGATCACTCGCTTGTTTACGAGAAGTGAAAGTTGAAAAATTAGTGTACGTTTTCCAAACAAATCAATTCAACCTTTCTCATTTTACCTTCCTAATGTTTTGAATCTAAAAACCCTCAATGGTTCTTTTGAAATCAAACAGAGCTGCTGCCAATACATTCCCTGGAATATTTTCTCAACTTCGATATCCCTTACCATTCCACGTTTATGTAGATGGAAAGTTTCTTACAGGATCGGTTCAAGATTTAGCAAAAGCCGGAAAAGGTATGTAGATCATCCTAACTGTTTTGGCTCGTTTCGTTATCCATTTCCTGATTTCTGATTCTATTTTCCCCATTTATTCAGTGGCCAAGGTACCTATTATCTTAGGAGCTTCTGATGATTCTGGAACATTAGATACCTTGGTTGAAGACGCTCATATCTTCAATGAAACAGGTGTCACACCTTGTCAGTCTTTTTTGAAATCACCTCTTAAAGTTCAAGTCAAAGAGTTAACAGTTCGAATGATATTTTTTTCTAGGGTTACAACACCTTCTTCCAGGTGCTTCACCTAGTGATATCGCCGGACTTTTAAAACTTTATCCTTCTGATCCAGCCCAAGGTTCACCGTTCAATACCGGTTTACAAAACCAATTGAACTCTGTCTCAAAACAAATGGCAGCTCTATTTGGTGATATTGCTTTCCAGGTGAGAAGAAGTTTCATCAACCCTAGTACATACAACTTCATGGCGATCCTGACACCAACTTGTTATAATTTTCTAGGGTCTTCGAAGATTCTTTTCACAATCTGTTCAGGCTTCTATGCCAGTTTATGGGTTCATTGACCGTGGATTAAAACAAACCAAATACCTTGGTAAGTTCAAGATAATCCATGAAATACTCTACAAGAAATCATACTAAACATACCTTTTTGCAACCATTTCTCTAGGTTCATACTCAGGTATAAACACCGTGAGTGCCTTAAGAGCACCAAGTGCAGGAAGAAGTACAGATATCCAAACCCGTTACTTAAACTTCCTTTATACCAATGATCCCAATCCAAAAGGAGTCAAAGTTCAATGGCCAAAATACGGACCTAATGCTCAATTAATGGAATTCTCTGATACTGAATCTGGAAAGATTGTTCCAGATAACTTTAGAAAGGATGGAATTCAATATTATATTGAAAACATTATGGGTGATAGTAATAAAGGTAAACCATCTGCTCAAATTTTACAATAAAAGAATCCTTGATCTTCTTCGGATTTCATTTTTTGAATGTTTTTGTTATTGTTTCATTTAAGATTTGTAAAACAAAAACATTAGACCGATTTTTTTTACTAAAAAAAAGTATGAACATTTATCAAAACTTATGTACCATATCTTACAAAATATGTATCATTCTTTTTCTTTTTCTTTTTGTAAACTTGTATCATTTTCTTACTATAGCTTTGAAAGTATTCATTCTTTTGGTTTTCGACCTTTTAAACCCTCTTCAGAGAATATGATCAAGTGAGAATCTATTCTCCAATACTGAAACAATGAACAGTTGTAACCAAAAAGAATGGGTTGTTTCTGAACCCAAGGTTTTACATTTGTCGTGGTTCTTTTCATATACAATAAGATTTTATTCTTAACTGACTTTCAAAGTCGGAGATGAACCCCATATGAATTCAAAATGAAATTGTATCAATTCAACAAAGTTTCCTTCAATCCATCAATGATGAACAAATGTGATCAAAACAAACGGTTTGAATCTAAATCCAAGTTCGCAAATGGGGTTGACATGTGTAATGGCTATTATCGAAAAACTATTCTTTGCTCGCTTTCAAACTTGGATTTGAGATCGATTTGTATCCATTCAAAATGGTATCGACAACGAATCAACCAATAAGTTTCACACAAACCAACTAAACGTTTTGCCTGAATTCTTGAAATTCTAAGCCCTTTCATGTTGATGAAAATGACCGAAAAAAGTATAGTGACCATTCTTTCGTATTTTTGCATTCTACTTTGATTCTCCTTCTTAAGCCAAGCTTTGACTTTAACCAAAATCAAAGAATCAAAGCCCCTTTTCCTTCGCCCTCCTCCTTACTATCTTGAGAACAATCTACATAACCCTTATGAATTAACACATGGTTTAATTGTTTAGTCAAGTCGAGGGTATCTTTTGCCATGTATTGGTGATGACCATAAAAGCTTATAAAGAAGACGTGTCTGAACCCCAAAAGACCTTACACACCTCCTTGGCTCGAAAATCAACTTTTTGAAATTTCGAATCGAGAAATCGTATCGAGCAGTCTATTTCAATCTCTTTTAGAACCCGATTCAGGATTCATTCGTTTCTTCAACAATCAAGTATTTCAAGAACCCTTAAGGCTTGAATTGATATAATTTCCTATAATTTCCCTTTAGGAAAGACAGATCGGAAATCGGAAACCAAATGCAAATGATTCTCAAAAAAAGGTTGAAACTTGACAAGAAGGGTAGTTCTGACTTCTGACTGAATCGACTCCTCAATCTTCAACAAATCTGCTCTTGAGTCTTTTTGGCCGATTTACACGACTTTTGATTCGGCAGATGATGGTGTAAGCGCCATGAGTGATTATTTTGGAAAGGAGATGCAAATAGATTGAGTGATTTAAAAATCTTAGTAACGTTCCGTAAAGCCGAATGAAATCAATTGAGTGATTTTGGCCGATTTGCCTCAAGAGATTCGCTGGTGAATCGTGATTGAAGCTGTGATGAGTCAAGCGGAATTTAGATGCGGTATGTAGATGAAAATCATCATGATCCTCTGTGCTGGTGATGACTCATAAGCGGTGTGATGACAGAGAGAGATTTTGATTTGGTTTGATGTGGGATTGATGGGGTTGTTTGCTTTGATTGCATAAGCGATTTGATTTGATTTGATTTGATTTGATGTGATGTGATGCTGCGAAGATAAAGGGAGATAAAGAGATATAAATAGAGTTACAATGTAATCTGACGTGATGATTAAGATTGTAGTTGAAATTGAAGATACAGAGTGGTTGTTAAGAGTGTGGTTTTATCGAATTTGGTTGTTAAGTGAACAGAGTGAGATGGTTTTTCAATTCAAAAGTGACTTTCTTTAAAACCGGTCAAGAAACTTTTCAAGAAAAAAATGCGATTCATTCATTCAATTCTTCTTCTACTTCTGCCTCTTCCTCTTCACCACTTTTAATAATCTACTCTTTACTTTTATCCTTTCTTACTATCTCTATCATCATTACAATCAATCCTCAATCCTCAATCCTCAAAATATGTCGAATACTATCAACAACAATCACAATTCAAGCTCTCAATGTACTCTCAGAATATCAGGTAATCAATCAATCCTATCCTTATCATCTTCAAATTGGATCTTATCAATCCAAATTTACTAATTATGATCCTTTTTACTCTGAATTTGATAGGAATGACCTGCGGCGCATGCGTCTCAGCAATCGAATCTAATCTATCAAACAAACCTGGCATTCATTCAATCTCAGTAGCTCTCTTGGCCGAAAAAGCAATCATCAATTATGATTCCACTCTCTGGTCTTCTCAATCACTCATTGAAGCAATAGATGATACAGGCTTTGATGCTGAATTGATTCAAGATGTTCCCACCGTTACCCCTAATTCTCAATCTACAAATCTTCCTCATACTTTACAACTCAAGGTGTTGGGAATGACTTGTGCTTCTTGTTCTTCAACTATCGAACGACAAATCGGTTCATTGGATGGGATTCAGCAAGTTTCTGTGGCTCTTTTGGCTCAAAGTGCTGCTATCCAATATCTTCCTTCAGTTTGGACTCCTGAACATATTGTTTCAGAAATTGAAGATTTAGGATTTGATGCTCAAATCGTCTCAGTCTCTTCCTCTTCAGCTTCTCAGGGCCTTGATTCAAAGAAAGCGGATAAATTGATGTCTGAGTCTAAGTCGGTCATCAATATTTATGGCTTACAAACTCAGCAGGCTGCTACTGGTTCGTCTTCTGTCTCGGTTTTCTCTCTCAGTGATCTCTGTTTTGATCGAGAGCCCGTCATATTTTTGGCTTTCTCATTGACAATCCTACTGACCTAAAGTCTTTGTTTTGTGAAACCACTTCTTTGATTTGAGTATAGCTTTAACGGAAACAGTCCTTGCTTTCAACGGTATCACCTCTGCTACAATAGACCTTCCATCCGAGACCTTAACCATCACCTACATCCGCTCCCTTCTCCCACTTCGGACAGTAGTTGACCACATCTCCAGCGAAGGTTATGACCCAATCGTAGGCTCATCAGACATGGCATCAAATTCCATTCAACTTCAATCTTTATCCCGGACCAAAGAAGTCAAAGAATGGAGGACTGCATATCGTTCAGCTGCCATCTTCGCTGTCCCTGTCTTTTTACTTCAAATGGTTTTCCCAATGCTTTCACCCTCAAATCCGATCCGCGCCCTTCTCATCGAACCCAAAGTATTCCTACATGGTTGGTATCTAGGAGATTGGCTTTGTTTCTTCTTGACTCTACCAGTTCAATTCGGTATTGGCAAGAGGTTTTACAAATCGGCTTTCAAATCACTTAAACATCGATCAGCTACGATGGATGTTCTAGTTGTCATTGGCACTACAGCATCCTTCTTATTCTCAACCGTTGCTCTCTTATCATCACCTCTCTTAATTAAACTGAAATCTGTTCAAGCCACTTACCATCCTACCACTTTCTTCGATACTTGTACTATGCTCATCACATTTGTTACGTTTGGACGATACCTTGAAAACTTAGCCAAAGGACAAACTTCTACTGCTTTATCTAAACTTATCTCTCTCAGTCCGACTTCTGCTACCCTTTACACCGATTCATCTTGCACTATTGAACGAAAATTACCTACGGAACTTATCGAAGTAGGCGATACACTCAAAATTATACCAGGTGATAAGATTCCAGCTGATGGTACCGTGGTTCGGGGTGAAAGCTCTGTTGATGAGAGTATGATCACTGGAGAAGTGGTACCAGTGACGAAATGTACCGGTGATAATGTCATTGGAGGAACTGTTAATGGGACAGGAACCTTTGACATGTTGGTCACTAGAGCTGGGTCTGATACCGCCTTATCTCAAATTGTCAAATTAGTAGAAGAAGCACAAACCTCGAAAGCTCCGATTCAAGCCTTTGCGGATACTGTTGCTGGATACTTTGTACCCACTGTTTTGATTCTTGGTGTATTGACTTTTATTGGATGGATGATTATTTCAAACACCAGGTTGATTGAATATATACCACCATTGAAACATTTATTCATCATGAACTCAAATGGGAACGGTAGTAGTGGAGGTAAATTCATGACATGCTTAAAGTTATGCATCTCAGTTATTGTAGTAGCGTGCCCTTGTGCTCTTGGACTTTCGACTCCGACGGCTGTGATGGTTGGAACAGGAGTAGGAGCTGAAAATGGAATTTTGATTAAAGGTGCCGGGCCATTAGAAGCGGCCAATCGGATCGACTCTATCATACTCGATAAGACTGGAACCATTACTGTTGGTAAATTAGAAGTAGTCGGAATTGCATGGAACACACATCAGCAAATTGACGATAAGAGGAAAAAGATGATCATCAAGGCTATTACCGCTGCCGAGTCAAAAAGTGAACATCCTTTGGCGAACGCTGTGACTAGGTTTGGAATGAAACATTTAGGATGGATCGATCGAGTTTCATCAAAGGTTCAAGTTGGTTCGTTTGAAAGCGTGACAGGTAAAGGTGTGAGATGTAAGGTAACGATTGATTTATCAGAAACAGATAAGAAGGATGATAAGGTGGAAACCTTGGACCTTTTAATTGGTAGTCTTGGATTCATGAATGAAGAATTAGATGATAAATCAAAAGGAACACAATCGATTAGATTAGATGAAGCATCAGAAAAATTTATGATTGATGAAGAATCAGAAGGACATACTTGTATACATGTCACTGTCGATAGATCATCGATTTGTATTTTATCATTAGCAGATACCATCAAACCTGAAGCAGCACAAGCCATAGAAGCCTTTAGGTTTATGGGAATGTCAGTGACGATTGTAACAGGAGATCAAAGCAGAACAGCCAATGCGATAGCCAAATCGATTGGAATCTCACCTTCTGAAGTTTATTCAAACGTATCACCTAATGGAAAAAAATCGATTGTTGAAAGATTACAGAAATCAGGAAAGAAAGTAGCTATGGTAGGAGATGGAATTAATGATTCACCTGCTCTTGCTATTTCGGATTTAGGAATCGCTTTGAGTTCAGGTACTGATATTGCTATGGAAGCGGCTCAAATAATCTTAATGAAATCTAATTTATTAGATGTAGTGGCTGCAATTGATCTTTCTAGAAGAGTGTTTAGACAAATCCGTCTCAAGTTGAGTATCTTTAATCTTCTTTGAAGAAAAAAAGCGTCAATTTACTGATTTTTTGTCTCTTTCTCTTTGATTAGTTTCTTATGGGCAAGTGTTTATAATCTGATTGGAATTCCATTAGCTATGGGATTCTTTTTACCATGGGGAATTCATTTACATCCGATGATGGCAGGTGCAGCCATGGCTTGTTCATCCGTTTCAGTCGTTTGTTCTTCTTTAACTCTTAGATGGTGGAAACGACCGATTTATTCCATTAAGTTTGATGATCAAGAATCGAGTGAAAAGAAGCGTTGGAGTTGGAATTGGTTAAAGAGTTTGAGAATTGGTGGGGATTCTAAACGGATTGGAAAACGTATGGGTCAGGGTCAGGAAGATGGGTATTTACCGGTTAGGTTGGATGATTTGGAACTTGAGGAATTACAGATGATGGAAATTTGAGGTGTAAGGTGAATTGATGGATGAATTGTTGAGAAAATATATAAAATCTTTGGACAATTCTTTCATGCTTTTAAACAGGTCTTTTCTTTTTCTTCTTTTTTTCTTTGCTTTTTTTTCTTTCTTTTTGTTGAAAAATTTTAATTGCATTTTGTGTTTTTTTCGAATAAAATATATATAATCGTACTGGGTAGGGTATTTCTGTTTTTTTTTGCTTTTATTCTGTTTTTATTATAATTTTTCATAATCTTTCATGCTTCTTTTATAATTTTTCATACTGTTTGCACATTTTTATAATTTTTCATACTGTTTGCACATTTTTATACTTTTTGCATCTTTGCAAGTCTTTTTGCACTTTTTTTTGCACTTTTTTTGCACTTCTTTTTTGCACTTTTTTTGCACTTCTTTTTGCACAAATGTTACTGCACGAATGTTATTGCACGAATGTTTTTGAACTTTCATTGGTTTTTTGGACACTTGTTTTTAACTTTTGACTTTTGAGTTTTTTTCTCTTGCTTTATATGAATAAATAAAAATGTAGCTTTTTGTGTGTTTTGAAGAAGAAACAGAAATTGAAAAAGAAGTTGAATGAGAAAAACCAATTGAATGAGAAAATTTTGTTTTTTCCTTTCGGGTGGAGCCTAGGAGTTTTGAAAGATGATGATTGCTTTGGTTTTTTTTCTAAAGCATGGTTTGTGATAAGGTTTTGAAGATGAAGAAGTACAATATACAACCATTTGATTATATGTTGAGGATTGAAGAAGAAATGAAAAAGTTCAATTTTTAAGTGGATTTTAAGTGGATTTAAATCTAGCAAAGATTGTATTTTGGGGTGTTTGGTGGTGAGTTTCGGAGATAACTTCTTTAAGGTAATCAAACCCTTGTTTATTTTGTGTTGATGTCCAATGGACACACAATGAACTGTCTGAACATTATGGTTTTTTTTTTTTGAATTCTGATCATTTTTAAATAGTTTTATGAATGATACATATATGTTAATGTTTGTGTACTACTGATGCTTCATGATTCATGATTCATGATTCTATTATGATGAGGTATTTGGTTTGATAGGTTTAATAAGAAAAGAAGTGAAATGAAATGTACAAAAATTTTAGTAAAATTTATGTCTAAGATGTTTATTGATTTAATGACTTTGAAAATGAAAGATTTGTTTAAGTTGATTGGTTGGATCAGATTTTTTTCAAGTTTGTGTATTTATGAATTGATTGGATATAGGAAATTGAGAGTCAATGATTGTTTGGTTTATGCACCAATGAGAGGAATCTTGGAAGTTTATGCTGATGATTACTTGTTTTTTGAAATTGAAGAATATGGCTGAAGGGCATAGGTCAAGTTGGACTGATGTGGACATCCTAGGGTGATCTATATCTATTAGCTTAAAGTTATACCTTATTGATTTTGTTTATGATATGGGTTTTTTTAGTGTGTGGTCCCTTTCCATGTTTGATGGTAGATTTATTGAGAAATAGGATTATCTTTGACAAATTTCAGAGAACTCTTCAACAGTGTGATTAACATTTTTTAACCAAAGGTCTTTGGGATCAAATCACTTTCACTGTTTTAAAGAAATGAATTGTTTTGGGAATGGCTGTAAATATCTTTTACTGCCCAAGTTCCAAAGAAAATCTAATATGTGGTGGAATTGGATAAAGGCCTTTTGGACTTGTGGTCCTGTGAGCGTTTGGAGTTGATCTGATTTGTGAGATTTATGATATGATGGCTAGGTCAACCCATGTGGTACTGGTAAATAATATATAGATGGATTTGTAGATATAATTGATTGGGTAAGGTAGGGATTGGAACACAAGGAGGTGAAGATAGCAAGTCAAGGAGACAAAGGATGATTGTGCAAAGCTTGACCTAGGTACATGGTCAAGATGTGATGATCTCAGCATATTGTGTGCTGTTGATTTGTGCTGAGTCAAGTGGGCTGCACGTGAGGGACTACATATTCCAGGAGCATCACATGGATGTCAACTCAGTCTAGATGCAAGGGGCTAGTCCTGTAGAGCAGAGTGTGGTAGTGAAGATGAAAATTAATGTTGACAATGAACACTTGACACAGATGTTCTTGCATTGGTCTTTGAACTCAATGTCACTTTCTGAAACTCACTTTCTCATCTCTGTTCCCAAGCCTTATGGATGAAAACTGTTATTGACTACAAGATTGACAATGATACTCAATATATTAACATGCACATTGGTGAGGTAGAATGGATTATACTTGAGAACCTTGTGACATCCAAAATTTAATCTCCAGAATACTCCCATCCTCTCTTGCAGCTCTATCTTATGAGGAGATGATGAGACCCCTCAGATAGTAAGTCAATACCACTTTATCTATCCAATGTTCCCTTTCGAATGATGGTACTGTTTCTAAGAGCGGGCTATGGATGCATCATCTACAATACCAGATCTCCAAGTGCTTTGAGATCAATGTACAATAAAGTTTCTTGGTATAGGAACAAGGCAATTACCAACTATATATACCTCATAGCCGCTGTTCTTGATCCCAGGAACAAACTCAAAGATTTTTGTGCAATGATTTTACTATGAAAGGACCTTTAGAATCATCTTGACAATGCATGCCCTTGTCTAGGAATTACAGAGCAATTTGAAGCAACTGAAGCTCAATGATTGCTTATAGGGTCCCACTCAGACCTGATTGATGAGACTCCAAGTGTCCACACAGTTCATCAGCTTTAAGACAAGATTTCATCATAGCTTGCTTGACCACTCAAGCCTCATTCATCACCACCCCTAGGCTATTGGCTTCTGCATTGCTTACAATATTCTCACCTGGCCATTGTCCCTTCTGAAAGCAGCTTTTCTTTGGTAGGTTATGATATGGATGACTACAGATTCTCCATGAAGATCAATACTCTTGGGAAACAGGTTTGTTTGGAAAGTTGGATGGAGCTTTTGAATAAGACAACAAATCATCACCTGGAAATTTTGCTGAATCTTTTTTCATTTGCTTGTTGAAATTCTTAAATCTGGATTCACCACCCCAAAAAATTCCTGTGTGCCCTTTCATGACTGCAGGGGGCTTCACCAATGTGGGGTGGTGATCAACCAGGAACTCTTGACTTCCCACTCACAACTCACCTAAGTGTAGCCATGGGTAGCAGTGAACAATGGCAAATGGATCTCTCTTCTGGGGCCCTTGATTTTTACCCTTCAATTGCCTGTATTCTTGATGTGTTATTTCCCCAAAGCCCTCTTCACTCAACCAGATTTTCCCTGCACTTTTTTGAATTGTTTGCCATTATCTCATAAGCTGTTTGCTCTGATTAAAACCAAAACTTGAATTTTTTCAAAAGTGAAAATTTCTGTAAGCAAAAGCAATCTCTGCTCCTGTCTACTTTTTGAAAAGCTCCCTCAACCAGAGCATGTGTCTCTTGCATATTGTTCTGAAAATTGGGCTTGTTTGTCACTACATACTGAGCTAATTGTTTGAAATGAAGATAATCAACAAGCTTTATTCAAAATTAATCACAGCCACAATCCAAAGCACTTCCTGATCAACTCAAATGTATGATCCAATGTTTCATTGTTTTTTTGAATAATAATATCTCCTTTGATAACCATTAGTTATGCCAATCAATGTTGCCAAGTTTTGATACAAAGACCATATGGACACATTTCAATGACATATCTTGCTAGTCAAATGCTGTCATCCCTGATAAGCTTATTCTTTCCCAAAACACCCATTGTTTCATGCTTTGTAATTTATTCTTCCTATTCCATATGTTGAAGTGTCCCCCCGTGAATTGTGATGATGACATTGGATCTTTGAATCACAGAACTTTGACAAGCCTTGCTATACAATGCAGCAGCCTCCACAAAAGGCTTTTCTCTGCTTATCCTTTCTATATATGTCACATAGTATAAGTTGGGTATCACTATTCAAAATTGATTCCTTTGGTCCTTTCTGCTGAAAGCTTTATTTTCTTCATTGCAGAATCCTTTCACAGCCAACAAAGATGCCTCTATCCCCTAGCTTGCCCGAAATTCAACAAGAATCATTCAATTGTTAGTTAAGCAATATGATACCATTCCTTTATATCTTGGACCTTGAGAAATTGAGAAGGATTAAAGACCAGAATTTGCCACTGAAGAATAAACAATACAGTTTTTCCTAGGTAAAATCTGGTCCAAAACTGAAATTTGATTTTTCTTTTATTTATGGCCCAACATATGATGGAATAGCTATAGTTTGAATCAATGTTGAAATTGATTGAACCAAACTCAACTACATAAGAACTTGATACAAAGTGGTTCAACCAACAATTTCCACTTGAATCTTTCACATATTCTTTTTTTTGGCTCCCTTCATCTTTGTTCTCAACATATTTTCTTTCACAACTTTTCAATTCTATTGTCAAATTATCTACTAACTATATTGTTTGGTCACTCCATTAGATCTGTTATGTTGTATTGTCTTGAATATGTAAAGGGCAGAGAGTGACAAAAACCAAAAATATCGTCTAAATCACTGTGAAAAGCATATTCAACCTGACTTTTCTTTTTTTCAGCATCAATCCTTTTGATTTAATCAGAATCTGACCTAATACCTTATATCCTAATTCACTGAATAATCTTCTACTTCATTCTCACTGCATGGCCTTATCTAGTTGGCTCCCTCTATCATCTTAATTACCCACCCTCCTCCTCCCCAGACAAACTCAATCAGAGTTGTAATATTGTACAGCCGTATTCATGATTGATGAACACTTAAAAAAACCTTTCAAATGTTTTGAAAAAACTATTTGAATAATCACAGAAAAAAACTGGTGATCAATGATCTTTGCTGTGATTATCAAAAAGTTTTCTTTCAAATGTTCATCAATCATGGAAATGGCTGCAGGACCCAGACAAATCCTACCAAAGCTCATTGACTTGGGAGGCATGAATTTTTGAAAAAATATTTTTTGACATAGTGGTCTGACAGGTATGATATTGATTCTCTCAAAAACAGGGTGGTTTTCTGAGCATATGTTTCTCAAAATGTCCAGTATATGTGAACTTTTACCTAGATGCCAGGAGTGTATGAATTTTGTTAGAAAAGGTTCCTCATATACTTTTATGAAGAGTTGAAGTTGAATTTTCTACGTTGATTGCACAGCACAGATCATCTATAAGCACAGGCATCAAGTAATCATGATTTCTGATGCCAAATTATCTACTCAAAACTGATTTGCACACATTTTGGCCAAGAAAGGCAGGAATGGTTTTTTCTGCTCAAATCACCCACAAGAGTTTCTCAAAAACGGAGGTGTGGTAGGAATGAGAACCAAATTTTATATGACTATACTCCCAAAACCCAGGAGTGAGATAAATATATTTCAGTCTTTTTTCTGGTACAGCTATTTTGTTATATGTTGGACATTGAGAAAAAATGAACAAGTTCAAATTTCAGTTTTTGACTGGATTCAAACACAGCAACCACTGTATTGTCTGGTTTTCAGTGGTGAATTTTGAAGTTTAATCTGCTTCATGGTAGTAGATAACTTTGTTATCTTTTCTCAACACCCAACATACATTGAAATAGTAGTATGAAAAAGGCTAAAGTTGGTCATTTCAGATAACCCAAATACCTGGGGCTTTTCCTGGGTCCTAATATTGTAGGCCTAGGTAAGCCTCCCACATGTACTCTCCTGTCTTTGTATTTTTCTCTCTCTCTTGCAGTACTTTGCATTTGTGGGGGAAATTCATTCCAGGCCCAGGCCCACTTAGGTAGCCCAAATCATGTCTTGCCTAACCTTGGACAAACTCATTCCTTGTAAATCATTGACAGTATAATTCAGTCAAGTTGATTGTAAGTCATCTATCAGCTTCTGTCATCATTTTTACAGTCTCAGAATCATTCAAGTTGTACTTTGGTCTTGACTTTGACAATAATAAGAATTGTCACTTGTACTCTTCTATTGCCTCTTCAATTTCTGGCTCATTTTGTCATCATTGTTTTCTGAATTGGAATCAAATTTTTGACTGTTCAAGATTGTCTTATTTCCTCAATTTAATCAATCAAAGAAACCTTCAGGAATCTAGTTCTTCACAGGCTATATCATTGAATTAATTCTTAGTTACCAAAAATTACAATCTGTTTATTGTATTTTGATCTTGAAAACTCATCAAGAGCTCATTTTTGATCAATAGCCCTGAGGGCCCTGGAGGGACCCAGGGCCGAAGTCGTGGTGCCAAGAGGCTTCGGAGCATCCGATGTCAGTGCGACTTCCTGCGGTGCGGGGCCGAGCATTGCCTTTATGTCCAACAAAAAGGCGCTGTCAACGCAGGCGACTATTTTGGAGGCTCAGTAGACCAGTCCATAGTAGAAGACGAACCAGAAGTTGTAATTTAGTTACATATAACATACTAAGATAGTTAGTGCGACATGTGAAATCAAAAGCACTTAAAAAAAAAAAAAAAAAAAAAAAAAAAAAAAACGCAGGCGGACAGTGCGAGTCTCAGCCTGGGAGCGGACCGGATGTTCCATCGAAACTTGTTGTGGCTCTTCTATAGCACAGCAACTGGAAAGTTAGAGACCTCGAACAACCGGAATCTTTACGTGCGTGCCCTAGTCACAATGTAGATGAATTATTTTGTGACTTGTGCAGTCGGTGGAGGTACATATGTAGGCGATGGTATTTATCGTTGAGGTCACGGGTTGCGACAAGAGGGTACGACTGTCCGGAAGATGCCCAAATGATCAAAATGGCTCCTAAATATTATCGTTCAAAAGAGTGAGCGCTGAAACAGGCTGAAACCGTTTTCGGCAAGATTCAGGAGGAATCACCTTGAGTTGTGCAGGGTGCATGGACGAGTAGTGATGACGAAGTCAAAGATTATTTTCATTCTGCGGATATTTGAAGCTTTCGCGTCTGATCAAAGGCAAAAGCGGGTTCATCTGGGTTCATCTAGATCTCATTTGGCTGTAAATTCAAATCTTGTGGCCAGATTCAACTTTGTATATCCTCCGGACTCGGAGTCAATTAAAAAAAGGTACTATCCTCCTCAATCACATTGAAATTTACCCGCAAAACTTGAGCAGTTGGGGGGAGAATTAGGTAAGCTTAACTAAGCCCCTCTGCCGACGCGGCCACGTCGCTCTTGAGAATTTGGTAACAACCTCCATGAAACTTGCTGTGCCCTCTGATAGATGAAGTGTACTATAAGCAGACAATGCATTACTTTGAATGTCTCCAAGACATCGTCGAAATTTCATCTTACCAATGAAACTCGAATTCTATCAGTTATACATAACGCCCCTTGAAGACCACCAAGGTGCTCATATCGCCGGTCGAAACATACAAAACAACTATGTAAAACTAAAATACCGTACCCCTAACGTTCGAAAAGTACAGCCCACTCCCGTCATAACACGTGAAAGATCGTGTTTCCCGTTTGAGAGAGTGGCAAGCCGAAGTGCTTGCGATGAGTATTGGATCAATCAGCTATCCCTCGAAAGAAGATAAAAGCCACACCATTGCGTCTCTTTTTGTCAATGTCCAACCGACCTGCCCCTTGTCATTGTCTTTGCAACTAGCTTGCCAGTCGTTTTTCTTTATTTCGACATACATTCCTAACAATATTTACATCGTCTTTTGACCATCACTTTTCATCGCACATCACCAGCAACAACGCCAGTGGCGTTCTCTTAAATTAACACATCACACAGCAATAAAAGATGCTCAATATCCCTTATCTGATCATTCTTGCTCTCGTATGCCACACAAACCTGATCCTCTCGCTCCCTTTCATGACTCTCGCCCATAATGGAGGTGCAATCCGCAATCTAGCTGCCCCCCACGACCTAGCTTCCTCACTCAATATAGGCAACAATATAGGTGGCATCTCCGATGTACGATACACTCAGGACCTCCAAGTTACAAAAGATGGCGTTCGTTTCCACAAAAATTTTCCAGGTGACGCCGAATTAAATCTCAAACGCGATTCGCAACTGCCGCAGGGTCGAGAGGCTGACAACGAGGGACAACCCAAAGCGGTGATTATTGGTGTCAGGCCCAACCCAGAGAATCAAGAACCCAATATATTATTGACCCAGAGAGTCGAAAATAACAAAGGACCGATTCAAAAATTGAAGAGTCCAGAATTTCCACGGGGCCACTTGCTCAAAGATGATCTGGAAACCGAGATTACATTCGAGAGATTGGCTGAACTGCGAAAAGGCCCTTTGGCAGACGAGGTAATCCCACAAGGTTCAACGAGCGACTACATATTGGGAGTGGTGATGAAGAAAGCAGGTATAGACAAGAACGATCCAGATGTGATTCCAAAACTCGCAGCATTTCGGGAGTTATACGAAGAAAGTGAGTTGTTTCTTCTTCTACATACTGCATCTCAACTTCACCTGATGGATTCGAACCCCGCCCGTCATCATCAGCCGGCCATTGGGGTGTATTGAGAAAGATCGACCCACAACAAACTTACCGTGAAACAAAGCCAGAACAGTCATCCAAAGTACACGCAGGGGTGGAAGATTATAATAAGAAGCTGTTGAAGCCTTTCATCATTGATATACCTCTCGGCCAGCGACCTGTATTCACTTTAGAAAGTTGGGGACGGCAACGCACATGGGAAATGGTGTCAAAAGTTAAGAGCATTCTCACGAGACGGGAGATGCAAAATATATGGACGGACCTCGAAAGTAAAGTCAATCAAATAGCAAGAAAGAATGCAGCAACACCTCAATTCAAATTTGTTCATCCGGCCCCTGCCATTCCAGCAAATTGAAGGTACAATGAGATAGGCGCCAAGTCTGCTCTTATAGATTAAATGGACTTCTCTAGCGATGTTTGCTTTTCTCTCGAATTCTCATTTGTTTTTATTATCAAAGTTTATGCCTGGCATTAGATCCATGTAGCTTTATAATATAGAAATCCGACAGCATGCATGTTCCATTCTCTGCTCTCTTCGAATTCCCAAACATAGATAGCGCTTAGGATTCAGGAAATTCAATTAGTATAATCACGATACCAATTTGATGCACAGAAATTATTTATGTAGGTAGTTATATATGATGTCCCTTTTAAAAAACACTCTTGTATTTCTGAGATTTATTCACTACCACAAGTAAAAATTGTAAGATTTTGAAATCTAAACAGAAACAACCTTTATGGTATAAGATAATACTTCAGCAAGTGTTGACGAGACACGCTAAGAAAGAAAAACAGAGGCGCGACGCTCTCAACAGACCTGACAAAGAAAGTAAGAGACTTAGAATAAATTTCCCCGATGAGATAAACATATACAACACACCTTTATAAAGGTATAAGATAATACTTCAGCAAGTGTTGATGAGACACGCTGAGAAAGAAAAACAGAGGCACGACGCTCTCAACAGACCTGACGAAGAAAGTAAGAGACTAGTATAAAGATGAATAAGACAAAGAAACAAAGAGCAAACCCGCACAACAGAAATGTAGGCTTCAGTGATGATAACACACACAAAGTAAAAAGAATAGACCTTACCTTAGAATAAATTTCCCCGATAAGGGGAAAAAGATTCTAAGGAGAACAGCACCCAGGTATATAAGAAAAATCACAAAAGACACTATCACAAGGAATGAAAAACAAGTATCACACGGAGAACACTAATTCAACATAAACCTTGAACACTTCGACTTAAACACTCCTACTTCAATATCAACCACTTCTTCGAGACATTCACATATCATCAAACCTAATTGATCTTCTTGATCACACTCACTACTCGAGATCTGTTCTGTTCACACGAAAGATTCAACCTTGTACTGATAAGTTCTTGACCGACAACAACTGAATGAAAACACAATATTTCAACAAAAATGCAAAGAATTGCACTTACAAAAAAGCTCCTCGCATCCACAAGAGTTTCTGTCATTCATTATGGCTCTCTTTGACAGCTTGTGTTGGGCTGATTACTGAATCCGTATTGGTGAACATGACTTTCTGGATGTATATGGTAAATGGTTACCACCCCTTTATCCTGCATGCCTGTAAGATTACACATAGCTATCACATGGATGTTACAGAATTGTATTGCACTGTGCACACTCCTGTTAGCAGCTTCACAAAAATCTGTAGTTTTCATTTTTGGCTTCCTTTTCTTTCTTGTTATCACTTATCTGTGTTAGTTGGGGCTCTGCTGGTCTGAGTGTTCCTCACAAACTAGCCCTAGTTTTCAATATTATAATTGGGTTCTAGATAATTTCTGACTCAGCCATCTGTGAGCCACCTTCTGAGAGCATAGTGTAGTCCTGTCCTAGGACTTCCAATGCCGCGCGCACATGGCATGGATTACACTCGGACAAACTGTTTCCGCCTAGATTCAGAGAGGATGTCTGGATATCAACATGTATATTGCAAGTGCTATCATCAATGATAAGGTTTTTGCGGTGTGAGGATTGAAACACGCCGGTTCAGGGCAAACACCCTTGCATCATCAAGTTGGAATTATGTATACAAAAAACATGAATACATAGCTCTGCATCCTGCATTTCTTTTGACAAATGATGTGCTGATTATGATTTATTTTTCAAAAAAAACATTGATAAACATTTGGAAACCTAGACTTAACTGAGCTGACCAGTACAGCTCATCTAGAGGCTTAGTTAGATTTGCAAAAAAACCATTTGACAAACCCAAAAAGTGCATGTGAAATTTGGGATTTGTCACATGGGGTTTTACCATTGGATGGCCCTGGGATGTTTGAGCCCCCCATCCTGAGAGAGAGGCTCACTCCATAAGCAGCTCTTATCATCTCTTGAGGCAAGGCTGCCATTATACTATACTAGTATATTATACAATGAGTATAACAAATATACCAGTATAGTTGGACCTATACTATACTGAAAAATATACCCAGTATATCTGGATTTACAAAATATCCTGACAGATGCTTATACAAGTTTTCAAAAAGAAATCTGACTATACTTCAGTGTAGTTATGCTATACTGAGTATAGTTCAGATGCAGTATAGTATAGTGTGGTATGGTATAGTATAGTATAGTATAGTATAGTATAGTATAGAATAGTATAGTATAGTATAGTATAGTATAGTGGCAGCCTTGCTTGAGGCCTTTAATATAGAGCTGACAAACATTAATTTACCCTATATCATTGAACTACAACCAGATTGATTCCCATGATTATTCTAATACTATGTTCCAAAAATTGAACCTGGAGATAGAAGGCAACACCACAGTGATAAGGAATCCTTTCTGATTCTTTGCATTTGACCAAATAAGACTTTGAGTGCTATAATTGCCAATGATCTTAAATTAAGAGGACCCTGGTCTAAGATTTTGATTGAGACAGCTACACACAACCATTGATTACTGCCTGTTTCTGTACCAAAAGTGGCTTAACAAAGAGGCAGAGTGGAAAAGCTACAAGGAAGGAACCAATGTCTTTTGGGTTTAGATATTCAAGTTGAATTGAGCTTTAATTAAGATTGATGAATGGTTTTGTGTAATTTCAAAGTGCCAAATACTTAACCTTAACAAAAGGGCAAGACAAGGAACAACATTATGAACCTACAAATTTCATTACAGGCATATTTCCTTGCATGTGCAAAATGGAGATGTTTCCTGGCTTGAAGTGCAAGGCAACACTGTGGTGATGTTGCAAAACACTGTCCTGCACAATGACTTCTGTCATGAATAAATTCCCAGCAATGCTTGATTATGGTGAGTATACTGTTTCTCTGACGCAACTTGAAATTCACCATTTACCAAAAGGATTTGCATTATCCTTAGCTTACTTTGAATGGGGGAAAGTGATCTGATTACATATATCTTTGATGCATGTTTCTAATGTAGGAAGTGTCAGGAAGAGGGGATGTTTCAGAAAGTATGTTTTACCTTTTGCGTGTCTTGCTTGACCTTCACAAACTCTATATAACACCTTTGCCATTTTAATTGCATAATCTCTGCTAATAAAAGCTATAACACATCTGTTGTTGCCCGCCTGTTAGGAAGATAAATCATCTGACAAAACAAAAATGAACAATTGGATCACCTTGATACTCATTATGTGGCAAATATCTCATACTTGGGGGCTACCAATGGATAACTTTGAAGCCTTTCAGGTTCCTGAATACACACAAGATGGCTTTCAAACAGCAATCAAAGACATTAATCCAAGTGCAAGGGCTAGTCCATCCTTACAGCACACAAATCTGAATCACCTTGACTGCATCTCACATGGATTGATTCATGAAAACAACCACATATACCATACCACATCATCATATAATCCCTTTGAAGAATTTGAGGGTTTGAGTACAAGTGGCCTAAGGCTACATGAAGCTGGATATTTGCAAGGAAGCCAAATCCCAGAAAGATCATTTAATGAATTCACTCATAAAAACCCAAACTATTTTACATTGGAAGATCCACTTTCAACATCCATCAATCCCATCAATCTGGATTTACATACAGAGGATGGAGTAAAAAATCCTTTAGATGGTACCGAATGGTTAGATGACTGGATCCAAAAATTACAATCTCCAAAGATCTTGCATACCCTACCTCTGGATAGTGGACAAACCAGAATCCGTCCTTCAACCTTCATTCCTAGCAAAGTAAACACTTTAGAATTTCAATCCACACCTCTCCTGGAATCCGGAGACTTTCACAAGTCCCAAACACAATCTCCACAATCATTTCTCCAGTTGTCACAATTGATAGACAGCTACATGCATGAATGGGTGGAACCCAACCAGCTGTCTGCTCATCAATCAGACGTTGTACAGGACAGCTTGATAAATCATCCTTTCATTCCTATTCTTTCCTCCTCAGAGGATTTGTTGGCCTCAAATCATAACACACCAATGGAAATCTATCCAGGAGATCAAAGATTTTCTTCTCTATCTCAAACTGAAAGAAGACATAATCTATCCAATACACTCTTTGCAAAATCTAACATCATGAATGTCAATGATATTGCTGAAGATATGAGTGGTCAGAAGCACCATTTCTCAACGGTGGAATCTCAGGTGTGGGCCTTGGGGGAGGAACCACAACAACAAAAACATATACTTTCATCATCAAGTGTGGCTATAGAGGAGAAACTAACAGAAATAGTCCCAGTGACCCACGGTCCTTCTTCATCAATGTTGGATCCAGATGGGTCTGTATTCCAAGAAACATCAATGGCCCCAAGCATGGATAACATTGCAAACAAGGATCAAGAGAAAAAGACCATTGTGAATAAAAGGAAAAGGCCTACTTCACCGGGGTTGCACAGGCTAAAGTTAACTGAAACAGTAACCAAGAGCAATACTGAAATTTCCGGAACTAAGAATGGTTGGATTTACCAATATCTCAAGGGCTCAAAAGACCATGACCACAAGAGATTATTTCCAAACTTGATGTTCCTGATCAGGGATTTTGGTGAATCAGATCATGCCTCACATGTCACTCGTAAAGTCCATATGGTTCTTCCAGGGCTACTAGATTTGAATGAAAGTTCTCATAAAAGTGAGCTTTGGACCATGATCAGAAAGTCTCAAGAAGCTTTGAATATGCCCTTTATCAACCTTTTATTAATCTTACACCCTGAAACATCTACTCAAGACGGTTCCAAAGATACACTGATTCAAGATGGATTAAACTTCTTGAATGACATGAATTCTCAATGGTTTTCTTTCAAAGTTAAAAAAGACTTGGAGGCCTGGGAGGTTCCCCCTGACCATCACTTTGATGTATCAGAACCATTTTCTTTCCTGCAATATGTCTCAGAATTGTGGGGACCATCAAGACTTAGTCTGACAAGTCTTTGGAAAGTGTGGAAGAGATGGTTCAGGAGCTCTCAATACCCAAGTAAACACACTGTTGTGGGAATCAATCAATTTTCTAGGTTAATTGCCATCAACCTTGTAAAGCTGAAATCAAGAACCAGTAAAAGTGAGTTTGACACAACATTAGAACACAGTTACTTGAACACATGTCATACACTTCAGCTGGAAGAAAATAGACCTGGAATACTTGAACAAGCTAGTGTGGGTGGCAGGTCCCCATGGTCAGAGTTGTACCATCCAACAATACGTACTGGTAAATATCAATATGAAATGTTAACACTACGCGCTGAAGCAGACAAATGTTTTGACCATTTTCAGGAAGCACTCAACTTTAAGTGTTTGTCTGGAAATCAACAAAGTACAAAATGCTTAAAAAGAGTTGAATCATTTGTCAGGATGATCTACAATGACCTTACACCATGCTTCCTTGGTAGCCTTTTGGCTCTGAAATCAAAATTCAAGAGCAGTGCATCCATAGAAGATTTAATTGATGATGGTTGGATATTCTTAATCAACTTTTTTGGTTCACTTACAAAACCATATGGGTCAACTGAAACAGAGCTTAAGGAGGTTGATCTGGTTGAACAGGAGGCTATGCTGAACACATTGAAATTCCTTGAGAGGTCACATATTTCAGGACCTTTCCCCTTGAGAACGGTCTTCTCACTTGTAATGGCCTGGTTGAAACAATCTTCATTTCTAGACAAGGCCATTGTTCAGGACTTGGAGGAGTTCTTAGTCATTGTCACAAACAGTCATGCTATAGATAGGTTCCCAGTCATGGAAACCAAACACAGCTAGAAAGTGTATCATTTTTTCTGGTACCCACTTTTATCCTTAAACAATCCTTTTTTTTTGAATTTCATTGTTATTTGTTGTATCAGTCATCTCATACAGTCTTCTGTTAGATCTACTCAATAGCTTAAATCATTTCAAGTGAAGGATGAGTCTCAAAGGGTTTTTCTGGATAATCATTAGCCCTTACAAACAAGCATAACTCAATCACTTGTCATAGAGTTTTGGTTTGGGGTAGTGGCAGAACCTTTTTGCAAGAATTTATCTATGAAGACCAAGTCTTCAAAGCTACCAAAACACAATGGTTCTGGCATCTGTTCAAGAAATATCTTATTTTGTTTTACATTCTGTTTTTCTTTGTCTCTTGCTTAATGTCTCTAATCTCTTCCTGATAGTCTACAGTGCTGTGATTGAGCTCCTCAAGAGTTACACTCTTGTGGCAATTTGCACAGCTTATAGACCAAACTTGGTGATCATTCAAGTACACAAGTGTTAGACTGATTCTATGTAGAGTATGTACAAAACAGTTTGTTTAGTTCAAATTGTTTGATTGCTTGATAATGATACTGTAGTGTTAATCATGTCAAAAGACACCTGAAGATTCACGTTCTTTTAACTGGTATCACACTCAAAAGTACCAAATAAGTTGTAAGTCCCTCCAAGGACAACAGAGGGTGGGAATTAGTCAGGAGTTTTGATATTGGTAGGGAACTATGAAAAGCTTATATAGGTTGGTAGGATTTAACCTTGGTAGGAATGTGATGCGTTTAAGATTGTAATATCAAATGACTTGAAAATGGATTCAAAAGCAACAATGTGAACAGTCACTTCCCTCATTATGTAGATCATCATACTCATCAATGGCCACACTCAGGCTTTATGACTTGATGGACCAGTTGTGTGCTGATACACAAATAAATATCTGAAATCAAAATGTTTACTTCCTGGGTGGAATGAGACAAAATGTCAGCCTGAGACTTAAAACAGGTGGCTTTAAGAGAATCAAAGCTGAATACTTGTGCGCTTGATGTGTCTTTATTGGCTTTGTTACAGTATCTTACTGAAGTAAATTTGAGCCTTCATAAAAAGGAGCTGGCGACTCCATGTTGTCTTAGGTGCGGGATGGCTACCGCTGCCTGATACTCGCTGAAAGGTCTGTTCCGATCAGGGTCTTCTGAGGTAGGTACAAGAGTACTCCTGTCTCAGGTATAGGCAGTCTAGTTTCTATGTATTAATGAAGAGACATCTTTATTAATAACAATCTTTGAAAACATCTTGGACAGTGGAAGGTAATCTATGTCTAGTTTCTACGTATTGATAAAGAGGTGTCTTTATCAATAATGATCTTCGATAACATTTTGGACGATAAGATGAGGTAGATGTTGGGATCTTTAGTTCAATAACGACATTCTTTAGTGAAAAGATACACGATAACAGTTATAAAAAACAGTAAGAGTCAAATAACAAAGATAGGATCAATAAATTGGATACAATCTAAGTTAAAAGTATGCGCTGGTTTTTTAGTAAAAAGTTATAGAGTTTGATTTCTAAAAGTAAAGTTGTTGCTTGGTAAAAGGTTGTTCTCTTCCTTTTGGATGCAAAGAATTGTGGCTTATATATCAGAGCTAGGCATTTGTTCTGCGCTAGACTGTCAGGGTTTTCCTGGATGCTGTCATCAGGGTTTTAATCTTGAAACACGCAACACCAATAGCTCGTCTCTTAGGGTCAATCAATATCCCATCTTGAGACTACACCACAGAGGTGTCTCACCGTCTACAGACGGGCTAGCCAGGCCGGCGGCAGACGGCCAACCTTTGCAGAGGGGCAGGCCGTCTCCCGATGGGCCTCACGGCAGGCGACTGTCAGACGCCTGCTGAGCTCGCCTGCAGCCGGCCTTGTTTGCGCCTGCTGGCGATCTGCAAACCGCCCTCAGACGGCCACCTACCTCATGGCCGCCTGCAGGCGAGCTCAGCAGGCGCGTGACCCAGCTGCCGACGAGCTGCAATTTGGCCTCAGACGGTCAGCTGGGTCTTGGACCGAGACACATTGACGGGGTTTTCAGCACTCGGAACCGGTTTGACCGGTCCGAGTCAGCAAATAGGGGTGGGCGTCAGGCTCAGGGATGGGTCAGGCTTAGCTCAGCTCAGCTCAGCTCGTGGGCACATAAACAGGGGAAATCGATGATATTCATTTCACAGTTTATTTATTTGACTATAAGATACAATTTGTAATTACATGGTTGAATAATTCTTTAAATGATCAAATGAATAATTTTTTCAATTTGCTAGTCGATTCTGTCAGTGGTTATTCCTGCTCTAGGGCCTCGGAGGGAATTGTGAGTTGTTGTGTATTATAATATTCAGATGTGTCGTTTTGATCTTGAGCTGCGATCAAACCCAAAGGATGTGCTTTCAAAAAAACTATGAAAAATCAAAATAAAACTCGGAATCGGTGCCTCTTTAAGAAAACTTTGATATTGAAATTAAAACTTACATCCATCATTAAGTAAGCACCTTGCTCAGCAGCAATTCTTTGCAATCTAGCATAATCCCAATCATGTGGACAAGCCAATGCACTACAAATCAAAAGTTAAGGTTTGACAACTTTGATAGTTTTTTCTGAATAAGCATAATCTATTGATTTATTTGTAGGATCGATATGATAAGGAAGTGTTTGAAAATAATTTGCCAAGGCTGAGATTTTTTCTTTTGCAGTATAAAATCTATGAATTGTATGGCCTCCAGCTGATAGACCTAAATTCATGACTCGATGTTGTGGTTCAATTAAAGATGTAGATCCTGAAGAAAAAATAAACTAATCAGCAACCGATGTCATAAAAGATGATGTTGAAAGAAACGACTGACACTTCCTATCATCACAAGAGCCCCCTATCACCCCAATGATAGAATAAGAAGTTTTGTAAGTAATTGTAAATTCTTCGGAATATATGAAGAAAAAAACTATACATGGAGTACAAACGTGTTGTTGTAAAGTCTTGTTAACTCCAACATAAAATTCGTGAGATTCAAGTCGCAAACAACGAGAAGCAAAACAAGACACTTGCCTGCGAGAGATCGTAGGCTTTGGTGATTGTTCAAGTCATGCAAGCTGTTGTTTTGATCACGACCGTTGTCTACAAAAAGTGTGGGTGTTCAACACATCTGAGGAAGGTTTGAAAACAAGGAGACGACTAACTTCTGGGACTAGACTGGAACAAGGTTGAAAACATCAGCCTTGAGAAGACATGATATCAAAAGAGAAAGTCCTTGAAAATATACAGGAATGATTCATAACACTTTCCAATCACAATCCACAATCAATTCTCAATTAAGAATGAACAGAAGATCCAGGTGAGTTTTTCGTTGGTCAATTGATTTGAAAAGAACAAACCCAAAATCACTTACTTTTTCAAACTATCAGTCATTAATGTCAAAACTTCTCGACTTTTGGAGAAACTGGATACTTTAAGTTGGTTTTTACTTTCATGATTGTCTCCGAGTCCCAGTAAGAAACCGCCGTCTGAAAGCAGATTAGAAACATTCAAATTACCTAGTTGATGATTCAATCCATCAAGATCATCAAGATTAGAAGAGTGGTTTGAATTAGTTGATTTCCAAGAAAAAGAAGATATCAAGATTGTAATCGGCTTGGTAAACGGATGTGACTTGTGAGTTTCCTGAGAAGAACGGTGGGACATGATGATGATGTGGTTGTCTAGATCACGAAAAGATGTAGGTTGATTCTATATGATAGGAGCTTGAAGTGACTTTCTGATTTCGTATATAAATTCAAAGTTGTTGGAGGGTTTTGATGTAGTTTTGAAAAATAAAGAAAATGCAGGTGATTGCAAAACAAAGGTGAAGGAATCTGGCTGACCTAATTCCATCACCTGCAAAAACTTCAATCAAATTTTTTGATGGATTCACTGCGTACTGCGGAGGTGTGACATGCAGACTGTGAGATCAGTATTGCCGAAGTTCGTGAGATGGGCGTCTGGTGGCGATCTGTTGGCCGCCTGCAGTCGGATGCTTGGTTGGAATACGCCGGAAACCGGATTCCCGCCTGCAGGCCGTCAATAGGCGGACAACAGGCAGGTCCTGCGTCTTGTGGCCATCTCGCGTCTGCGCGCCAGAAGTATGCCCGACTGCAGGCTGCCTCTGGGTAGGCCGCAGTCGGTCTTCAGCCCAAATTGCAACCTGGCCATCTGGCGTCTGCGCGCTCATGGCGGCCTATCTACAGGCGGGCTCTAGAACGGCTGCAGTCGGTCTTCAGGCCAATTTTTGAGCTGACCAAAATTGCATCTGCGCGCCAGAAGTATGGCCGCCTGCAGGCCGCCTGTGGATGGCCCGCAGGCGGTCTCCCGGCCATTCTGCGCTCAGACCAATCTCAGACCATGGCAGGCCAATTTCAGACAAAAAGTCCTCCCGTGGTGTAGGGTCTTACTGCTTTTGGGCTTGGGAATGCCACCCTTGTATCAACTACCATGAACTAATGTATGTATCAATCATGGCTGACAATGGGAGTATCACAGAATACTCCTCATGGCTGACACAAAAGGTATTTTGGTATCATCATTACCCTTGCTCATGTCACAAGTAACAAGAATCTCACCAGTAAGTAAAAAAGACCAAAACTGATCTTAACTATTTCTCATCACTCATCAAGTTTGAATATCACCCCTTTCCTTCTCATAGATGAAACTAGAATTCTGATCATATAGTGTACAAGTGCTTTCAGAAAAGATACAACACATTTATGCCACTGGCTCTGAGTAGTGTGCCATATCTTTTCTGCAAGCACTTGTACACCACTTATTCATCTTTTGTCAGAAAAAAAAATCTCATCTCATCATTCAATTTTCCATCCTATTTTTTCTTTCTGTCTTGTTTGCATGTTGGCTTCTTCATGTGTACATCAGGTATTTTTATTACATTCTCAGAGTTCAGACTTATAACTCAGAAGTAATAAAGTTTTTTATGAAAGTGAATCTTTGAAAACAATCCTCTACTTAAAATTAGCATTTGAGGCATGACTATCAAGTTTGGTTCTTCTTTTTGGGATGTTATTGCTGAGGAACCTACCCCTACTTGGACAATGCATCAGGATTTTGTAAACAACCCTACAGCTGCTTTGTACGTTTAAAAAGGAACTGCCCCAAAGGGCAGATTTGGCTAAAGATTAAAGAGTTAGGAACCTTGAGTATCTTGTTTTTGTGTGAATTTAGGTCACAGTCACTCTTTACAGTTTGCTAGGTTGAATCTGAAATATATGGGACAGTTTGCCACAAATTGCTTTACAAACTTTTTACCAGCACTTCTTTGGGTTATTGAGTCATGAAATGCTGACACCTGAAGATTGAATAACTAATTGTTCAACTTTTGTCTTGATCCAAACACTACTCTGATAGAAAAATTTGAACCCCTCTTGATAATCACATCACATTCCTGAAACATAATTTTGATTACATTTTTTTTCTGCTCAGCTTAGAATTACAATGATAAAAACGAAAAAAAGACTTAGATAACATAAACCACTTCAGATCTTAAAATCCAATCCCTACAATTAGCATACCAAAACAAATTCCAATTCTAATAAATTTCTGCATACTTTTATATTTTGTCTTTTGTTCATCGATCACAAATCCAAGTCCATAGAATCCACATTCTTTTCATTTTTATTTCCACCACCATTTCCATCCCCATCTCCTGTCTGATTCTGATTGAGATTTCCAGTAAGATTGGCTCCCGCTTCTTTTACAATCGTATTTCTACGACTAACATCCCTAGAATTCAAAGCATAACTAGCTCTAGTTCTAGCCACTGGCATACCTTTAATCCCACTAGAAAGTTCATGAAGGTTGAATTGATGTAAAGAAACTGAACCTGATCTACTATTTCGTCTTGGTGGTGGTGGTTGATTATTGTTTGGAAAATAATCTAATAAAACTCCTGTTGATTTAGACTTTGATCTTCTAAAATCTTGAACTCTTTCTTTATCTTTTTCTAACATTTCAGATTCGCTTTCTAACCAATCAGATAAGCCAGGAGGGATTTCTTGCATTTGGACACTTGGTGCTCCATGCATATACCTTAATCTTTCTAAAATTCCAATCCTTAAAGTTTCTAATGTTTTTCGATTATTCGTATTATCTACTTTAGTGACTAAATTCACATGAAGTTTTGGTTCATCTTTGAAGATTGAATCGTATGGTGTTGAAGGTAATGTATTAGGTATTGTTGGACACGTATCTGATACTAAAACTGATGTTTCATATGTCCAACATCTTGCTACATTTCTTGGCGTATAACCACCACCACCTAAAACCAATAAAGGTATCCTGAACGATTTCATAAATCTAACACATTCTCCATGAGCAGCAATTGAGATATTGAAACCACCTAATCTATCACCACCTAAAGAATCAGCACCACATTGTAGCACAATCGCACTTGGTTTAAAACAATTCATAATCGGTTCGATTGTGGATCGAAATAAATTTATGTAACTTTCATTATCTATTCCATCTGACAATGGTAAATTAAAACTGAAGTTTTTTCCTAATCCATATCCTATTTCATCTATCGTGCCTGTACCCGGGAAAAATTCGCCATTGTATTTGTGAAATGATACTGTGCAAACTCGATTTGATAAGTAAAATGCTTCTTGGACTCCGTCTCCGTGATGGATATCTATGTCAATATACAGTACTCTAGGATGAATTCTAAGAACCAAACAAGGAAAGTGCCAAAAAGTCTCAGTAAATGATCTCTAACGGTGTTTTTTTTTGTTTAAAAACAGTTTCAAAAATCACTAACCTAAGTAATTCGATGATAGCCAGAACGATATCGTTCACATAACAAAACCCAGAAGCTTCTGATTTTTTCGCATGATGTAATCCACCAGACCAATTTATAGTGATATCAGATGTACCAGAATTTAATTTTCTTGCTGCCATTAAACTTGCACCCGCATATTTTGAACAAAATTCATAAATTCCATCAAACATTGGACAATCTTCACCTGTATTATGAGGTCCTAAACTTAAAGATTGACCTCCTTCTACTTTTTGATCTGGTAAGGTTCGTATATTATTTCTGTTCAAAATTGATGCTTGATGAAAAATAAGTTATAAAATAATTCGGAAAGGAATAAATGAGAATTTAAACGGACAATTCTAGGAAATCTAAGTATGGAGCTGAATGAAACACTTCAAGTTCTTCACGTGAAGCTGGTCTAGGTGAATGAAATTCCATATGATTATGTAATCCATAACCAGCGACCAAATGATTTAGGATTGTAAGTCGATGTGGTTTCATTGGATGACCTTTCTATTTCAAAACAAAATCATCCGAATTTCAAGAATTAGTTTTTCTAGACGATCGATAAGATAAGAAAAGAGAGCGTACCCCGAAATGGTATTCTCCTACACCTTTTGGAAAGTAATAAGCAACTCGAGCAGGCGAATGTGGCTTTGATTGTAAAAACAATTCGTTTAAATCAGTTTGATTGTTGAAATTCAAGTTTTAAATTTGAAAAAGCCTTACCCCGATGTTAGGCTGAGTAGATTCATTGAATTCTGATGTTGATGATGATGGTTGCGGTTTTTGTTGAGAATGGTTTGATGGATCGAATTCTAAGAATGAAGGTAAACAAGCAAATGTTGGTAAACTCATTTCAGTTTGACTTGCTTGTTGACCGATTCATCCACACCCCAAAATCAAAACTTAATTATGTATATTGGTATTAGACTTAAGTACATAGTTTTAAGTTCATCGTAAGCTATATCATTATGAGGTAAAGGGAACTGAACATCTGGTCCCATCATGCCATGATGTTGATAAACAAGCTGTTCGTCACTTGCTCTCCAACTTGATATGATAGTGAAGGGTCCGTTTCACATCTTTGCAGGAAGTGCATTCCACCTTGAACATATATCAGCTATGGGCCTTGGCGATACCAATCTCGCAACTCTTGAGCTTCTGAAGTTGAACTACACGGGACGACAAGATTCTCCACAAACATCTATCGAACACTCCAGTCCGTTTACTCTTTCATCATCATCATCATGACCGCACCATTGGTGTATGCTCCTGTCTAGTTTTACTTCGAAATTCTATCCATGTTCGCTTCGACCAAAAACAAACGAACGCTTAGCGGAGCAAAACACAATTTATTCTGACCTGAATTGTCTTATTTCTAGTCCAGACTACAAACTGCAAAAATATTGATACATGTCCACCACATCACCTGAACTTGCACTCCTGACAGGCTTGTGCTCAACCAGGTGCAGTTTGACCTTCACTCCCACAGTCCCTGATAAATAGCAAGGTTGATTCGAATCTTTCCCCTACATCCTTCATCATCCTTTGTAGCCACCCGACGGTCTGCATACAATCGTTATCCATATATTGATTCTCTTACGATCTTTTCCATCAACAAACAATACAAACAATATGGTAGCTTCATTGTACCTTTTTTTCAGCCTTGTCGGCCTCCATGGCGCATCTGCATTACCGCAGCCAGGTAAGTCTCATTATCACCGAGAACAACTCCATAATTCCCCTGTCCCACATGGACTGGATAATATCGCTTACAAATTTTGGAAACCTTGCCGCCAACAGAAAATTACAATGCGCGGCAAGTACCTTCTGGCTCAGGATCTACCAGGGTCGTTCTAGACTACGGCGATTTCAATGGAAACACTAACAATGGAGTCGATCAGTTTTATGGAATACCATACGTAATCATCTTGTCTTCTGGCTGATTGGTTTTCAAAAGCTCACGCCCTTCGTACCATGCTTGTCTTTTTCAAAGGCTGAACCACCGATTGGCGAACGTAGATTGACAAACCCTATCTTTCCCCTGGGGAAGTACCCCAATTTCGATGCTACGGTATGTACCTTGTACTTTCATCATCACTATATTATGATGTCCCACTTACACATCACCCTACTCATACCATCTCATGGACAGAGAACTCCACCCAGCTGTGCTCAACAGTTCCTCACGGGAGGAGGAAATCCACTCTTTGATATCGCAACCGTTGTCGCTGACGAACTAGATAAACTTCCAATTTACGCACCCACCGTCGGAGGCCAAGAAGACTGCCTGACTCTAGATGTGAGAGAAACCCTTTCCTTGCAAAATCACTTTACCTGTGAAGTGATCGTGACTTCTCCTCTTTTTTGGTTTGCGACAGATTTTACGCCCTACAGGAATCCAACAGGGAGCCAATTTACCTGTCATGTTTTGGATTTGTGAGTATCAAATTTGACTTGGACTATATACTCGTTTTTTCTTCGATGTCAACCTTGCGTTCTGAATCACATTGCCACTTCACCATACGTTTCAGACCCAGGAGATTTCTCATTTGGGTCATCAACACTCCTTCAAGGTAACACCTGGATTGAAAAAAGCGTTGCCTTGGGCCAGCCGGTCATTTTTGTTGCAATCAACCACAGAATGGGTGTAAGATTATGATCTCTCAAATTGGCATTGATATCTCTTTGGAAGACTTACGCAGACAATTTTAGGCATTTGGGTTCCTGGGTGGAAAACAGATTGGGGCTGCAGGAGTTGGAAATCTTGGGTTGAAAGACCAGCGTCTTGCGATGAAATGGGTTCAGGTAAGAACTCACTTGTAGATATTCAAAATTGAGATACCTGATAGTGTCTTCCTCTCTGCTTTGTCGTACAGAAACACATCTCTGAGTTTGGTGGGGACCCTACTAAAGTGATGATCTTTGGGGAATCATGTAAGTGGAATTTCCAAAGACAATCCGGCACGAAAAACTGATGGGACATGTTTCAGCTGGTGCAATATCGACCTCCTATCATCTCTTCATCAACAACGGAGACAACGAGGGATTATTCAGAGCTGCCATCTGCGAGTCTGGAAGCGCTTTCCCAGTTGGAAGTCAGTCAAATCTTTATGCGTGCACGAGCCTTTCCAGTGATACCCGTATTCATCACTTTCAATCATGTTTTTAGCTTTGGCTGAAGGAGCTGGTCAAACTACTTACGATGCTATTCTAAAGGACATTGGCTGCGAGAATAATTCTGACACATTGGCGTGCTTGCGAAGTGTGGATTTCTCTACTTTATAGTTTGTCATTTTCCATCGATTTTCTACCATACGAGCATTCACTCATCACCCTTCTCACCCCAGTGCTGCGTCGAACCGCATACCGGGACCTTTTTCTGGTGGCTCCTTTCCATTGCCTTACGCACGTACGCAGAATCTCAATGAATTACATCACTCTTCCTTTGTGTTTCGGGTGGCTAATCTACCCCATTCTTGCTTCGTCATGTGTCACGTTTCGTAGCGTACGTCGATGGTGAGTCCTGTTTGTTAGTACTCAACTAAATGGCAGTTTGGATAATGAAGTCTCTTCTATTCTCAGGAGAATTCGTCACTGGAAGTATGGAAGATAATCTCGAAGCCGGAAAGTGTGAGTTCTCAATATTATCTTGACTTTCTTTTTACGTCCTAGATTGAGTTTTATCCTTTTCAGTCGCCCGTGTGCCTTTGATCACAGGAACAGAAGATGATGAAGGTACTCTGCTAACGCTAGGCGTTGCTCCTACAATCATCACCGAATCAAACTTGAAAAAGTGTAAGCGTCTGAGATCGATGTAGTGGAGTAGATACTGAAGCATATACTGACTTTCTCATATCTAGATATTTCACGCTTGCTATTCAAAGCTACCCAAGAACAAATCGATTTTCTCACCACTATTTACCCTGAAGATCCAACTCAAGGTTCCCCTTTCAACACAGGACTCCTCAATACTCTTACCCCAGTCTATAAACAATATGCTGGTAAGATACATATATATCATCGTCCCGGTATGTACATGATGCTAATTTAATCAACTCGCGTACTTTTCTTAGCAATCTTTGGTGACTTTGTGTTCCAGGTACGTAAGAAGATGATTCCTTTTGATTGACAACGTGCTAAATCGATAGATCTTTTCCGTCCACAGGGATTACGTCGTCTAGTCTCAAGGAAAGTCAACCGACATATGCCTACGTGGGGTTACATTGATCGCGGGTTGAAATCGATCCCTGTCTTGGGTCAGATACTTTTGAAATTTGTGCAACACATCAGATCAAGTGCTAAGAATTCTTTTAAACAGGCTCAACACATACTGTCGAATTACTCTCGACTTTCGGTATCAGTCAGGGACCGAGAACTGACGATTTCCAATCTCGTTGGATAGCTTTTGCCAACAATCTAGACCCTAACGTTCCAGGACTTCCTCGATGGGAAAGATATGGTGGTGTAAATGGTACAGATGATTTTAGAGGGAACGTACTTCAATTTGAATCATCTGGTTCAACTGGAACTATCCCTGATGATTTTAGATCAACTCAAATTAATTATTATTTGGACAATCTTAAGAGTTTTAGACTTCTCTCTACATAGACAATATTTTTTGTCAACTAGAATTTTACTCTATAATTATCTGTTCTTTGTATATGATCTAGCATCGCGTAGACAACATTTACAATCTGTTATCTCTGCTCGAGACATTTTTCTGACCATTACAATTCTGTTTTCATCTACCATTGCTTAATGCTTGTATTTGTACCCTGTCGCATTCTTATTCTTATTGACTCCGCCATCCATGACCATTATGTTTCAGGAAATCAATAGCAAACTTTAGGGCGTACACAACTACCTAATGAATGCATTACGCCTGGCCGCGAAGAAAATGTTCCAAATATTGTATTTTTCAAACCCCCAACACATTGTGTTACTAGAAGTCGGTACATGTATTGACATATGGGAATGGGTCGGGAAAAAAAGGCACCGGATAAAGAAGTAACCGGATCACACCACAACTTCCACTCTTCATAAGATGATACTTATAGTTTTTACATTTCATAACAGATTATGACATCACGAAAAAATCCACTCTAAGAATCATCTTGGAAAGAGTTGGCAAGATAGGATGAAAGCAATTCCCTATTCCCAACATCCGCATCGAAAAAAGTATATTCGAAAAGAATTATTACCTTTTTTCATCCATCTCATTATCCTAGTTTTTTCCACCTCGAGAACTTTTCCAGTGAAGAAAATTCTTTACCTCCCGCCCGCCCAGCTAAATAAAAGCCTTGTTGTCCCATAATATCAAAATGTCTTTCTTGTAAATCTTAATAATAGTTGTACGCGCAGAAAAATTGCTAGAGCCGCCCACTTAGAACTCACAATTGTTTCATCTTAAGTCTATATCTCTGTAGCGTTTTTTCTATCAGTCAGGTTTTATCTTTATGCGAAATCAAACCTGTCCTCGCGGCCGTTTAGAGTGATCACGATACACGTAGTATCCAGAACCAAAAGAGACCCATTCCTCTATGATTGTCTCCAGAATCATTGCTTCAAACTACATCCCTATTTTATTAAAAGTCTAAACCATTACTCCTGTGCTATTAATTAATGCCTTTTTGTGAACACTATTAAATTCACGGAGGGTGTACAAATGATGAGTTCATAAATGGAATGGTGAAAAGGTCCTGATAGTGAGAGAAAAGAAGTTTGTTGAAATTCACGAATTGTCAACAGAAAATGACAACGAGGCTTTCCAACCCACCTCGTCGAGAAACTTATCAACTGATCAATCAGAGAGAACCCCAGCATAGGTGTATCTTCACCTGAAGCAAGCAACCAGAGGTTTTGGAAAGCAGATTTGGCAGTAAAATTGAACATCATGTTTTCATCGTTTTGAAGACCTTACCTTACTGACTTTGACATTTTTGTTTACTCTTACTGACCAACAGGCTCACTCTGATTAGACACGTCATTGATTTCAATGATCCCAGAATGACATCACCTGGAATCGTTGGACCCAGCAGTGGCGTCACGTCGAATAGGTTTGGTGGACTTTCGCCCCGCAATTGATGTCAGAAATCTGACCGTGTGGAGGACATGCATTATTCGGGTGAACCATGCTTTGAAGCTGTGTAGTCCAATCGTCTGATTTTTCCATCTGGCCGCTTCGTTGTTGACTTGATAAAGACCTACACTAGCCTACATTTCATTATGACAGGCAGACTGGATGCTAACCTGACTTGTCGCATCCTGTTCTACCGATTACAAGCCAGTCACAAGTTTTGCTCCGATTCAAGGTTGACAAGTCGAAAGAATCAAAGATTTGAGCGCATATAGTCAGACTTTTCCCTATATGCTTGCTCAGCTCTTCCGCTTGATAAGACCGCAGAGTGTTCGCATCAAGGCTTACTTTTAGTGAAGCGTTTTACATCTTCTATTCAGCTATTGAAGAAGACAGCGATACCGACATCGCACTGCGAACAGGCTCGCTCGCCGAGAGAGACTTTGTTAGGTTAGCATCGCACTGCAACTCGAACCAACCACTCCATCCGGTCCAGGAGATACTTGACAGATCTCTATCAAAGAATCCACAGTCGGTTGACACCCGTCGACGTGAGGTTATGGCGCAATGAGACGCAACTTGATAGGTCACCGTCCAGTCCAGACGACATTGGCAGTCGTTCACTCGATTGCCTGAACCTGCATCACTGGTAGCCTGCTTATGCCTATCAAGCCGCAATTGGACCTCAAGGATAACGCCCGATAATTAGGATTCTATTAGCAAGAGATATACCAGAACTAACCCCTTTTCTTCTCTCGGCCTTCTTATCCTTTATCCATCTTGTAGCCACTCCGCGGTCTACACAATATCTTCACTCATTCTTGACCTGTGTAATAATTTATTCGAGTGACAAACGTACATACATCATGGTATCTTCATTATACTTTCTTTTTAGCCTTGTAGGCCTCCAATACGCATCCGCTGCTACCCTTCCGCAACCAGGTAAGTCTCATCACCTAGAACATCCACATATTTTCCCTCCTCATTTGAACTGAAAATTCTTGATTCCAACTTGGCGGAAAGTGGCTACGGAAAGTCATTCTCGTCGAAGTGGTCTTCTCGGATTGGGCGATGTCCCAGTACTAGGCCCCTTAGTTGATAAAACCACCTCAAACTTACTGCCAACAGACAATCAGAATGCGCGACAAGTACCCTCTGGCACGGGATCTGTAAAAGTTGTTTTGGACTACGGCGATTTCAATGGAAACACCAACAACGGGGTCGACCAGTTTTATGGCATTCCATATGTAATCACTTTATCATATGATCATCTTCAATATGCATCACCAGTTCACGCCTTTTTTATACCTTACTTGCATTTTACATAGGCCGAACCACCTGTCGGCGCACGTAGATTGACAAACCCCATATTTCCTTTGGGAAAGTATCCCAATTTTGATGCTACGGTTTGTCTCGTGTTTTTCTTTGCTTCATGAATCTATCGCGAGCTCTGAAATCCCACTTACACATTCAACTCTTCGTATTTTTTCATGGATAGAGGACACCATCCAGTTGTGCTCAGCAAGTCCTCACGGGAGGAGGAAATCCACTCTTCGACATCGCATCCGTTGTCACTGACGAACTTGACAAACTTCCAATTTATGCACCAGGAATTGGGGGTCAAGAAGACTGCCTCACTTTAGATGTAAGGCAAACACTTTTTTCGCGGAACTAATTCGTACCTGACCCTTTGACGCTTTCTTCCGCATTACGCCAGATCTTACGACCTACAGGGATCCAAAAGGGGGCCAATTTACCTGTCATGTTTTGGATATGTAAGTATCACATTCAACTGGGGTATATGCACCTGCATTCTTTGATATCTCACATGCATTCTGAAATTGATAACCTTTATACCATGTGTTTTAGACCCAGGGGACTTTGCATTTGGTTCATCAACACTACTTCAAGGTAATAATTGGGTTGAAAAAAGTGTTGCCTTGGGCCAACCTGTCATTTTTGTCGCAATCAATCACAGAATGGGGGTAAGAGGCTTCTCTTTCATTCTGATGCATATAGCTCTTCGCAAGGCTCATGCAAACATTTGACTAGGCCTTCGGATTCCTCGGAGGGAAACAAGTTGGCGCTGCAGGAGTGGGTAATCTCGGCTTGAAAGACCAGCGTCTGGCGATGAAATGGGTCCAAGTAAGTCTCTCCAATGTAAAAGTTATCATATCTTTATACCTGACATTGTCTTCTTCTTTTCTTGGTCGTGTAGCAACATATCTCTGAGTTTGGTGGAGACCCTGCTAAAGTCATGCTTTTTGGGGAATCATGTAAGCACAGCCTACACAAACCATATGGGACGCAATATTGATGGAATGTTTTGCAGCTGGCTCCATCTCTATCTCACATCATCTCTTCATCAACAACGGAGATAACGAGGGACTTTTCAGAGCTGCCATCTGCGAATCCGGGAGTGCTTTCCCAGTTGGAAGTCAGTCAAATTTTTACTTACACACCTTTTATACCCGATGACATCCACATTCATCACTTTCAATTGTTTTTTTCACCAGCTTTGGCCGAAGGAGCTGGTCAAACCACTTACGATGCCATCTTGAAAGACATTGGTTGCGCGGATAAGCCTGATGCATTGGCGTGCCTGAGAAGTGTGGATTTTGCTACCTTATAGTCAGCTCCTTTCAACAATATCGTGGCTCGAAAGCATTTACTCATCGCACTTCACAACGTAGCGCTGCATCAAACCGATTACCAGGACCTTTCTCCGGAGGCTCATATCCCTTAGCTTATGCTCGTAAGCCCAATTTCGCGACCTCCTTATCATTATGTTAGTATTTAGGCTGATTTACGCCACTCTCCCATCATCCTGTGCCACGTTTTTTAGCGTACGTCGATGGTGAGTCATTTCTTCTATTTTATATTCAAAAACAGTGGGGATAATGAAAAACCTCGACTTTCAGGAGAATTTGTCACAGGAAGTATGGAAGATAATCTCGAAGCCGGAAAGTGTGAGTCCTAACGCTTTCTCGAGATCCTTTCATCATATCGCTATAGACTGAACCTTTTCCTTTTCAGTTGCGCGCGTGTCGTTGATCACCGGAGCAGAAGATGATGAAGGAACATTGCTAACTCTAGGCGTGGCTCCTTCGATCCTCACCGAGTCAAACTTGAAAAAATGTAAGCATATCCATATCGCTACACTCAAGTTGATGCTCATAATATTTCGCATATCCACACACTAGATCTGTCACGCTTGGTACCAAAAGCTACACAAGAGCAAATTGAATTCGTCACCAAGGCTTATCCTCAAGACCCAACACAAGGTTCCCCTTTCAACACAGGATTACTCAATACTCTTACCCCAGTCTTTAAACAATATGCAGGTGAGATACAGATTGACCATCATATCTGTTTGAGCTTGATACTAATTCAATTGAACCTCGTACTTTCCTTAGCTATCTTTGGTGACGTAGGGTTCCAGGTTCGTAACACAATGGTCCCTTTTCATTTAACAACATTCTAAAATCAAAAATTCTTTTTGTTTTATAGGGATTACGTCGTCTAGTCTCCAGGCAGGTTAACAGACATATGCCAACCTGGGGTTACATTGACCGTGGGATGAAATCAACCCCCATTCTAGGTAAGGCGGTCTTATAATTTGCAACATTCATAAAATATAGTGCTAACAATCCTTTTCATCAGGCTCAACTCACACCGTCGAATTACTCTCCACTTTTGGTATCATTCCTGGACCTAGAGCTGATGATTTCCAATCTCGCTGGATAGCATTTGCTAACAATCTAGACCCTAATGTACCAGGACTTCCCAGATGGGAGAACTACGGAGGACCAAGTGGGACAGATGATTTTAAAGGAAATGTACTTCAATTCCAATCATCTGGTTCAACTGGAACTATCCCTGATGATTTTAGATCAACTCAAATTAATTATTATTTGGATAATCTCAAGACTTTCAGACTTATTTCTGCATAAAAGTAAATTTCTTAACCACACATATTTATTGGAATCCTCATTGTATACTTATTACATATTTAGCCTTGTTATCATACTCTGTACATCTCGTCATTCGCTGAAGCCCACTTTTAACAAACACACCTGTATAACACGCAATTTAGAAAACCATTACCACAATGCAAAACTTTACAAAGCCCAATAAACCCTGCAACAGCAGCCTTCAAGCTTCCAAATAAGTGAGAACTTCATGAGATGAGGCATGAATAGTGTCATCTACCATGTGGCAAATCTTGCAACCCGCTTTGAAATTCACAGTAAGCTGTGATCTCCTTGTAAGGGCGGAAGTGTGACATTAAGTAGAGATGTGTAATCACAGTATGGATTTAGACAGTTGGTACTGGGTAGATAGTCTGTTTCATTCACCCCTTTACAGTTCTCTTTTTTCCCCATGGTTTTCACTTCTTGTTCCTATTGTTTTATTGTTTATTTTATACTGTTTTCTGATCTTTGAAGTGCTGGACTAGCAATTGATTTAAGGGGGTTAGATAAATCCCCGCTCCTTCAAGAGCTTGCACCAAGACTTTGACCCAGTGAATGTGTATAGTACACTCCACCTCACACTCCTATGCCAAATTTTCATTTTCTCAAAAAGCCAAGCTGCAAAAATCAAATCACATTGATCACATGGTCTTCATATTTGTATAGCTTAAATTACAAGCACAAAATATCACGTTTTCAGGGCACTGAGCCAGGAGGATTGATGGATGCTCACTCACTTTCATGTTGCCAATCAATACAAATGGTGATTGCTTCAAGTGCGCCATGTGGTCTTTTCTTCTGATCAACTAACTAGTAACAGTCCATCCTTGTTAGTTGTGCATACAAATAGTTTGGAAAATTACCAAGGATTGGTGCCAGTGGTAGGAGTTTGATTAATGTGAGATACAGTCTGAAAGTTGTATTGATATTGTGCTTGCTTCAAAAGTATGCCACCTTGATTGTCTTCTTGACCTTTGTGACAGATATCCACAACATAAAGATCATGCTCCCTCATCCTCTCTGTATGAACCATGCAAGACCCTGTGAGATGAAAGTACATAGGCTCAGGGATCTCTAGAGCTCTTCCAACAATATGTGAGCATCAATTTAACATACAAATTCACTAGTGATCCTGAGGCACTTCCTCACATCCCTTCAGAAGTCTGATTCCACTTCATCCATGAAAATGGGGAGTGCTTCAGTTTACCACAGAATGATTTGCTAGCAGGAACATATTTCATTGGGATTTGACAAGTTTTGGAAAAACCAAGATTTTAAGTTTCTGTAAAAATTCAGAACCTACCTGTACATTTTGAGTATTGCGATTGGACAGTCTTTCTGTTGTGAGGAGCCATATGGAAACTAATGATTTTTTGCAATCTGATCAAGTTGAAGCAGAAAGATAGAATTTCTTATAGGTCCTGAGTGATTGATCAAATTGTGTTGAATTTATTGTTTTGTTTTATTATTCAAACATTTGCAGTCTGGCTTAAAAGTCATATACTGCATCAAAACACTTTGTTACATGGGTTTGTCTTGTTTTCATTATTTCAAATTTGACCAATTTGTGAAATATCATCATCTCATTATGTAACATCATTTCATTTCATTTCATTTTCTCCTTTAGTACCTGAACCTGTTCAAGTCACAGTCTTGGATTCCTTTGTCTTCATCTGACTGTATCCTTTTATAACCTTACTATAAGATTTGTCAGAGTACTTTGACTTGTACTGAGATCAATTGTTTTATTTGGATTCAGGTAATAAATCATGTTGCTGATCTGGCTGTATCCTCTTATAATCTTACTATCAGATTTGTCAAAGTATCTTTCCTTTAAAGTTTACTAAGATGAATTGTTTTTGAGATTTCACTTGATTTCTCCATGATACTGGATAATATTTGTTGATCAGTTTAGCACATTTGTTAAATTAAGGCATGGTGGTTGTGATGGATCTACTGTGGTTCATCAGAGGAACATTCAATGGGTGTATGTCCAATTGGTCAACTCAAAGTTTAGTGACAACCATGGATTTCCCAATCTGATAGCCAAATCAAACATCCTGTTTTGCTTGTTTTATAACAACTCTATCTTACTGATTTAGATGATCTTTTACTTTTACAGGCTTTGGGAACCACAATTGTTGGATACTTCAATCACATCATCTGGAATTGAGGCACTCGTAGATTGAAGATACCCTCAAGTTCAAACGGGCTATGTCACAGTGACGATTTTGAGGTTCAAGGGTATCAGGTATGGCCATGACTCTAACCAGGTTCAAAGCTATTACTTCAGAGCGTTGAGCAGAGATGTATCTGAGCCCTCATCCAGTAATCACAACATCTTGAAGCAGCTTGATGTAGTCACATATCCACACAGCGGTGTAACCACCAAAGAGCAATGTTGGACCGCTGGCTGCCAATTGGCAAAAACGCGCAATGCATTGCGACGCACTGCAACGGCTGTGCTGGCCTTTGCACCGCATCGCAGCGACTGTACAATACAATATCCATGCAGGGCCGGAGTCCCAGGGGTTGCGGTGCGCAACGGGGCGCCTAGCTTGCAATCCAGCTTTTCGATCTGACTTGGGGTTTTCGCTGTTGCCGCCGAGTGCGTTGCGCGCAGCGCAACGAGTTTTCCTTCGTCCGGTACGTTACTCCCCGCTGTGATGCGCTGCAGTCCCTCATCGCGAGCAAGCACAGCGGTCAACGTTGCAAGAAGTCGCTCATTCTCGTCGAATGCGAGGCACATGTGATAGGTTGGAGGTCATTGGTCATCAGTGGATCTCGAGAACCTAGCTGTGAGCCTGTGTGGAGTACTCCGGCTGTTTGGGTGGATCAGACTTTGATGATGTGCCAATCCATACATAGCGTGCAGTTCGGTCGTCCGATCTTTTCATCTGGTCCAGTGGCCGCTCCGTTGTCACTTCGGCTTCTTTGTCCGCAATTCAACCTAACATGTGTTCCGCATTGCATTGAGCTGCTTAAAACTTCTTCAACCTCCACTTCCTTATGATAGGCGAGCCGGAAGAAAACTTGACTCTTGTCGTATCCTCTTTTACTTACGTGACAATCATAAGGCTTGTTGGGCGAGCCGTTCTGAGGTTGGAAAGATGAAATAATTGAAGATTTGAGTGGATGTAGTCCAGCTGGTTCTACTTCAGCGCAGAGTGTTCGAAATCATGGGTTACTTAATTGAGTAAAGCGCGGTCTATATAACGCCGATAGTATACCGATATCGCAATGCATCTCTACGCTATGAGGCCCACAAGATATCCCGCAAACACAAGTTATTCAATGCCTTTGCATACTCTTCGTCATATCACAGCATCATTTGCTACCACATCTTTCGTCATAGTCCCCAGTCATGTCCATGCCATTTTGCTCTAATCAACACAAAAGGTTCTAGCGCAATGAGGCAGAATCTATTCTCATCTGAATTACATTCTTCCAGTCGAGACTCCAAACTACGAAAGGAGATGTCCTTAAGATTGCCTGACTCTAGAACACCAACAGCCTGCTTATCCCCGCCAACGTGCAGTTTGACCTCCACTGGGATACATAGTCACCTGCAGATAGCAAGGGACCGATAGATAGCAAGGGATATATTAGAGGCACTCTTGGCTCGACCTTATTTTTGACCAGCGTTATTGTAGACACCCCGCGGTCTACATAAACTCTTCACTCATCTTACATTTTTGTTATACTCATCTCCATCAAATAGATATATATATTAATATCATGGTAGGTTTAGTATACCTTTTGTTCAGCCTTGCCGGCCTCCGATATGCATCTGCTGCTATCTTACCACAGCCAGGTAAGATTCGAGAAACTCCAGAGCTTTCCTTTCTCACTTGATCTGAATTGTATCTCTTCGAACTGTACAAAACTAGCCGCCGAAAGTCATTCTCGTCGAAATGGTCTTCTCGGATTAGGAAATGTCCCAGTCTTGGGTCCCTTGGTTGATAAAGTCACTTCAACCCTTTTACCAACCGACAAATCGAATACGCGAAAATCGATTTCTGGCACAGGTTCTGTCAAGGTGGTTCTAGATTACGGCGATTTCAATGGAAATACTAATAACCATGTGGACCAGTTTTATGGGATTCCTTATGTAATCATCTTCTCGTCTTCATTGTTTTTTTTACACGCTCACGTGCTTTTTACCATACTTGAATTTTTCTATAGGCTGAACCACCTGTGGGCGCACGTAGGTTGACAAATCCCATCTTTCCTTTGGGAAAGTATCCGAATTTTGATGCAACAGTTTGTCTTTTTTTTTGACTTATCACGAACTCTGAATTCTTACTTACACAATACCCTTTTCGTATCTTTTCTTGCACAGAGGACACCACCTAGTTGTGCTCAGCAAGTCCTTACGGGAGGAGGCAACATACTCTTTAACATTGCAACTGTTGTGACTGATGAACTAGACAAACTTCCGATTTATGGACCAGGAATCGGAGGTCAAGAAGACTGTCTTACTTTAGATGTGAGATAAATACCTTTTCTTTGAAACCAATCCATCACTGAACCTTTGATGATTTCTTCATCTTTTCTGTTTACGCTAGGTCTTACGTCCTACAGGAGTTCAAAAAGGAGCCAAGCTGCCTGTCATGTTTTGGATCTGTAAGTATGAAGTTTTTCTGGGCTATATGTTCTTACATTCTTCGATATCCTGCTTGTGGTCTGAATTTTCCATCATTTGTTTTAGACCCAGGAGATTTTGCATTCGGTTCATCAACACTTCTTCAAGGTAACACCTGGGTCGAAAAAAGTGTTGCTTTGGGAAAACCTGTCATCTTTGTTGCAATTAACCACAGAATGGGTGTAAGATTATGATCTCTGAAATTCGCATAGTTTATCTCTTTGGAAAACTTACACCGCCGTTTTAGGCCTTTGGGTTCCTGGGAGGAAAACAAGTTGGGGCTGCAGGAGTTGGTAATCTTGGGTTAAAAGACCAACGTCTTGCGATGAAATGGGTTCAAGTAAGTGCCTAACTTGTACAACTTCAATAATCATCTACTAAATAGTGTTTTCTCAATTTGATTTGTTGTATAGAAATATATTTCCGAGTTTGGTGGAGACCCTACTAAAGTGATGATCTTTGGTGAATCATGTAAGTGAACTTTTTAAAAAAAGAATACAGGATGAAAAACTGATGATATGGTTTTTAGCTGGTTCGATTTCTGTTTCTCATCATTTGTTTATCAATCATGGAAACAATGAGGGACTTTTTAGAGCTGCTATCTGTGAATCCGGAACTGCTTTTCCAGTTGGAAGTCAGTCGAATCTCCACATATACACTTATCATTCATGACCAATCACATTGTAGATATTCATCACGTTTGGTTTTGTTGTTTGGACAGCTTTGGCTGAAGGAGCGGGTCAAACTACTTATGATGCTATCTTAAAAGACACTGGATGTTGGAACAGGACTGACACACTTGGGTGCTTGCGAAGTGTGAATTACTCTACTTTATAGTTTGTCATTTTCCTTTAAATATCATAGCATACAAGTAAGTACTCATCACACTTCTTATCACAGCGCAGCATCAAACCGATTACCGGGTCCTTTCTCTGGAGGCTCTTACCCCTTGGCCTATGCACGTAAGCAGATTCTTGCTGTCGCAATACTACTCTTCGTTTGGGTTTCTGTTGGCTAATTTGATCATTCTTACGTCGTCGTTTATCCCTTTTCTTAGCGTACGTTGATGGTGAGTCTTCCTTACTACTATCCGACTACGTATCAGTCTGGATACTGAAACCCTTTTGATTTCCAGGAGAATTTGTCACAGGAAGTATGGATGATAATCTCGATGCCGGAAAATGTGAGATTTGATAACCTCTTGAGATCCCTTTGAGATCATAGGTTAAACATTATCCTTTTTCAGTTGCACGTGTACCTTTGATCACCGGAACAGAAGATGATGAAGGGACCTTCTTAACGTTAGGTGTGGCACCATCAATTCTCACTGAATCGAATTTGAAGAAATGTAGGTAGATAGAGGATTGTGGAAGTTCGAACGAGTTGTTGTTAAATAAGATATCTGATGGTTCATAACTTTAGATCTTTCACGCTTGGTACCAAGAGCTACTCAAGAACAAATCGATTACGTCACCACTGTTTACCCTCAAGATCCAACCCAAGGTTCACCTTTCAACACTGGAATCCTCAATACTCTCACTCCAGTCTTCAAACAATATGCTGGTGAGATTCAGATACATCATCGTAGATTCGTGAAACCTCATCCTGATTCATTCAATTCTCACATCTCTTAGCTATCTTTGGTGATGTAGGCTTCCAGGTGCGTAGGACAATAATAGGTTTTAGTACGAAAGCTTTCGAAACTGATTCCATTACTTTTAACCAATGAACAGGGATTACGTCGGCTCGTCTCGAGGAAGGTGAACAGACATATGCCTACTTGGGGTTACATTGATCGTGGGATGAAATCGATCCCAATCTTCGGTAAGCCGCTCCATATCCTTATCGAGCACTCTATCTAAGATTCTGAACCGATTTGCTTTGGTTTAACTTTTACCAAGGTACAACACATACTATCGAATTGCTTTCAACTTTTAATGTTATTCCAGGACCTAGAGCTAACGATTTCCAAGCTCGTTGGATAGCCTTTGCTAATAATCTAGATCCTAATGTACCAGGACTTCCTAGATGGGAAAAGTATGGGGGTATAAATGGTACAGATGATTTTAGAGGAAACGTACTTCAATTCCAATCATCTGGTTCAACTGGAACTATCCCTGATGATTTTAGATCAACTCAAATTAATTATTATTTGGATAATCTCAAGACTTTCAGACTTATTTCTGCCTAAATATGATATTTTCTTATTGACACATGTTTATTGACAGTTGTCATGATTTGATGGTTGTATACTTAGCCGTGTTATCACGCTCTTTTCCTCTATTTATTCGCTGAAGTGTGTACCACATGAATTAAAATGAGGTAATATAAGTCAAGACAGAACCAATCTGACTGTACACAGACTGAGTTGTGAGGAAGATAGATTGCATGAAACTAATAAAATAACACAATGAGTCAAAAATCCTACCAATCCTAATATCCTATTTCTTAAGCATCAAAAGTAAAAGAGAAATAAATTAAAGTAATTTGAAAAAAGAATTCCTATGATGAACCCACCCAAAATAATACAATACTTAACAATATATTTACACAAAGGTTAAAGTTTCATTCGAGTCATATTAATTAACAGTCTCAAATGGATGTCGAACCAATTTTTCATATAAATGGAGTGGTAAATCTCGTATGAAAACATTAGTTAAAAGGATCACTTGACGTGCTTCTAGTGTTGGAAACTTTCTCAAGATGGCCATTGGACTATTTCAAAGCGAGAGTTAATCATTCAAGTTTTGATGAAAGAAATCAGTAAAGAGCACTTACGAAGGATGAGCCAAGACTCTTTCACGCATCATGTATAGTTGTGAGATAACACATAAGACATTTAATCCTACTCCAAAGGCTAATAAGTAATCCCATAGTTGAAGCACTTGATCCAACGGTTCTGTACAAGCGCAGAGCGTCAAAACAGCTGCAGAGAGAAATGAATTTGGTCACTTTGAGATCCAGAAAGAATAGTAACAGAAGAATGAAACTAACAGGGAAATGCGTAAATCTCAGCTCGTAAATTCTTCGTGCTAAGATAATGAAATAATTCAGGATCCACAATTTCGAGGCATTCGTCTAGTAACTAAAACCCAATTAAAAATCATCAGTTTTGAAGAAAAAATAATGATGACAAAGTAGATGATCACTGAACTTGTAATGCAGAATGAACACCTTCAAGTGTAGGTTGAACGTATAATGGACAATGGAATTCAATAAATCTAGTAAAGCAAAAGAATGCTTCTAGTTCGGATGGAAGGGTATAAAGAAAAGGTGCAGCGAGTACGTTCATTCCTTGAACGTAAGTGAAATCATATTGTGATTCACCAGTACCACCATCTTGAGACATATCTACAAAGAAATTTGAAAAAAAAAACCACACATTAATTTTCGTTAGATCGATTAAATTTTGAATAGAAATGAATGTTTACCATGAGATCTAGAAACAAAAGCTTCAAGTAATCTAACTAACATTTGATCTGAAACTCGAGTTTGAAAAGATGAATCGGTTGCTAAAGTTCTAAAAGTATCATTTGTGATTTTCTTATACCAAGCTGAAGGAGGTCTTGAAACTAAATCAAAATAATATTCTGCTTTACAATCTAATGCTCCTAATAAAATTTTCCAAGTTGTTGAACGTAAATGAGTAGCTTCTTCCTAAACCATTCAAATATCAACGACATTCATTAGTGTGTTTTGTTTTTCAATTTTTTTTTGAGTATGTAGAATTTGTGAAAATGGTTAGATTTGGAAATGTACTTCGTCATATGGATCTGTTAAGATTAATCTACGAAGAGATTGATGAGCTTGATCGATTTCATGATCTGTTCTATTTGAGTTTTCAGGCCATAATAATTTTGAAAAAGTTTTAGATCGAAGGGTTAGTTTGGTAGGTGAGTTTTGTGTAGTTTTTTGACTGTTTAACTTTATATTTGACATTGCTCGTTTCCGTGATAAAGAATGTTGGAAGTGAATGGTGATGAGTTGAGTTGAGTTGAGATGGTTTGGTTTGATTGGTTGTATAATTTTGGTTTTTTGGTTTGAGCGAGTTCAAGTTCCATGCAATCTACAATCTACAGCCCCGCCTATAAGTCGATCCGCAAGTGAATGAATCAGTTTCTGTAAGAGCACCGCCCAACAGAACGGCACCGAAAATTCCTCGGATCTTGACTGGCAGTGCTTGTATGTAGCTATCGGATTTCGACGAGCAGTGCCTAAAATAAATGGCACTTGCCGTGAAAACGTAACTGCGCTCAATATCTACAATTGTGTATTTCTTGGTAAAAGCTTTGACATCTACAGACTTGCAAACTCGTGCGGAATGACTTCACCTTTCTTGGGAATTGCGGTACTCGAAGTTGAACACTATGTAGACTGAGTGTCAGTTCACACTCGTGACTCATGAGGCCATGAAGTCTATGCACGCGGCCGGATGTGATTGAAAACCAAAATCCTGCTTCTTTAATCTGGTATAAATCTCACAACAAGCAATTATAATTATGAATATGGTTGATTTGAATGGCTTGATGGTTTCGTAGGTCATCAGACTACTTTTACCTGGAGCGGAGTCAAATGAAAAAAAGATGTAATCAGAATACTTATAAGCAGAGAGTCTTCGAGTCATTCTCACTCCAATTATGTTAATTAATGATATCTTGGATGAATCTTCGGTTAAGTGGAATTATTGAGCTGATTTGGAATTTCTGGGGTTCCAAACTTGGGACATCAGCTGATGTGCAGCCAAAAAGGGGAAATTCTGATATATATCTTTTTATTTTCATACAAACCAAGGGCAGAGTGATGAGTATGTCGTTCAGAAACTAAGATTGCATACAGATTTGAAAAGGGTGAAGGACCCATATTTGAAGAGAAGATTGAGTGTGAATGGGCCTTGACTATAGGTTTCCTACTATGTTGATCCAATGACAAGTTGCTCGCCATGTCTTTCATACTTTTGCATACTAAAAATCATCCGTATTCTTGTCATTTTTAATGATTTTTTAAAGTTGTCCTTCTTTCATTTTGACAAAAAACGCAAGTTTTTCTATCTTGTATGACCATTAGGCTTGAAGAACCTCATCAAGAGCTCTACATAGAATTTTCTTTCGCTTGAGCTCGAAATATTGATCCTATTGCACATTTCTTGACTTCTTTTGTCAATCCATCATTTCTTGGAATCGAGTGCTTCCCCCTCTGTCCCCTTAAGAAATCCACCATGATGTTGTCAATATACCTCAAGATGCGCTATTTCTAAAGTATGTGCACGTTTCCTTCCTCAACAAAAACCAAGAAGATGTATTATTACGAACTCGGGGTCAACAATGGGTGATTGCAATCATTTCGTGATTTTTTATATTGACTTAAAATTATCCCTACCCAATTTTAGGCCTTGAAAAGACTACTTGAGTCACATTCTCTGTCGATAAATTCACCTTGAGGACAAAATTATAATTCTCACTAATTATTGGCTCAAACCTGTTGAAAGTAGATGGCCGAGTCTATGGCCGAGCTAATAGCCGAGTTAATGACCATTTGATACTTTTCAAACCAGCCTGAAAGGACTCTTCTGAGATTTTTGGAACTTCTTTTTTTAGAAAATAAATTTCTTTCCAAGCGCGTTTTGTGGATCCAAACATAATTACTTCAGAAGAAGGCTAGCGGCCATCACATGGATTCGTGTCAAAGGGTGTGTGAATTATATATCATAAAGGTTTGGCTCCGATTCATGAGATAGGTTGATATAGATCAAGAAGAAGTTCCTTAAGCTCAGAGTGGCACCATTGTAGGGCATTCGTACCTCTGTTGGTCCCTGTTTCTTTTGACGCGAAGCGGTATTCAATGGCACAGACGCATCTCGCACGAGACGGGTCGAGAGGGATCGCGACGCGTCGCCTTACTGACACCATCGTAGTGGGAATGGATGGTGCCGCTGTTGGCGCCTGTTTCCTTTGCCGGGAGATGTTTATCAATGGTACCTTTAGTGCACCTCGCGAGACTTGACCCGTGCTGTTGGTACATGACATTGGCCAGTTGGTATGTTGGCATTGGTGCGACAGAAGAAGAAATAGAATCATCAATCAAACAAAAGGTCGAGGAATTGGTTGAGAATATGGAACTTGAACTAATTCCAGGCACTTTGAGGTGGTCAGAATAGATTAGCCATAGCTTTGATTGAGAAGTTCAAGTTGATTTGACTTTGGTTTCGGGTGAGCTCCCCGCCGGCTCCGATGCTCTCCCGGAGAAGTATTTGTCTTACTCTGCCGTATCTGTCCCGTACGACCGCGTACAACTCGGCCTCACAGTTTCCCCGGATTCGGCACGAGTTCAACTCAGTCTCTAGCCTTCTTTAGTCCTCACGATTTCCTCAGGATTCCAATCAACCCGTACAACTCTAGTCCTCGAACTTCCCCAGACTCCCATTTGACACCTACCATAGTTCTCACATTCCCCGGAATCCCATTTGTCTATTCCAAATTGGGATTCTGAGACTGGCTAGTGAAATATTTAACAAGTTGTGCCACTAAAATTATCGAAACTTTGGAAATGTAGTTTCCTTCAAGATTTTGTAAACAAAAAAACAGGCCACATCAAACAATTGACTTGTACAAATGTACCAAGCTTGTTGAGATGTGAATTGGAGAATGATCCTTTTGATTTTCTTACTTGTAGCCACATCAAAGGGATTGGTTCGCGCAGAAACGGAACTCTAGATTGTTTTGCTCAATCATGCGACAAACAAGTAAAATCCCCGCTGACCGGGCATTGCCCCTTTGTCAAAGGATCTTGGAAACAACGAGCTTGACCAAAGCTCGCATGTGATACGGTTTTCTATTGGGTTACTCAAGCCGGTAGCCAAGCTTATTTACTGCGCATCCTCAAAGTTACCGCCGAGAGGATACGAGAGTGAATCTAAGAGTGAATTGAATTTGAAGGACTGGTGCCTTAAACTCCAAACTCCGATAACCACAACCCCTTTTATTGTGTTTCTCAATCGGGACCCCCTGAATCTAATATTTCCAAAGAGACTGGGTGTATCCGAAAGGGGACCAGCGGCCGAGAAGATTGAAGTTCCGAGCCACGTATTGCTTTCATCAGTTCCGCGAGACAATTTTTGATCCGGTAAGACGTAAGCGGTTGCTACTGCTATGCTGTCTCCTCTTTAAATCAGCATTATGATTTGAACACGGTACGACCCTTTTGTCCGGACGAACCGAAAATTGTAGTTGTTTCAAAATAGGAATGATATGTTGATAACTGAGGGTTGTGGTTTCATAGGGACTTCAGGTCGGGTGCATTCCGAAATGAATGGATTGATGCCGAAATGGAGTGGATGCCGAAGCGTAACAGGAAAGCGGGAGGAACCGGTCGGATTTTCCCTCAAGCCACTGCTGTTTTTACGTTGCGCACTGTCTATGATTATGTACGGAGACGATGAGGCACACGCTGCGATAATTTAATTACTACGCTCATAAGGCTATACACCCCATTGCGCGACAATTTTTCGTCGGTACGATGCATTCGCTGGGCAGAAGACACGAATGAAGGAAAGGAAATCCAATTGAATGCACAACTCAATGCATTGTTCCCATGATAATGTGAGCGTATGCATTGATGTGCTCACAAGATACGATTCCCCAGATATCCATCAAGATAAAATAGCTCTTACATGTTTCACGCCACCTTCATAGTGCAGAGGGACGGCTCGACACGAACCTGGACATAAAACTGCTGGACGATGCATCATCAACACACGTGATGTTAGCGTTTCTGTATGCAGTATGACCATAGCTTTCGGTGCGAGTGATACTTGCATAGCATGGTAGTTCTGCGTAAAAGTTTTTTCTGGTATGGCCCAAGTATACATGGCGGTGAGCGCAATTGCTATAAAGGATGGACGGATTTGATCACATTCTCTGTCTACCCAAAGCATCAGGATATCATTTTCCTACAAAACTCTACTGGTTGTTTTTGAGCATTTACAAAGAAGCCAGACAGCTATACATTCAATAATCTTAGAGACCTTCGAATTTTGACCCTGTGATCCTCTTTAAAATTTCCAATTATAACTTCATTATGCACTCCACATCCATCTTTCAGCTGATCCTTACTTTTATCGTGAATGCTCACATTCCGACTGTCTCTGGAACTTTCTCACCCACTTTCACCAAAGAAAGCCTTACCTTGGGTCGGGAGGAGACTCTCCAAGTGCAGCCTTACAATAGATACAAAAGTTTCGGTCCTGGGGGACTGATTATACCAGATAAGAAAGGTTGCCTTGATCCGGCCACTTCTTCATTATCTTGCCCCCCACTCCGGCACCCGAATCGAAGCCCTGCTTCTTTCACCAAGCCATCACCACTCAGCGCGCCCTGGGATCGACATATGATATCTAATCGGGTATCGCAGGTTTATCTCAAGAAAGCAGAGCGGTACGTCGTCGTCTTCGAAGATGTAGGTCAACTTTGTCTCTGTCATTGTGAATCAAATCTTACTAGGGATAAACACAGAACAATTGAAGTAGGAAGCTGATCAGATGTTAAAAACTTTGCAGGGTAACCATCCAGAAATTTACGAATTCAAAGAATCTCCTACTCGCAGTATATTTCAAGAAATCCAGACCAAAAAACAAAGAGGAAAGTCGGCTTGGCTGTTTCAAGAATCTGACCCCAATAAAAACAAATGGGACCTTGAAGAAGTCAAGCGTATGGGATATAAACTTCCCACCTTGTCTGAGGAAATAAAACAGACTATATTTACCAAAGGCACCGAGGACTTGAACCTTGTTTCTACCGTTGGCTTGAAGAAAGCACCAAAGCCAGCTTCATCTCCAATTGACAAACCATTAGATACGGAAGGCATCACCAAGGCTTACACAGAGGCAAAAGGCACTCGATTGATCGTTTCTGATTATGATGTAAGGGAATTTCTTGAGCCATGCTTACCAAAACCCTCAATCCGATCTACCCATATCAGACACAAGAGATTTTATAGACTAATCAGAATTTAAATTTTTCAAGGGAACTCTTCGTGAATTCGTGGACGACCCTGAGGCAGCAACACCCTCGCAAGAACTATTATCGGATCTTAAAACACTTAGCTCGAATAAAGACAATATGGTTTGGTTAGTTTCTGGCAGAGATGAAGGATTTTTGAAACGACATTTCGGTGAAATTCAAAATCTAGGATTGAAGGCTGCTTATGGTGCAGCTACACGTGATCCTATTTCTGGGAAATGGGCAAAGATGGAATTTGATAAAACGGCCTTAGATAGCATCAGGAAAATCATGGAAGGTGATTCTTTGTTTTCTCAAATGACATTGTAAGCATCAGTGATTGATAGTGGACAATCCCTTCTTATCTTAGGTTGGTCTTCGTCGGTCACCCACTCGCACATCGAAGAGAAAGACTTCGGATTAGCCTACCATTATAGAGTGGCCCATACACAGGATAGACTCAACCAGGAGAAAATTACTCAAGGTGTGTGCATGGTGCAAAATAAAGTCGGGATTGCAATCTCAATCTAACATGATGAAATTCAGACGCAACACAGGCCAAGAAGGATATCGATCTAATTTACAAAAGTGAAGCCGAATTTTTAAAAGCATGTCTAGATCAGGATATTAAACGAAGAGGTTTAGAATTAGTGACAATCCTCGGTAAGTTCTATTTAAAGATATGCCGCCTTCTTTTCCACCTCTTCTAATCGCGAGGTTTTACCATTCCGGTTGGCATGTTTAGGAAATATGGTCGTGGAGGTCAAGTCCAAGAAGTTAAGCAAGAGAGAGGCCGTCCAATCACTTTATAACGATATTCCGCATCCTGGTTTCGTTCTGGTAGGGGGTGATGGTTCGTGCAATCAATACTTGAAAATGCTCAAAGGTTCTTGACACTAACATCTGAGTCCGACCTTTAGATCCAGCAGATGAAGTCATGTTTCAAGTAGCTCATGTCAAAGAAGAAGATGCCAAAAAGACCGCTCAAGGTGACGCGAAGCCACCCGTTGTAGCAACAGTACATGTCTCCCATGACAAAGGCCAAGAAACTAGTGCGAAATACATGGTAAGAGAACCAAAAGAATTTCGTGAATTACTATCAAGGATGTCAGCTTCAGAGGAGAAGGAACCCCATATAGTTTCACAAAGGAAAGACCTTCCTCTAGTTACAGAGAAGCAGGAACACCATTTTCTCTCATCACGGCTCACATCAGGAATGTTTGCGTGAATCAAGGGTGTATAATCTTGAACAGTTGATTGTTTTTGCAAGTCTTGATTGGAAAGAGGCAGTCTTTTTGAAGAATATAAATTGTAAAAAGGCAACTATCCACATGTGGAACCGCCCCTTAATGTTTCCATATGCACGGACCATGAGATCTGTAGATTCGTTTTTTTCTTTGTTATCACGATGTATATCACCGCGTTTTTGAAAAGATAGACGGTACAATCCCAATACACTGAGGGCAAATTCCAAAGCGTTAAACAAAGGCCTCAATGCGTGAAGTATGCCACTGCCTTCTGCAATATATCAACCTCTAAAGCTCGTGCTGGCACAAGTATCTCATAATTCCAATTGATTATCCAGAGAAAAATATGAACACGGAACAACAAAAAATGACATATGCCACACTATAAATTCATCTTTGTATATCATTTAATGTGAGATGAGTAACATTCTTGGTCTTTGATGTCTTTGAGCCATCTCATCTTAGTATTCCTGACCAGTGCTGAGCTCTGCTGGGAATAACTCACCACAATGGCTTGATGGTGTGTTGGTATTTAGAGAGATGGGTACAAAATAATAAACAAGCATTGTGAGACTTCTCATCACCAATAAAAACTAGGAAATGCTATCTTAATCTTGGAGCATGCTAGTATCAATTTATGCTTTTTTTCCTCATTGAAAGTAATCTTCTTGTTACACAGGTAAATATAAGATTTCCTCTTGCTCTGTTCATTTCACGGCATTCAAATAAATTTCAGGCTGAAAGCTTGCAAACCTTCTCAGTCAAATCTCCTCCGTTTCTCCCGATCATCTTTTCCACCTGGTCCTCTTCCTTCATCATCATATCGACGTTTATCATAATCATCTCCTTCACCTCTTCTGAGACTTCGACGGTCATCATCACCACCACGTGAGCTTCGATGATCGTCCCGACGACGATCACGATCATCTCTTGGATGTCGATCTCGTTCCCTATCCCTATCCCTGTCCCTATCCCTATCGCGCTCTCGATCTCGATCCCTATCCCGGTCGCGCTCCCGGTCGCGCTCACGTTCACGTTCACGATCTCGATCACCAGATGGCTCACTCTTCTCGCCGCCTCCCCTGCTACCCCATCCATTAGACTGAGCTGCAGCAGCTTGAGCACGCTGTTGTCCAAAATGAGCAGCCTGAAGACCAGCAGTCAAACCAGGATTCTGGTTGTGATTTGCAGAAGGACCAGGAAGACCATGTGGTCTACTACGCCATTCTTCAATTGTTTGTCGTAGTTGGAGATAACCCAAATGCATCTGAAGTTTACGCAACGATAATAAGTATCCGACGCGTTCAGATAAACTATCATATCTGGCGCGTAGTGATAAGCTAAGAGACAGCTTACCTTTCCACCAAAATGATCCGCCAGACGTCTATCACTATCCAAAATAGATAGATACGCACCACAGATATCACACACACGAAGTTTTTGGTGCCCAGAAGCTCCAGACGTTTCTAGCCATATGGAAAAACGTGTAAGAAAGTGATTCCGACAAAAAATCTCAAGACTAACTATTTACCTGTCAATTGTTGAAGTTCTCGCTCTTTTTCAAGTTTTTCAGCTTTCAAGGCCTCAGCTTTTGCCAATTCCGCCATTGATTGATCGACTTGGCCGGATTCACCTGAAAAGTATTGAGGGAGATGAGATGAGATATCGAGGTAGCCAGAAATGATAAGAGATCGACTTACCCAATGTCTCCACTTCCGCCATTGCTCCCTCATAGGCAGTTTGGATTTCACCGATTTCTCTCATCTGTCATGAAAACAGCAGGCGAGGATTCCCATTCATTTGTAAGCGATGCGCTGTTAAACAAAGACAAAGTCGGATAATGAAAAATGTACCAAAGCTGTAGTTCGGTTGTTTTCTTCTGGAGTCTTCTCCAATCGTTTCTGTGCAGCACGAATTCGTCGATCACATTCCTCAACGAATCCAAGAATATTATTTTCGTACTCTCTTCGCATTGCGTGTACTAATCTTCCCAAAGAACCAAAAAAAATGAGTTGATAGGCCATTGATTAGGTGAAAATATTATAGGCCACCCACGCTCTGAAGGTGATACTGTGTCAGCCGATTCTTCTGGATCATCACTTTGACTTCGAGCTAATGCAGCTTCGTATTCGCCCTTTAACTTTTGTGAATGAGTTTTGGCACATGCTCCCAGATCCATTTTCTTGAACAGAAAAAAAGACGAGTCAGATTCACAAGACTTGATGGATATTTACCTGATAAATTCATAAGAGCTTACGGTGTTGGTGAAGAGATCGTGTGGACATGCACCACATAAGTAACTACGACAGACTTTGAGATCGGTGAATTTCAAATCGACTTGGATCTGGAGATAATGGTATGCAGAACATGATGAGAAATCGGTGGGAGGTTTTTTGACATTTAGATAATCATCATCAACGAACAATTCCCATCGCCTCAGCCCCCATGAGATGCTCCAAGTTCTAACCTCACACAAAACGATCCGTAAATCAGCATATGACTAGCAAGTGAGGATATAAAAAATCGATGAGGTATGGGCATTAACCTTTCGCTGAAGCTCGGCCAGACGCCCCATGTTGATTTGGTATGTTGCTTGCTGAGTCCAATCAAAACACGGTCGATGGGTTTGTTTGTTTGAGGTCGAGGAGGGAAGTCTCTTGACGTTGGACTGACCCTGCTGATGACATGCGGTTCAACAAACAGAGGTTTCACAGGCGGATGTCAGTTGGGCCTGTCTAAAGCCATGCTCGCCTAATTATGGACATTGGACATGCACATATTGACACCGGGCGAAAGCCGGATCATAGCCCCGATAAGAACCTTCGCCAGTTTCGACATTTCAAGCCACCGGCAGCGTGAAAACTGAACAGTGCAAGGAGCATCCTGATTTTGTCTAATACGCTTGAAGGCCACCTAGATAAATTAGAGACTGTTTGATACTTGCACCGGATGATATGTTGGTGACTTGGGTAGGGCGGCTGAGGCCATTCCAAAAAGGCAGGATTGGGTTGCAAAAGTTTCAAACGAAAGAAGTGTAGATACCGTCAGCTGGTTTCACAGTCAATGGCACGTGGCACTATCAATTCACATCATCCATGTCTTTGGGTCAAGTTCTTCATCCTCGGATAAATCTTTTCTGGTATGGTATCAAAGGCACCAGTGGGTAAGTGATTGTAGGATTGGTCTTGAGAAATGAGAGATTGCATCTTTTACTGAATTAGCGGCATATCCTTTCATGGTCACAAAGAGGACGAAAGCATACGCCCGTAGCAAACTTGGTGCGTAGCGGAGACTTACCGTGAATGCTTGCATAGTTCTCGACATCCGATCCCGTTGACCCAATGCAAGCTGTGCCACACGACCGACCTCGCGCGTACCTAAAGTTCCGAACTTTTGCAGCTGAAAGCCTCGAGAGTCTTGGTATATGTTACACAGGCCGTGCTCCGTGGGAACTGACAAATACCTAGTTGGAGCTCCGATCACCCAAAAGATACCCAAAATAGGATCAGTAGGGGTCAGAGGACCTTGTAGTGATGTTTCAAAGAAGCCTTTGACTATCACCAATGTCGGGGGTGAATTTACAAAAAAGTTTCTTTCGACATAACATAATCAGAGTCCTTACAAGGGTACACATAGATGGGTCGTTCAAAGCTTTGTGATAACCGAGATAAATTGGATTCTCTGGTTACCATGAGCAGGAAAGATCTGTCTCGTTTTCCCTTGTCTCTGCGTAAATAACGGGTTTTTTCTTGAACTTCCCAACAACTCACATTCAAATCTCTAGCCGCACAAAACTCACCTTCAGCAGATAAATTCCTAGCGCAGCCTCAGCCTCCTAATAGAATCTTAGCTCTTAGATCTTCAGACCTCCAGCTGATTTCCAAGCCGCCAATTCGAAAAACAAAAAAAAAACAAAAAAGGCCTATAGATACGATATTTTCGCTTCCTGAACCATGTTCTACGCTCGCATTTTGATTTGTTTGAGCCTCGTTACTCTCTTTCAACAAACAGTTGAGGGGCAGTGTCTACCTTTGAGAGGACACGCACCAATAAGTAAAGAGCAATGTTACAAGTGAGTGAAGTTAATTCTTTTCAACTATCATCTGTGGTGTGCATCACCAAAGCAATCCAAAGAAGACTCAAATTTATAGAAAGCTGACTTGGAGCTCAAAGAGCACTTGCCACATACAAGTTTGATGAGTACGGCCTGCTAGACAGTGACGGGGTGGAGAACAAGAAGACATGTGGGAACTGCAAGGTTTGCAATCCTTCTTTTCGAAAGACAATCCAATAAATATTGTTAAATTTCGCGATTTCTCTTTTTGCATACCAGATCTCCCTATCTGTGGTAAACCTAAACCCTCGGGTCAAACCCAGCTTGGATGGATTGTGAGCTTACAGATATTGCTAGTCAACGTCCTTGAGGAAGGGTTAGCTGACACTGATACTTGTTCTTTAGAATAAAAGGCCAACTAGAGACGGTTCTGGACACCTTGTCAACAACATGTACATATGATAACCGAACGAGTGGTACCATGCTAGTGAGTCTTCTATAATTTACGTCTGCAAAATATGAAGTACTCAAATGTGGACCTCTCATGCATCAATGCTCAAAAATGTATTATGCAGCCGAGTATCTTTGTAGGTGAGACCGTGAAGGATACTTTTGTAGCCGTGGAGGTTGAAGTTGGAGACATGAAGCGCAATGAATGCTCATCAACCCCACGGGGAAAGAATCGACGAAACTCGGATCTAACACTGTCGAATCAAAAGCATTAGGACCAGGTCTTCAATTTCATCAGAAAATGAAATCTAGATAATAATACGAAATCCAGTATTGGAAGTGTAAATAATAATTCTAAATCGCTGTAATATACTAGACAAGACATTCAGCCGAACAAGCTCGCCTGTATTGGATGATGAAACAAGCACTTTCTTTCACAACTTGAGATCATCATGTAGAATTTGCGCAACAATCGAATCTTGAGTCTCGACCTGTTAGATTTCTTCGCCTACATAATGTTGAAAGCTCAGACCGTCTCCTACCCCCTCTTGCCTCACCCGCCTTTTATGGTTTCAGGAAGCGCTCATATCATGTCAGCGTTTAGTAGAAATCCGGGGAAAGTTGAGTAAATCAAATTGCACGTTCAGAAATTCAAAATAAAACATCATTCTTTCAGACTGAAACAATTTGGCTATTAGTTTATTCATTCAGTGCGAATTATGAATACCCTTCTTTCTTACAAGGGAGAGTGTCAAGGATTGACATGGCTCATCACTATACAACATTTGTACATAGCATATGACGCACATATTAGATCTTTCTAAGAGAAACAAACCATTCATGATCAGATCAAATCACAAAATCGACACCTATGTTATATATACATAAATGCATGGATATCTCCAGGGACTGAATTTCAACTATTTAGTTGCATATATCTGAATCGAGGAGATGATGACCCTACACCAAAGGGACGACGTGTAAGGTCGTTTCCATTGAATGAGCAGGAGTGGCCCAGGACCTAGGCTAGGACATAAGACTTAAATGAGACTGGTCAGAGTAAGAAAATTCTCCTCCCTGCATTTCGCACAGCCTCAACTTTCAAGGCGCACAACCTCACAGAATCTTCACAGTTTCCTTTATAGCTTCGGAAATTTTCACCCCGTATCTTAATCGAGGAGAACGGAATGCTACGCAGAAAAGACACACACGATCCTTGACATCCGGCTGTGTGGCAACCAATAGCTAAAACTTTGAATCACCAGAAACATAATCAACAACTCATGATAGTCAACGTATAACGGTCCGGCGCGCGATCAGGTATCTCGGGTTCCAATATTGACCAGCTTGTGCGGCGTAGGAACCAATAGCTTATGAAATGGTTCCAGGAAGCCGGATCAAAGCTCTGAATCACCGGCAATATATTGAGCTATATAATCGAGAGGCCAAGCTTGTTGCCGTGTTTCACGAAAGCATTGGACAATCACCAATGTCGGGAGTGAACACAGGTAATCCTTGCAATGACATATAATATAGGTCGTCCAAAGCTTTGTGATCAGCGAGCTACATAGCATTACCTAAGTTACCCTTAGCAGCATGACAATGGACGAGAATATAAAACTGGGGCATTCATCCAGAAGACCTCTCTCGTTCTCCCTGTTTGCTTGAATAAATATTGCTCACATAAGTTCATTGAATCACATTTGATTATCACAACTCCCAAATTCACCTCGAGCCACTATTGATTACTAGTTTGCTGTACCAATACCTACCGCTGCTTGTCAGACGTTTTACCTATTCGCCATACCTTTTCTTGTAAAGAAATCCCAACAAGGCCTATAGATATAATTGCGCTACATCTTCAACCATGTTTTACAACCGTATTTTGATTTCATTAAGCCTCATCTCCCTCTTTCAACAAACGGTTATGGGTCAGTGTCTTCCCCTGAGAGGTGCGGCGCCAATAGACATAGAGCAATGTCGCAAGTAAGTAAAGCCAGTTCTTTACAATCTCTATGTGTACATTTCCAGATAGGTTTTTCCAGAAGATCAGACAATCAAAATTTATGAAAAACTGACTCTACGCGTGAAGAGCATTGGCCACATATAAGTTCGAGGATAATTCAGCGCTGGACAGCGACGGGTACAAGAACAAGAAAACATGCGGGAATTGCGCGGTAGGTGTCTGCTTTGGAATTCTTTCATTCAAAATACAATCCAAAGAAGATTTTAACGTTTGACAATGTCTTCTTTTACTAGATATCCATGTCTAGAGTCAGCACCGACCCTAAAGTCAAACCTTCCTTGGATGGATAGTGAGCTTATGTTGTTGTTCATCTTTCTAAGCTCATGAAAGCCGGCTAGTAGACCATCCTTATCGCAGACTGAGCTGACACCGACACTTATTTTTTCATAGTGACAAGAAATTCTTGGAGGAAACTGTGGCCACTTTATCACAGAAATGTACCATTAAAGGCACGAAAGGCATGCTAGTAAGTCTTCCATGATTTATGTCTAAAAAGATAGAACACTCAAATTGTGACTTCTCATACACCACTACCTGACACTTTACCACACAGCCGAGTATCTTTGTGGGTACGACAGTTCCGGCAGATGGTACTTATTTTGCTATAGAGATTGAAGTTGGAGACATGAAGCGCAATGAATGCTCATCAAAGCCGCAAAAGACAACACCAAAAAAGACTCGAAGAAGCCCAGATTTAAGATTGTCCAATTAAAAGGACTGACATTCAACCTCATGGACAATAAGGAAT